TTAGAAAACCATTTATCAAAACACCATTACAGAAATGCCAACAGTGACAAAATCAAAAAAAATAGTGAGAGTGAGTCACCGATAGCGACAAAAGCACAATATGGGGGCATCCGACAGAAGACAAAATCCCTCCCCCCAAGGATCAACTTACCTTGACGCACATGGAAAGGGGAAGAGCGGAAATATGTTACCCCGAGACGTAAAATTTCTAAATACGACCCTGGAAAGACCATTAACAAAATACGTTCGGAAGTAGAAAGAACAAAAGAAAATATGCGCAAAAGAGTCTAACCACAGACGCAGACTGTGATGCGGGAATGTACAAACAACAAAAAATTTACTGGAATGCCCAGGGTCGTAACTACGGGAAAGGTTTAGGGGTTCAAACTCCTCCTCCACCCCTTTAACAAAGTAGAAAAAGTAAAAATGTCTAGTACGTTCTAAAATTTAAAATGTTTATTTTTTAAACTATTTTTTTTTTTAACTGAATAAATACTTAGTATATAGAAAATAGTATAGATACACAGTCACACACTCACACAAAATTATTCTTTGGTAAATATTTAAATTTCATCTACATCATGATATAATGTATTATGTCTTATCATCGTCCATCGACGGCTTAGACTAGAAATCCATAACGCCGTTGACGACGTTACTACTTCAGCCTGCTGACAGCACATGTTTGTTTGATGACACTAACTCAACATATATAAAATACTTTAAATTTCTAATTTCTTTTTATCTTCCTGAAATTGACACTGTTACAGCTAACTATGAGCTACAAATTTGGAAATAAAAATTCAAAAGACTAGTAACAAGCAATGATGAAATGCTGCCTTCTAATGCATTGGATGTCATCAGACGTTGTGACCTTATCATATTTCCAAATATATTTATGTTACCAAAAATATAGTGCAGTGTACCTGTTTTTATTTCAACGCCAGAAAGACCTTTTTCTGGCTTAAAACAAATAAATATCTACCTCAAAAACAGTATGAAAGAGGTATGTATACACAATGAATTTTGATTTAATTTAATTTATTGAATTTTTTCAAACAGAATCATCTCAATGAATCGGTACTATTAATTATTACCAAAATATCGTCATCACGCCCGAAAAAGTATTGGATAAAATGGCTAAGAAGTCGAGAAAAATTGACTTAGTGTTATCATGAAAATATAATATTTTAACCTCACAATTTTGATGTTTAACTCAATGTAATCTCTTATAATGATATCTTCTATAAAATTTCTATCTATAGAACTGGACCCACCTCCATAGAAAATTTCTAACTACTATCTTGGGAATGCTTAAAACTACCAGTAAGAGGGGTTGTAGATTTTACAGGATAACAATTAAGGACAACGCAACTAAAATTGCTGATTTCTGGGAGAAAAAAGGAACTTAAAACTCTACCACTGACCGACACGCAAAGAAGAAAATTAGATCCTGCATACATTTTACTAGGTGAGGGATATGTAAGATTTAATATTTTGTACAATTCGATAAAAAAAACAAAAAACAGACATTTAAATATGACAAATCGCTATAAACGCCCCTCATTTGCCTCCCCTCCGAAGTCCAGACGCCTGAGTATGTACGCTAGACATATCTATAATATAGTTTAACGATTAGTTAGGGCTCGGTTTTCAATATCAGGTGATACACGTGTTCACTATTATTTGATATATTGATATAGGTAAGAGAAAATGTATGATAAATGTCATAGGTCATTCCCATATTGGGTTAATCGAACTTTACTTTGAATCGTTTTTCATTAGCAATGATTTATCACTGTGTCTACATACTGCGTCACTAGATAATCGTATAGTATAATATAGAATATACATATACCTAAATAAAATTCCCCAATGGCCTATATATCCTAACCTCCCAACTTCAACAGTGGCACGTCTATGGTGCAAAGTAATGTTAATTCACACATCGCAGTGTAACATGTATAAAAAATATATTTTACAAAATATTACATAGATTTCTCGTTATGCTCAGAATCTAAAAACAAAATCATTAATAAACCTTTAATATCGTAAACCTTCTCATTTTTCACACGGGATTTTCCGCACTTTTGAAAAAATACACAATTTTCTTTCAAATAAATGATAGATACTAACCTAACCAATAACCAGTCAAAAAACACATCATAAAATCAATACATTACTCATTTTGCTCAGAATCTAATAGTTACTGCGAATTCTCGACATATTTGTATCACCATAAGAACAGTATTTTATTCTCTCGTCATTAATAAAAATAAAAGGAAAATCAAAAAATGTTCAGCCCAATCTAACAACTAGATAAAATTTGCCACTATAAAGCAATCCTAAAGTTGATGATCGAAGTGAAATGTCTAGTAGAATAGTCGTTCAAACGAATGAACCCCAAATGAAATCAGGGGTATGTAATTTTGTGTATTATGCATGGTATCTATAATAGTGTCAATAATGTGTTTTTTAGGGGTTTTAACACCCATCCCAACAATACTCAAATACTTGAATTGTATGTTCTTATAGGAAATACTCAATTTTTAATACCCTTTCAGGCTAAAATGTAATAAAACTCTTACCAACATAATTTCCTATAGATTGTTGAAAAAAGAATAAATTAAATAATGTGACGGAGATAAGTGACTCTAGCGACGGAGTTTTGCCTCACATGGTTGTTATTTATTTAATATTAAAAAATAATGTAATTTTTAACCACACCAATTATTAAATTTTCAGTTTGAAGAAAAATTAGCGTTTACAAAACTTTTGAATTGAAAGTATTTTTCTCGACTTTTTTGTTTAAATGCTTTTCTTGATCCAAGTGCAATTCGACCTTACCTAACATTTTATCCCGGTTGAGTAAAAAAAAAATAAACTCAGAATTATTTTACATCATTCGTTCTATATATCATTTTTCGTCATATAATAAAAAATTTTATCGATTTCCTTTTTGAATTCCGAAAAAGTCCATTATAGGTAAAACGGTCAATCGTATCCGTATATAAAAATCGAAAATGTATATTATGGCATCACGCCGATCAAATATTCGATATTTATAACAATATAATATTCATTCGGTCGTCGTGGATACCTATCGCGGAAAATTAGTTTATATCGATTTGATATTCTTGCAATTTTTTTATTGTATGAAATTTACAAATCTCGTGCACATATGAGTGTTTTCTACTTTTCTCAACATTATATTTTACGGTTTATAAAACGTACATTTTTTCAATTCAATTTTTTTCTTGTTAATTATTGTTCGAGATACACCACCGTCGTAAGTATTTAATATTTTTTTTTATTTTTAACTTTTATGAAAACGCTATAATAATATTTCCCCGCATATTGTTGGTGTCTCGCTCGTCTCTGTCTTTCAAACTTACGGCAAACGCAGAATTTGCGAGAAACAGCGGGACGATTTTACGCTGTTGATTTCAATATTACACAGCGAATTGACAAAATCACCAGGAAAATTAAAGGTGCGAATATAATCCGTGTGTTTATACGTCGATATTTGTAATTTGCTAAGCGAGATATTTCGATAAAGTATAATATGAAACATCGAAAATTAAAAATACACACCTATAATTTGTTAAGAAATACTAAAATATCGAGAAAAAGATAATAAATATTTATTCTGATATTATAACTTAGAGCATACAACTGTCCCTGCTAAACGTATGCTTGCTATCTTCCGTTGTTGCAAAACGAGGGCTATATGCACGCGAGTATCGAATTCGCTCTTATAACTATCTTTTATTTCACAGTTAGTTATTTACTTGTAATTATATTAAGTAAATTTTCTACTCGTATATTCCACACTTTTGAGTATATGTGTACATTTTGTTCCAGTAGTCGATACACGCAGTGGCGGCGTAGCCGTGATTTTTTTTTAGAGGCATGTTTTTATTTTATGTTTAAATGTAACTTTGTAACTTTTTTGGCGCATGCAACACGCACAACATATACCTAATACTTATCTATATAAAACGCAACTCATTTTGTAAAAATCTGATGCATGACTGCAAATAGTAAAAATTATAATTGTTGGTATAAATATAATCAAAGGAGGATGTTTGAACACCAAAACGCCCTCCTTTGCTACGCCACTGTCCGAATCAGCACTGAACCGAACAGCAAAACGAACACAATAAAAATTAATAGGTACATGTATAAGATAGCTATCTCAGATTATGAAAAAAAATAAAATATAAAAATTATAGCGCATAGCTCGAGTGATTGAAAAAAAATTATCACATTTTTTAAATATTTTTGTTACACCACGTGTATCCAGTATCGCATACATTTTGTTTATAATAATTTCGTAGAAAGGGGTAGCATATATTATAAGTACAGTAGGTACTATCACTATTAGGTATTACTGTTTTATAAATAACTTTTGAATTTTCGATGAAATTATAGCCAAATATTAATTAATATACAATTAGATAATTTATCCAAGGGCCAAAAACTGAAATAAAACTGTTAAATATTTTAGAGGATGCCGAAGGCGATTATGTTCTTTTTACTATTTTTAAATCGTTCATTATCTTTATATCCGAATAACTATTAGTATAGTATAGTTACATATTGATTTTTTATAGACGTCACCAGCTTGATAACAATTACCTATATTATTGTCAATTTTTCGAAACGGTTATTTATTTTGAACAAATTGACTGGGTACCTAGATACGATAATATTATATATACGGTTGATTTTATTTATATAATAATATACCTAGTTTATTAATTTTTTTTTTCAGATTTGGTGTTTTGTTACCTTATTGTTTCACTTGTTTTGATGTTTTTGATTCAAACCATTTTAGAAGGAATTTATACCTTCATATATTATTATTTATAAATTTTAAACGGGTAAATTAAATACACCAACTCTTTAAGTAGACACCTAACACATAAATAATACATTTTGTTTTCAGATTCAGTGTTTTTCCATCTTATTGGTATTGTAAATATTGATTCATAACAATGGCAAACAACGTAATGAGAAATAATGTCGACGACATTAAAACTGATGTATTGAATGAAGCCGAAGAGCTCCATAATAAAATGTCATTACTTATGATATTAAAAGAATATCTAAGAAAAATGCGTTCGACCTGTGCATATTGTCATAATGTAACATTTAATATGGTAAATGGTAAACAGTTAGCATTACACATACTAGAAAATCACCGTTTCGCTACTCTAGAAGTCGGATCTTCTAAAGAAGTTGCTGAAAAATTAGAATTGAATTTAAAATATTTAGAGAATGTTTATTATTTAAAACAAGATCACTGCGACAAAAATGATAACATTCCAGTGACTTTACGTCCACGCGTAGTATTTCCTCATCGTAAAGTTGTTGTTGAGCCCCAAATAATAATTAATAATTGGATAATTCCGTGTGAAAAAAACGAGAAAAATAAGAAAGTTGACGAATGTCCTCAAATCAAAACTAAAAAAAAAAGAGAAACCTATCAACAGGATTCTTCTGAGAACCAACCTGAAAAGGTGACAATTTCATCCGATGATGAACAGTTGATGTATGAAGTTAGCCGATGTCCTCAAACGAAAACTAAAAAAAAAAAAGAAACACATCAACAGGATTCTTCTGAAAGCCAACCTAAAAAGATGACAGTTTCCTACGGTGAAAAACAGTTAATAGATAGAGATAGCCAATGTGTTCAAACGAAAACGAATAAACAAAAAAAAGCACATAAACAGGAATGTTCAAAGAGAAAAATGACCTGCGACGAAGAAGTTTCGGTCAAAAAACAAAAACGAGAACAAAAACCTGCGAAACCACGAAAAGGGAAATCGTTATTGAACAAAATCAAACATGTACTGATGAAATATAACCCGAATGGCAGATAATTTTGATCGTTAATTATTTGTTAAAAATAAAAAACTTCCATTAATTTTGTTTGGCTTATTTCCATAAAGATATTGTGATTAATGGCTGTATAAAAAAAAGCGATACTTCACATTATGCATATTAATATACAATATCAATTGAAGTTTAATGTTTTCAAATCGGCGATTGTAAACTCCGCCAGAATATCAGTAAGATAAAAAGGTGAAATGACCGACGATTTTTAACGTGTTCGAAATCGCATGACCATCGAATACGAGTCGCTCTTTACCAACAAATAAAATTAATCGAAAAGTGTTCCCAAAATAATATATGTATATTGAAGATAATTTACAAATAGGTCGGTACGGCCCATGACTTATGGATATATTTTGAATGGATTACTTATTAGTTGATACAGAGTGTTTTCGATGTTCATGCGGTTTTCAAAGATGTGACACGCTAAACATATGCCGACATATTGACGGCATTTTGGGAAACTAAGAAAAAATCTGGGAAAAAATTAATAACTATTATCCATGCCATAAAAGTGACATGGAATGTCTTAAATTATATTTTAATTGTTTATTCCCCTTAAAACGTACTTTAATATCATATTCACACAAGAAAAATTGTTTTCGTCAACTCAACCAATATAAGCCTTGCATAAATAAAATTCAAAATAAATGAAAAATTCATGGTTTTAAATGGGAAACCTCACCTCATTATACGAGGAATCGATAATTGTCCTGGGAAGCTCAAATAAAGTTCAATACTTATTTTTATTGTTCTAGAGGCCGTCAAAACAAAACAATTCCGCCGTCGCCCAAATAAGAACCACCCTAGGGTAAGTTCATATTATACTATAGCTGGGCTATGTGAAAAGACCATTGTAACATGTACAAATTCTACCGGCCGAAGAAATCACTGAAATAGTAAAGTAAAAGCTATACAATACATAACATGCCATAATTTTTGTCGAAATTCGATCTTAATGGGAAAAAAAAAAAAAAAAAACCAACGCGTTTAAACTCAAATTTGTTTTTCAGACCACTAATTATAGCTTACAAATACAACTTGTGTTAAATTTTCAAGCACTTCTATTAAGTCATATAATTTTAATAACAGATACCTGTACCAAATAAAAATACTTATACAAACACGAAAATACCTACGAATAGCTTAAAAATAGTTATAATGTTTTGAATGTTTTACTACGTTTACAAAAGGCCAATATAAGTATTTTATGCAAACTACATCATCAGGTCTCTACAATAATTTCGAACCAAATAACAACAAAAAATCGAAATGCCGTGCACTTTACCGTATTTCTTACGTTTTCTCCCAGTTTTTCGGGTAAGCCCAAACGAGTATAAAACAACTTAATTTTTTTCTATAAAAATGCCATTGTCTTTATTTCCTTTTTAAATTGTTTTTCAGAGTATAGATATTATAATGTTAAATATCTAATTAAATATTATCGAGCAATAACCAAACTCATCCCAAATTACATAACGTCCATCGTCAATACATTTGTATGATATTATACAAATATAAAAGAACTTTCAAACTCAATGTGATAATTTACATTAATTACCATAGGCGTGTATACACATATAAGTCCTAAATTCAAAATTAATATCCAAATGCATAAAACTATTTTATTTGTTTGCTCCTCCAGCATTTTATAGTTAAATCGGTTTTTTCATATGGTGAGTGATTACTTAAACCATTAAAAAAAACTCGCTATACTTGTATAAGATACAAAAACGAGGTGTTTTTTTTTTTTTAAAAAAACTTAATACATTTAATTATATCAAAAATGTGTTAAAAAAAATTGCACTGTCCCACAAATTAAAATTTTTTGCGCCACTACTGTAGGTACTACTTATATATTTTAATTGTTAGATTTCGTTATTTAATAGTGTGATAGTAATTAATATTCTGGTTATTTATTATACTGTTATTTCACAAAGTGTGGTCAAATTTAGAAGAAAAAAAAAAGAATTTGCTACCTACAGTGAGCGCTACCATGTGGCCATCGCAATGTCATAATGGCGCTCTCTAGCGGTTTGGAACGCGAACGATGCTACGTGAAAGGAAACTCGTTTATTTTTTTTTTTGGAATTTGTATATTTCTTACTGGAATACTAGAGTAAAGGTTGACGTGTAAACAAATTTAAAACTCACTGTCACGGGATCTAATGGCGCTATATATTTGACACCGGAACTTTTCATTCTTGAGTCTTGACCAAAATCACCAGTACCTACACAGACACGCAATAATAATAGCGACGACACTTTCTCGATAGGTATGTAAAAAAAATATCGGCACTCGAAGAACGGGAAAAAGTTACGAACGCTAACGACACCGCGGGAAAAATAGACGCTACGCAATAAAATACTGTACTAGGCGCGGACAAGCTAAACACTCGCGAGTCGCAACCGAAACCCGTCGATAAGCGAGCGAGGGCCGCGGAACCGCGGAACTTCGGAGCTTCAAAACTGTCTACGTCGAACCAATGCACCGGCGGAACGACGTTCCACTTACCACGGTTACGTCCTGGCCACAGACATTGTATAAAAGCGATTTCTTTTTGTAGTCCTGGCACAACCGGGATTGGTCGCTGAGAAAATCTCGTCGGGCTAATCGCAGTGCCGTACTATGTAGCCGGGCAGGCACGCACTCCCGTGGGACTTTTCATTTTATCGGTTATAGCTTTTTTTTTGACAAAGTGTCCCGCTGTTTTCCCAATACAAATATCACTGTTGACATTAAAGTAAAATCTGAACCGGTGTAACGGGCAAATCGTACCTCCCGCAATACGTTTGCCCTAAGAATATCATAACACCGGTACCAAATTTTTAGGATACATCTAACTCCGAAAACTGTGTGACGGAGATAGGTACCAATGACTTTCCTAGGATAATCATACCACTCGCAGGTAACAAGATCCTAGGATGAATACACTAATTTACATGGGCGGCTTTTAGATAATTTTCAGATGGGGAACAAAATCAAATTAGATTCCAAAACCAATTTGTTGCATATAGATAATAGGTTGGTATTTTTTGAAAATGAATGAGGAAGAAAAGGTATGCAATTATGTAAACATTAGCTTAGAAAAAAAAAAAAAAAAAACAGCAAGTGCTGAAATCAAGACATTAAAATATTCTACTGTTTATAATTTATATTAAACGTTTGATTAGACAATTATAAGTAAGATAAATATAAGATAATTAAAATATTAAATAACTAATATTTAATGAAAAAAAAAAAATGTATGTATACCTTCATATACAGACAATAAGTTGCTGGCTTCTAACGCTTTGGATTAAATACCTATATATTATGTATATTCCTTCAGTTTACTGATTTCAATAAAAGTATTAATTATTATAGAAAATAATATAATAAACAATAAACAAATTGACACTAAAAACTAATCACAATATATCAATGGTCAATACACTTTTAAATACCTATTACCTAATTTCATATTTGCGTTCATCTATGAAATGTAAAAAATCATCATTATTGTTATCATAGGGCATATTATAATAGATAAATAATTGTTAATTTATCTATCCTACCACATCCATTGCAATAAGTTATAGCATAGACATATTAATATTAATATTATTATTTTACTATAAAATTTATTAAAATATGTTGTTAATAATATAAATTATTAATACCTCTACAAGTTCTGCACCACTGCATCTAATACCTTTTACTGTTGCAAATATATTATTTTTATTGTTAAAAATAATATCAGAAAATTTTAACTGTCTAACTAAAAATTTATATTAATTTTAAATTGATTGATTAAGGTGAATTCATACCGATTGGGGCATGAGATGCTGTAACAGCCCCAGCACCCCAGCCAGACTTTAAAAATTGTATAAAAATAAAATAGGCCCAAATATTTTGAACATTTTACCAAGCCTAGAAAAAGGAAATATGAATTTTCTGTCAAAATTTCAAGTCTCTACTTTTTAACTGAATTATGTCTTAAAAAAATAAAATTTAAAATTATTTCAGAATTATTTTCATGATTTTTCCCATAATTTATACATATTTTTCAGTTTTACTTAATTATTAAAAAAAATTACAAAGTAAATCAAAATACAACTTTCTTGATCACCAACAATATTGAAAATTCAAAAAAAAAGATATCTTGATGTTTTTCTATTGGAGCAATATTTATGGTAGAAAACAATCCATACAAATTTAAAATAATGGAATTGTTGTTACGTTATTTGAAAAAAATTGTAAATTGTACATCCATGTTTTTTTTTTTTTATTGATTATATACTAGATATGAATAAATAACTAAATCTAAGCAATGGTCTTGACAAAGTTCTTATAAAATCAAATCAAAAATACACAACTTTATTTCAATAGAGCTTCAATATGTACAGATATCTGCAATACTGTCACAGCGATTAAAACATGAACGTATAGTGAATAATTACATTTTGATTATAATAATATGTTGGAAAAGAAATTGGGTACAATATTATTAAACAATCTACAAAGTTTTGAATTTAAAGTAAATATCATTATATTGCACAAACAATGACAAAAACACAATTTTATAAATAGTACAAGCATAAAGGGTGGAATTTTAGCCAAAGTAAAGATTTAAGAACTTTAACTAGTATTATACTAACAATATATCACTATGATTAATCTAATAGGTTCATTAATAACCAATCAAACATTATCTATATCATAAAATTATAAGTAATAATATTAATAATATTTTATTTGATAAATGATTTAAAACAAATAATTTTTCGATTTGTTCAAACGTATACGTAATATAGATATATTATTTATCACACAAAAATAATAATACATTTATATATATAGTTTTAAAAGATGTAGTTATCGATAAATACAACAAGTCATAATAGTTTATATAATATACAATATGGAAACATTTATACTATATAATATTTTAACTAAAGCAAATATTAAATAATACACTATATATTTATTAACACAATTAAAAATAAAAAATAAATTAGTAAACAATATATAAATTAAATATATTTTGATCTATATGGTTACAATAAAATATTGGGATTGAGATATAAATTTCAAGTTGACAGCATAAGAAGTAAGGTACCAAATATTTAAAAAAAAAATTAGTATTTCAAATTACAAAGAGAACATATTTAATGATTTAAAAAAAAATATATATATACATATATAACCATAAATGAAATATGCACTATTTTTTATTTTGTACAACAAATATGTTATACCATAGTTCATATAAGTATTATAAATAATTAACTAAAATACTAACAAAAACATAATATACCAGGTTATTTTCAACAAAATGAATAACTATAGCTAATAAGTTTATAAATTAAAGTTTACAATAAAAATGATTGAAAATTGGATTATTTAATATTGTAAAATAAAAATGTATTAAATAAAAACGTCAAAATTCAACATTAAAAAATTGTATCACCTAATAACTATTTCACGACTCAATAGATTGTGATAACCTACAATATAATATAATTCTAAAGTGGTCAATTACAAACAATTCAATATATGTAATTTAATTAATTAAGTAGAATACTGAAAAAAAATCTGTCAAACTTCACTTACAATATACTTTTTATTAAATATGTTTCCATTTCAAATACTTAATAGCTAATAATATAATTTATTATATATATTTGTAATACCTATATTGTAATATACTTTAGTTTAAGATATGATAAAATTGTATACAAGGAAAGTATACAATCACTATTGTACATTCTAAGTTCTAATCATGAAAATGTTACTTATTATTATAGAGAATGTATAAATACCATCTAAATATAATAATATTTATAATGTTTTGTTAACGGATAAATTTAAATGACAAATAACGAAGTACTCAAAAAGATTTAATACAATTTATAAGAACATAATATTATGTTATAATTTTTAACCAAAATCATCCCAAAAATAAAAGCTATTTTTTCCTATGTCCTTATAATTAACAGAAATAAATTATTATTAAATGATAATTGTACTAGGTAATGAAAAAAATTGTTGGCACTTTTTTTTCTTTATAAATTACATTTTTTTTTAGCTTTAGAGAAAAGTATCAAAACAATGGTAAATAACAAAATATAATATAAAAATAACTGTTTACTAATTAATATTTTTAACTTCGGATATGCAAACAAATTGTGAAATTAAAGGATGGAAAATATTTGAAAAAACAAATAATCTAAAGGCCAATAACTGTGAAATATATAAACAAAAACAGAAATATATTTTGTATTTTTATCATTTACCAATATTCTTTTAACTTTTTCAAAAGCTACCAGAGCATATGGTTTTTTAAAGAAAAATTGCAAACATTTAATAAGCACTTGATTGTAGGACAATAATAACTGTGTTCTTCTATTTTTAAAGATATTTTTTTCTATTTAGTCTTATAATTGTAATGAAAGTATGATACACACTACTAAATGGTGGCCTACAGAAATTCAGTTTTAATAATAATTGTGTGTTTATTTCTATATAAATAACTTTATTATGAACATTTTTAGCACAATAACAAATAAAGCTTTTAAAACTTACTTCGACATTAAAGTAAACATATCAAATAGTTACCATACTGATCTTTTTTAATTAAAAGCACGGTAGGGACCATTAACCTTGAGATATGACATTATAACTGATGGACCCCCTTTGGCTATATCACCGAGTTGACTCAATGGACAATTTTCAATGTCCAACAACTGCAATTTGTTACATAAGGCGAGCTCAAAAGGTAAATTATGAAGATTTAGGTTGGCGTTTACGTATAGTGCTTCCAAATTTTCTAATGTACCAATTTCTTCTGGTATCGTACTGAGTTTATTTTCCCCGGCACTAAGGTACACGAGGCTAGTTAGATGTCCAATTGCACGTGGAAGAGCTTGTAACTGGTTTGACTGCAACATTAATTTTTGCAACGATCTTAAATAACCAATTTCTTGAGGTAACAATTCTAATTTGTTTTCTTCGAGATCCAGTATTCTGAGTTTTTGAAGATTTCCTATGGTAGCAGGCAGTCTTTTTAATAGGTTATTGGATAAAATCAACACTTCCAATGTTTGTAGATACTGTATGTCATCAGGCAATTTAGAAATCATGTTTGTAGCTAAATTCATCTCGACCAATTTAGTCCAACAATTGATATCTAATGGCAGTGATGTCAAAGCATTATCTTTCATGTTAAGTTTTGTTAAATACTCTGCTCTGGAAAATATTCCATACGGTATTTTATCAATTTTGTTATGCTCAACATTTATTGTGTGTACTCTGAGAAATTGTGCAGGTCCTCCGGTCGGATAAGCTGTAAAGCAATTTCTAGCCAATGTTACACTGCTCACATTTAAATTTACCAGAAGTCCATCGGGTAAACAACTTATCATATTACCTTCTACATTAAATTCATTTAAAATACAATTACTTAATGTACTTGGTAGAATCTTCAATCTGTTGTATCGTAATCCTAAACGTCTAAGAAGTGTAAGATTACCAAAGGTATCAGGAATGTCAACAAGTTCATTGTGTTGAAGATCTAATGAGGACAAATGTTTACAGTTGCCAATCTCTTGGGGCAAGTGTTCCAAATGGTTGTGTGACACATCAAGTGTAACTAAAGATTCCAATTTACCTATACTAGGCGAAATATCTTTGATTTTGTTCTCTCGGCAACTGAGCATCGTTAGATTAGTTAATTTACTAATACCATCTCCCACAGTACGTATGCGATTGAAACGTAAAAAAAGTGTTGTCAGCTCAACCAATTTGAAAACAACTTCTGGTATTTCAGTGAGTTTATTGTGTCTTAGGTCCAAAACCCTAAGACTAGTAAGATTGGCGAGTGATTCGGGTAGACTGGTCAGAGAGTTTTCACTGAGTGCTAAAGTATGTAAACCAGTCAGACATCCAATTTCTGGAGGTAAAGTAACCAATTTGTTGCCATACAGATATACCTCAGTCAATTGCGTAGAATCTCTAATGGTTATTGGAACTTTGGTCAAGCCGGATTTGCTCAAGTCCAAACGCCAGTCGGAACACTCGTTACAATTCTGAATTTCCTTCACTGCATCTTGAACTGATTTTTTCGTATTTTCTTTTTTGGCGGACGGCGTGTACAACTTTTTCGAATCCGGTTGCTTGACTGTCACCACTCGAGGCTTCAATTCCGGCGGTGCACTACTGCTACTGATAGAACTTACAGACAACTTTTTGTCTTTACGCATTTTATTAGTAACTACCGTCTTGACCTCGTCAATTTCGACGGAATTCATGATAAAACTTCAAAACTAAGTATCTTCAACACGTCATTTTATCATTTAACAACAAATTATTATTAAGGTAAACATTTTGAACAATATCATAAATATTATTATTTATTACCACTACTTACTCAGTTATAACTAAACACTTTATTTATTTTCTTGGGATTTGTTATTGATTAAATTCTCAGATAAAAAATAATCATGGATGAATATATTAATGATATCAATTCTATCACAAACTATCGTGTTTTCTCCACAGATAATGCATAATTATGTGTTTTCTATCCATGAATATCTATTATCTCAAATAAAATATTTGAAAAGTTAACATGGATACTCAACATTTTGGTATATTATAGATTTATTTATAGGAAAAATGTATATTTAATATGGACCAAGCATGAATAATTTAAATAATTTGTATGATGTTAAAAATTATAAAATTAAAATATCAAGTGATATATGGGCAAAAAATAAAATTAATAAATTATTAAGGTATTTTCAAAAATTTTAGATACCAATTGAAATTCTTATTTTAAGGTTAGTATCATACTTCGTGAACATGACTATCACTAATCACTATTCTATAAATTCTCCGAGATAAAAACGAACATTAAGCTAACAAACATTGTTCTCCGCTTTTGTTTTGTACTTTTGTGCTTTTAAATTTGCTGTAAAAAAAAAAAAAACATTTAATCAAAAACATGGGTAAGTCAAGTGAACCTAAGCCCGATGGGGACAAACAAAAAAATACTTTAGACATTGGTTTATTGGAAGAAGACGATGAATTTGAAGAGTTTCCAGTGGAAGGTAACTTAACTTCAAAATCAAAGTGTAATATATCATGTTTAATATTTAATTTTTGATTATTAAGAATGGGCGAGTCAAGACGAAGAAGATAAGGAAGCTAATGTTTGGGAGGATAATTGGGATGATGACAATGTCGAGGATGACTTCAGTGTTCAATTGAGGTAAATATTAATTATGGTTATTGCTATATTTTTATGTATTATTTTTGTTTAAAATTCATTACTTATTTGTTGTATTTTATAAGCATTCTCATTACTAATAACTTATATTAAATCCATACAAAGTAGTATATATTCCAAGATAATTTTGTGTACATGGTGTAAAATTGACTAATGAATCATTCATTTTTTTTTTTTTTTAAGTTCTACTTAAATTGTTTACATTGCCATTATAATATCAATTATTATCAATTTATCCATGAAAAATAAACTTCAACAAATTGTAGAAACTTAGTGATTTATTATTAGTAAATATTTGTAATACCAGCATTTTTTTTCAAAATATATTTATATAAAAGATCTTTGATTTATAAAAACAATTTTTTTAAAAAATTAAATTTGAAATATAAAATTGAGGAATCATAATGTAAACTGCAAGGCTCTAATGATTATTACAAGAAAAAGGAACCCTAAAATATTGAACAAAACAAAAGTTATTTCAGGTATACCTGAATCTTCGTGTTACAGTCTGTATTCCTATGCGTACACAAATTAAATTAAAGTTATTGAATATATATTGTTTTAATTTACTAATTTTTTTTTTTTTTTCAGAGCTGAGTTTGAAAAACAAAATATTCCTGCTACGTTTTAAAATTATTTATTTTATAATGTTTTTGTAATCAGTTAAAAGTAAAATGCATATATTAAAATAATTATATAAATGTATGCAACTAATATAAGGTTCTTTTTATTTTGAATGGTTTTTATTTTATTTTTCTACACCAATTTATAATCTTTATCATTATCATTGACAATTATTTTATATTTTTATCTCGATGTTTAGGGAATCAAAGTATTATATTTCATAAGAGCAATGGAATTGTATACAAAATTTAACTAAATTTTTATCTGATACCTTCTTAAAATTATGACACACTTTGTAATATTGCATACAGTTGTGCTGATTAATTTTACTCATCAATTTTTTTTTTTTAATAATAATAAGTGAAAGTCATATTTCATATGAAATGATTTTTGTGGAATAAAAAGTGGTATACTGTGTACTATACATTTTTATTTCCAAGTTTTAATTATTTATAAAGTGAAAATTGACAATTTTCAGAGTGAGTATTACAGATATTGTGCCATAAATCAAAAAGAACAATAAATATAAATTATTAAAATCTAAACTGTTTGGATAGTTTATTTTTTTATTATTATCAAGAAAATGTGTTATAACCTGGGGTCAAAACATGCTCTAAATAAATTAGAATATGAACGTAAATAGATATCTATAAGCATTTTAAAATGCAGAATATAGGTACCATGAAAGAAATTTGTATTGAATTTGTTTGGTAATTAGATTAGTCAAATAAATGAATATTTAATTTTAAAAAAAAAAAACTATATTGATTATTAATTATTAACTTGTATAAAAGCTATAAGTAAGTACGATATAGTTTTTATTTTATGAAAATAGTTTTACAGTTAATAAATCATCGTGTTTTAAGAACTCTATAGGTAAACCATACAGAAACTACTTGATGTTTCTGATACTGTTTAATAAAAAATAACTGTTATGAGTCAGTAACATTGGTCATTAGTATAATTAATGTTTTATTAAGATTAATTTCCTAATAAAATTAATAGCATTTAAAGTCAAGCGTATAAAGTTTATTAAAAGGTCCATTTCCCTAGTATGCTCCATTTAGAATTCAACGTCCTAACATGAGACAATTTTTTGTGGTTCATTATTGCACTGTATCCTGTTTTTAGTGTTCCATTCCTTAAAAGTTATAAGCATATTACTTTTATAAAAAAAATTGAAATTTCATATTTGTACTATGTACCTACTTCAATTACCGAAATTGATTGGAGATAACTGAAATGTGTCTCAATGTTACCATATTGTCATAATATTTGTTTAGTGTCAGCATATAAATATTAAATAGCATATTAATGTATAGGTAGATTAAAAAGTTTTATTTACATGATTACAAATCACCTAACACAAATATTACTATCAATATGAGATACCTAAGTATTCATTACTTATTTAGAAAAAAAAAAATGTTTCAGATTGTTTAAATTTTACTTATCCTATGTTAAATACATTTAAGATCTAAAATGATATGGCCTTAATTTTAGTTCTATACATTGTAGTCGTAAGTTAAAGAGTATAATGAATTATATGTTAAAACACAGAGATTATATTTTTTCTTATACAACAGTGACTAAATTTTAAAATCTATCAAACAATTTAGGACACAAGACATTTACAACACTGATGCTGGTTATTATAATCCGTAAATTAGGTACTCAATTTTATTATTTGTTACCTAACTAGGTATCTACTTGTAGAAAATATATACCTAATATTATCATATTAATTACGAATATTTATGGATTCGTTTGGTACTTAAATGTTTCGTTTAGAGCTGAAATATTTTTGGCGCAATACCAAATTTTCGGGATACCAAAGTAATGTTAAGTACATACCTGAGTAATTGAGAAAAATAAACAAATCTAAACGTACCTACGTTATACTACTCGCACGTATCTATAATAAATACCTATGCGGCTATGTATAATGTACCTGTATCGATCAATGGCATAGCTACAAATTAGTTCTTTTTTTAATAGGTACAAGTTAAAATCTAATTTTTACGAAAATCGTGAATATCTATCACGGCCTTTCAAAACATGACGTATAACCGAACTTCGCTCTGAATCGTTTTTAGCAATAGTAGCAATAATTTATTATTCGTTACAGGTTTAAATTAAAAATTGTATGTAGGTCTTCCACTTTCCCGATTAACAACAGTGTCGATCACCAGTACCTGTACCTATGACAGTATCAGCTAATTTTTTAAATTTATATCTAACACATTTTTATGAATTTATTTATGAAACAATTTGTACTTACCTATAGTAATTTATTGTTATGTTTATTGTTTGTTATTGAATAAATATTCTATGCACATTTAATCAATGTATGGGAACAATCAGTTTGTTGCTGCAAGTCATAGACAAAATTACTGGTGACATGAATTGCAAACAATTAAATTGTCGTGAACTACCTGGCTATTAGACCAGCTTCATGTGCACGTTTAAATTGATTCAATTTTAATCATAACTTGCTTACCAAATACTTGACCATTACCAGCGCCTATTACTCAGGTAAGCTCTCTAAAAAAAATTGTCGAGGCAGTCGAGGCGACTGCCTAAAATTGACCCTGCGGTAGCTACGCCACTGATATTTAAAATTTACACCAAAATGTTATACTAATTAGACACATAGATTATACGTCGTGTTTTCCGGGTAGGTGCCTACCTACCCAGAAAACATACCAGTTATAGGACTTTTAGAATTTTTTAATTTTAACTATAGGCTAGGTTCCTACCAACTATAACTATACACACCTATCTTCCCAAAGTTTACCAATGCCTACCTGAAAACGAAGACATTTTCTGAGGTGTCCCACAGTTGAATGATATACCTACTTTGGTAATATTATAAAATTAATTAAAAACTATTATCGTGTGTATGTCTGTATTATTAATGGTCTTAAAATCAGGCGTTTGAACTTCTATATGCATTGCATTTCCCAAGTCCAATCGATAGATTAGATTGTTGCTTTTTTTTGTGCGAACAACTTTTCTTCCAGAGATATCTTGTTTTGATGTATCAAGTGTAGCACCTTTTCTGAAAGGACATTTTATATTATTGGTCCCTTAATATGTAAGTCATTTTTTTGATTTACCAAGTAGTTTTCATACTAATTGGGAATAACCAAAAAAAGACGAAAAATGAAAACTAATAAATTTACGATGTCACGATTCCTTTATTTTAACTTTTTATTGTTTATGCTTTCTACCAAAAATATTGCTCCAATAGAATAACAACAAGAGACTTTTATTTATTGCATTCTATATCTAGTTCATGAGTAAACTGATAGTTTTTTGATTGTAATTAAGAAATAAAATTAAAATTAAAACTGACAAATTTACAGCGTTACAATTTCATTATTTTAAAATTGTACGCTTTTTTTTCGACCAGAAAATATTTCTTCAATAAAAATAAGGCATGAGATAATTATTGCTGCATTTTTAATTTACTTGATGAATAAGAGCCGTTTTTAATTTTCCGTGTAGTTTTTATTAATAATTGAGCAAAATCAAAAAAAAATGTAGACAGTACAGGAAAATAATGGTTTTAATTATTTTAAATTTTGTTTAATTTTTTTGTTGTAAGCCAGTTAAAAATATTTGTAGACTTGATGCTTGGACAGGAAAAATATTTATCATTTATAGACATGTTAAAATTTTTAAAATATTTCAATTTTTTATGTAATTTTTATTCGGTAAGTACTCTGTGAATAAAACTGTTAGACCAGTCAGAAGTGTTTAAAAATTTATCAGGAGCTTCATTATAAGTTGTACTTTATGGTTATAAAAAAAAAAATTGCGTGTAATATAGAATTTTTTTTCATAAGAATTTTAATATCCAATTTTAACAAAAATCATAAACATTAAAGTTATAAAATATGTATAACTGAACTTTGCTAAGAATCTTTTTTTGTTGGCTATGATTAATTGTTGTGTACGGATATACATTAAATTCCCCTCTATATCCTACCTTTTTAACTTTTCACGTACAACAGTGTACCACCTATTGTGCGAAATATGTTAATCTTTTTTTTTTGTTATAGTTTTCTGAAATTATGACTTAGCTCCCTTCCCCCTTACGAAGTCTGGAGCATCCAGATTTTATTATTGTTATCATATTTTATAGTTTTTATAGTTATTATTATTATTCTTACTATTGTATGTAAAAACTATGCGGAGATTCTATGAAATAACTAGTTGAAGTTTAATAGTTTAGTGAATTGTTTCTAATATAAATACACTTTAATTAAAATTTGTAATTGCAATAACTTTTTAGTATTCACTTTCCATTGGTTACTTAAAATACCAGCAATAAAAAGAAAAACAAACATTAAAAATTGGCTACATTTTCATTTCTCTTTTCTAATAAGTACAATGTGTATTGTTTCATTTGTATTTTATTATTTTTTCAATATTCCATTAAATATACATGTACATATTATATTGTTGTAAATATATTTTGCTCAACATGTTATTAATAGTTTAGTAATAATTTCTTTGTTTTTAGTTATGGCACACCAGCAACCTTTAAATAATAAATGTGATAAACATACATGATTTTAACAAACATAGAAATTGTATGTGTGTTAGAATAATTGTACATAATATTAATTAAATATGATGAAGTTATTAATAATTTAATTTTATAATATAATACGTATATATTTTATTGCAGTTAACATTGGAACTGGTATTCTGATAATTTCATTTCAGTTTATGGTACATAAAAAAATAAGACAAAATACAAATAAAATAATAATACCGAGTTTAAAAGCAGTCTTATTTGTTTAATTAAACAAAAGGAATAACAAAAATAAAATCTTAAAGGACCTATGATTTAAGTCTATAAAACCAAAATGAAAAAAAAAAAAAATCATTTACAATATAAATCTTATTATACCTATAATAAAGCAATGCGTATTAGTCAAGCTATTTTACTTAAGGCTTAGTGCAAAGGTAAATTATTTTCAAACATTAGGAAGGGTATAATAAATAGATTATCATATGACATCCAATGTAGGCCATATACGCTGATACTTTTTCTATTTGAAGCTTTTAAAAGTTTCAAATAAAAAAAGTTTCGGCGTATACTATAATCATAAAATAAATTCCAAAATAATTGCAACATTTTAATAGAAAAAAATATATATATATATATGTTTTTTTTTTTTTATAATTTGTATTATTATAATAACTTCTTTTTTTCTTTACAGATAGTTTTCAGAAGTATTGGGACATCGGATTTAATTTTTAGAATATTATGTATGGGGATAAAAATCTTTTTTAAGCAAGGCTGTTTAAACAATAATATTAATATTTTTGTGATTGATACAAGTAAAAATTTACTTTTTCAATGCACAAAAATATATATTATAAAAGCACCTATATACCTTTTTAACAGATATTATTTTTCTGTTAAATACAAATTTTATTATTTAAAAAGAAAAATAAGTATTTAACTTTTTTTAAAAAAAAAAAGCAAAACGAAGCCAAAATCAACAATTGCACATAAACCATATGTACACACTTTTACAATCTTGCATTGAATCATTGATCAATGTAAGTTTGAAATATATATATAAATATACAGAAATTAACACAAAATACAAGGAAAATGAGACCATTAAAAAAAATATATATATATATATAGTATATAAAGTAAGAAATATAAATTAAATTAAATAAATTTAATATTAATAATAAATTATCAATACGGAATGTGCCCAGTGCTATTGCTGGTTCTACTTTGACACCAACAATACGGAAGACCTGGGCACGAGACCTTTACGCGCACCACGACAACAGAGTATCCACTTGTCATCAACGTCAAGTACAAGTTGTAGCTTTTCACCCTCGTTAAATGACAAATGTCCATTATCAGCAGATAGCCGATGTGACAATGTTCGCACATAACGAATAGGTTCTTTTGATCTTCTCTGTGGTAAACTGCTGGGCCGTATTGCTTTGGGTGCGGATACTGGTGGTTTTTTGACTCTGAAATATATTTATGTGTAAATAATTGTACGTCTTTAACTCAATACAACAGTTTTTACTTATTGGAAGTTAATTCTGGTTTATTAGCATTAGATGGCGAAGTAGGTGAATCAGCTCTATAAGTGGCGGTCATTGGACGTTTGACAAAGGTATCTTGAATTGGTTGAACTGGTGAGAGAACTGGCCGGGGTATACGAGATTTTGTTGCTGCCCTCCTACATACAATAATAAAAGTTAAGTAATTAAAATGCAGCTAAATAGATTTACATAAATAATACCTAGCTCTAAACGCATCACTTTGAGGTCCATCAAAATTAGGTGTATCAACAGTGAGATCCTTAGTACTGAGCAACTCCCATTTCATTTGCAGTCTTCTAAATCTATTTCCCTTTACTGGCACCAACTTTTCAGTGTCGGCTTCTATTTCTGGCCTGTTACATTTCAATTGAATATGTATAATTTTCTAAACATAATGTACAATTTTATAAACTAACTGGATTCTCTCGTCAATGTTATCTAGTCTTTCAAATGCTGTAGCTAATTTTGAACCCATCTGCACACCGCTCCAACGTTTACTAGCCGTACTTGCAACATCTACTGTTTTTGCTGAATCAACATATGACCTTGGCCTCGAAGATTCATTTTCTAAAGTCCGTGCAGTTTTCTTTAACAACCAAGATGTTCGGTTCTAAAGTTAAATTAAATTATTATATTAACAAAGTATATTAGTATATATTTTGTATTTTTATATTCTATAAAAACACTTGCGTTTATGTTGGACAGGCTTTCGTGAAGTTTGCGACATTCATACAAAGGATCAAATTCAGGTCTATACTTGGCCAAAGGTTTAGTAGACGAAATCAATCGATCTAAAAGATCTCTGTGCAAAGTACATCCAAAATTGGCGCGGACGAATAATGCATTTCGGTTGTAATACTTTTGCCAAATAGATTCTCGGGTTCTCATGTAACTTAGCCAAGCATCCAATCCTCCAACACTAATAAAATATTAAAATTATTACAATAATGAAGATACAATCATTGTAATTTAATTTTCCTTACTTTAATAAGCCAAAAATAAATGCATTAAACTTCATTACACCTTCGTTGAGTGCTAACTCATTGTTGATTTTGACTGTTAGTTCATTGAGTGCTGAAGACAGAACACCTGAAAGGAAAAGTTCAAAATTAGATTTCAACAAAAATATCAACATTTCACATAGTAGTGTAGACCTGTAGTGGTTTTGCTAAGTATTATTTTAAATCTTTATAGAAATAATTTCATATGTCATGTTATTAAAATATACCCTTTTATTATTATACATACACAATTAACCAAATCTTGAAATATACCAACAGCAGTGATTTTTTTCTGTTTTACAAAATTTAATTTTTGAGCTTTTTAGTCACACAATGATTAACATTTTTTGGAATTAGTTTTTTTAGAATATTTAAGAAACAAACAGCTTTAAATATTATATAACTGTTGTTATTGTCACTCTTATTTTTGGTTATGAAACCACTTATCATTTTTAATTATCAAATAGTAACTTATATTAAAAATTCCATAAATAGATAAAGTTTTAATTTATATACATTTTGATGTTGAACTTAAAAGTAGAATATCCTTTTAAACGGATTGACAGAAGTTAAAAGTTGTATGACATAAATATAAATATTATATTATATTTTGTGAAATTACCTACACAGAATACCTATCTAAAAGTGCCTATTTCAAATTTACTTAAAATCTCCAATGGATAACCTTCCGATCTCCCATTGTTGGTCTGCCCCTCCATTCTAATTCCTAGCAATACAACAATTCATCTAAGAATTATTATCAAAAGGGGATGCAATTTAAATAAAGAAAATATGTCGTGTCACACAGATTTTACTATGGGGAAGTAAGGGATACAAATGTTCCCTCACTATTTTTATCATGATTGCAAATTAATAGCTACGTTACCCTATGAGTAATTTTTAAAAAAGTATAATTTTCTTGTTTTTTTTTTTTTGTTACAATATTATGATCATTGATCACACCAATGTAATAATTATGTATAATAAAAGAGCTAAATTGAATTTGACTATATAAAAAGATCAGTCAACTGGTTACTTATATTTCTTAATTTATTTGATATTTTTCTATTTATTTCTAAAGAACAATTGACTAGACCTATTAATGATCCACGAACTAATGAAGTAAGGACACTTCATAATACCACAACTGAATTAAAAATATTATTCAAGATGTTTGCAACCCACCATGATTCATGATTTTACTTTAAATGCCATGACGGATAACTACACACATACATTATACAATTTCCGAATTCATTCTGTAGGACTCAAACGCTTAAATATATAACGACAAAATATACTATCGCACATGCTTGAAGAATAAAACTGCTCCATTTTCTTTTTTAAATTTGTTTTAATTAAAATTTAGTAACGAAAATTGCAATATTATTTAACAAGTTAAATATCGGAAATTAAGATAAAGTTTGGAAATTACGTTATGTTATTGACAGCGACATGTCACTTTTATTATTATGTTACATGCCTACTCCTTGAAAATGTACAATTTATTAAACTTGTCAAAAATATTAAATAATGTAATAAAGTTTTCATTTCGTTTGATAGATAGGTAGTAATAAATCGCAATTAATTTACAAAAAATAATATACAGTGTGTCCTACGATGATAAACCTATTATCACATGTATAAAAAATGGGTATATTTACGTGCCTTCATAGCACACTCTGTATTGGTAATGTATTGGATATAAGTATAATCTACTAAGAAATACCAACTAGGTTATACTATTTTAAAATTGTTTATTAATATTTTAAATATTTACGATTCTTTTGTTACAAATTAATATAAAATATCATATTAATCAATTACAAAAATAATCAGATAGGAAATTGACAGCAGGTACAATAAATACAACAATAAAAATAAATCTAATAGATTTAATCTCTGATACTAGGTACTTTTATATACCCACCTAATAAATATAATGAAATTTATTTTTACGTATAGAACGAAACAATATTGTGCAATATATAAAAGCATACGTATAGCCTCCAGTAAAACAATTTAGTATTAAATTATTATAGGCTCACGCAGACCGAGTAGGTTTAGTCACAACAGTGGTTTTCAACCTGGGAGTTGCAACTCGCAAAACTATTAAGTGATAGTTGGGGGGAGGGTCGCCAAAAACCATCAGTATCATGTATACTGTATAGTTAGTATACTGTTACATTAAACAATTTTTGAAGGAGTCGTCTTACAAAAAAAATTACGAGATCGTAATTCGTAAGACTGAAAACAATAATAATATAGGTACTATCGAGTTTATAAATATTGAACGATTTCGGAGTTTTTTTTATTTTTATTAAACACCAAGGTAACACCTATAGAACCTTTGAAAATCTTTAAATATATACTTATATTATTTGTATCAACTCTACTACCTCGAATACTCATGAAAATAAATATTAATATTATATTATATTATTAACCACAAAATAATATAATAATTTATTCGAGTTGTTCAAAAGATTTGAATTAGACAAATTCGGCTCACAGAAGGGAACACGTGAAGCACCATTACTAGTCTAGTAACTAGACTAAGGAAAACACCCTCGGAACATGCAAGACTACGGTGGAGTGACTTTGTGCATAAGGATCTGAAGGACAGAGAAGAGTGGGATGGCGAAGGACCTTCGTAACCTATACTAAGCAAAAAGAAAAAATTACCCGTACCAACAGTGAAAAGTGTCTAAAATCGAGGAAATATCATTGAAAGAATCTTTGGAATTATTCTAAGAACCGCAGAAAATACTAGCTCGGAACAGGTTTTCATTTTACAAAAGTTTGAGGACTTGTGAAATTAAATCTTGAAACCACTCGAGTTACACTGTACTAACTCAAGAAGATGTCACAGCTACCCGTCCTCGGTCTAACGGATGTAGCAAAATTTGAATTCAGCAGAACCAATTTTGTGTTGTTCAAGTTTTATTGATATTGAAAGATACACAAAAACATGCCAACACTCGTAGAATAGATAGATTATTATTTTTTTTAATTTATTAGTTTTTTTCAAGAGAAGAATACTTTGTAGATCACATTAATTTTCCCTCGCTATGTTTCGAATCTAAAATGTATATATGTATACATATTATTGAAATATGAGCTGTTTTACTATGCGTCCGGTTTACCCGCGAAGTTATTTTCATATTTAAAAACGGCCTACCCTTCCTCCGATAAATGGGTATCAGGGTAGTTTTGTGGAAAAGTCTTATCTTTGAGACGGTGGTTATTCGAATGTTAAAAATAATTTTGAAATTGGAGAAAATTTGGAAAACCGGCTCCCACAGCCCATTAACGTCATTAATATTATCGGCTGTGTACGTCGTTTTTTTTTTCTTGATATATTTTAACTTTGAACTTTAGATGTATGTAGACATTTTGAAATAAACTGTGATATTTACATTAATATGTTGCCTAAAATGAGGGGGTTTAAGAGGATGGTACACATACATATTTTATTGTATCCGTCAAACAAACGCACACCCAAAACAAATCTGAGTTCAATAGGACAAATTTGGTGCCGTTAGTTTTTATACTTTATCGATAGTGGATATTTTTATTTTCAAGTGAGATACGAGTTTAAGAAATACAATAATAATATAAAAATGCTTGTATTTCAATTAAAAATTTAAAAATCGACAAAAACACAGACGTAGGAGCACAGATCATTGATCTTACATTTCAGTTTTCTGAACCTAAACTTGGCGTTCTTACCTTTCAGTTTGGTAATAGGTTATAATTTAATCTTATATTAAAATTAACGGTACAACATTGTCCTACTAAACGCAAATTTGCTATGTCGTGCGTTTTTAATACGGTGAGAGTGAATGCAGGTGTAGCGTCATCCTAACCTCCCAGAGTGTTTTTATGCCCTCTATAGTCCCGCCGTTACACTAGAATTCATTTATTTTGCCAAAGATATTTTATTCATACATAATTATTTTTAGTAATATTTAAAAAAAATGTACGGTTTTTACTTTTGGTAATCAACTGTCCACATGGATGAAAAATGTTATGACTGCAGAGTGCAGGATATATCAGATTAGTGATATAAACTTACATTACAGCTAACAATAGAAGTTAGACAAACAGGAACTTAAGTCATGGCAATTATATTCTATTAAGGAGTATCTACAGTAACTACAGTAATATTATTACATTGTTTTTCAAAAAAAAGCCACTCAATTTGAATAAATTATTACTATAACTATAGCTAATTGACCAACTGGCCTATATTAGTAGGACAATATAATTTCAGGATATTTGTAATAACGTTTTTTCGACAATTATTACACTCTCAGCACTCCCCGATAGATACAATAATTATTAAAAATGATTAAATAATATACATACAAACATACATTGTGAAATGGTTTCAACAAAATGATCAAATAACCGTATAGAGGTTATCACACAATTAGGATGTGTGGGGCCCATATTAATAAGGGGCTCTATTATATTAAAATGGAACAAATAAGCAAAAAAAAAAAGTTCTCTAACTGAAACATTTTATTCAATGAGCTCCGAGGGCACAGCTCCCCTGCCTCCTTAATCTGGGCCTGTACATAATTCAGCAAACAAAATTTAGGTGGATGGGTAGTTGGATGTGTAAGACAATACAGATGTATTTTTAAAACTAGATATTGTAATAATACGTGTAAAATATTTATTTTTTAACTATTTGGTAAAGAAAAGTCGAAAGAGCAGGTATAAGAAAGTTTGAAAACAGGTTTCCAATTGTTTTCCGATTATGTAAAATTTGAAGAATATTTTTAATCTTTTAAGGAGTACCTTGGTAGAAAATACTTTTCCGCTGATCAATTGTTCAATATCTATTTTATTGTTAAAAAAAATGCATTTCTCACTATTCTTAGAATCTATAAAATAGTTTATTTATTATTGTCGCGTGCGCGCATATTAATATTATTTAAATCACTTTCGATTATACAGAGCGATTACTTTTACTCAACAGCGATTTTACCGGAGGATTTCAAGTAAATTTGATGTCATAGTTTTCGTTAACGAATTATTTAAGCTTCATTTTAACACTATTCTCAAATTATGTGTAATATTTATGCCACAAGTAAACGGGTATGGATTTTTGATTTTCAAATGACTATCAGTATCTACCTACGTTATCACGTTATCACGTTAAAACCGTTTGAAATTAAATCGTTTGTATATTTGTATTGCAAACGGTATTTTGAAAATTCATAATATAACGCACACATTTATAATGGAAATCAATCTGAAAAAACGGCCAAAAGCCAATTGTTCCCATCTAGATCCGTCACTGGACCGGAGAAGTAGCATACAGTAAGGGAGATTATGATAAATCGATTAATACATCGCGATGAAAGAAACACCTCGACGAACGCAGCAAAATATATAGTAAACAACCGACGGTATAAGCCTTTAAACAATATAAGATTACTGTTAGATAGATAGGTAGGTTATACACACAGGACAAAGTCGACATTTCCAGATAGAAATAAATAAATAATATTCTAAACAGATGGGCGTGGCCAAATAATATTTAATTGGTCCGGCGATTTTCTCCCCGGTCTCCACACGTCGTGGTCGTCGTCGGTGGAGAAGAAGACAACATAATAAATATTGATGTTATTGATGTTATACCTAGCGATCGTTGACGACGACCGGCATCCGGCGCAACAATCTCGTGACAATCGACGTTTGGACAGTTTAAATTTTTATTTGTATTTTTTTTTTTTTTGCACTTCAATATTATTGCGGACGAAAAAAAAGGCCAGTAAAAGCCGGAAAAAGTTATGCGTCATAATAATATACGTTATTAAGTTACTACGCAATCATTTGGACGCGAAAGAGATGACCGACGTCAGTCAGTAAGTCTCGTTAAAACAAATTTTCACGTCAAATAAGACGTTATTTTTCGCATTGCCGACGAATAGAAAAAAAAAAAATAATAATAATAAAATTAAAAAAAACCACCTGCCGTACAAATTATTAATTTCCGATGTCTACCTATGCGCTACGCGAAACACAAACGCACGACATGACCGAGGAAAATGCATTTTCCTACATAATGTTATTACGTTCTATTGTGCGATTGACCCACAACCGAAATATTACCGCGGTTTACTATAAGAGAATTTGATCGCGTTCGATTATTTTTTTCTTTTCTACTATTCGTTATCCTCTTTCAAAATAACTCGTATAACGGCCATTGCAAATGAAAATCGTTTTTCCGAACACACATTTCGTTGGTATTCCCCCCTCCAAAGACCTGAGCACATAGGCTCCTATATTACATACCGTATAATAAGGTGTTATGAGGGTAATTAAGACGTCTCCCGATTCCATCAATTATGAAATTCTACATTTTCGCTTTCGATTGTAGACTTTTTCCGATTAGCCATAAGACTCGGCCGGATATATTGAATAGCCGATATATTCCTATAGTATTATCGCTTTCCCGCAAACTATTCGAAATGTACACATTCGACTTTAAATTATCATACCCGTACCATACTTAAAAATTATAATAAAATAACAACACGTTTACAACTCAAAAATGCACAACGACGAAGAAACCACTGCATGTTTTCAACATATAATGTTATCTGATAAATTACGAATTATAATGTTGATAACAGACTGCACAGTTTTGGGGACAAATTCTGAAAATTAACGTGTAAAGATATTAAATATAACTAATACAATTGTAGAATTAGGGAAGGGAGTTCAACCCCCTTTTCAAAAAAATGACCGTATTAATCACTTCGAAAAGTAGAATTAATAAAAATATAACAAATAAATCATTAGAAAAACTAGCGGCATTAATTCTTATTTTTTCCACCCATCTTGATTTAATAATTTTCTACGTCCGCCTCTGTTTTAAAATAAATTGTACTTCATAAACAAATATCGTAGGTATGTTACCAATGTGTATTCTAAGTAGTTTTCCTAAGTCCCCGAACACTACGCGTATTAACTATATGAATTACTTAATGTTTTAATTTTAAAATTGTTCAAAAATACAAAATAAGTGTATACTTACTAAATAATTGAACATTTCATGTTAATAATTAATGTGTTAATGTTAGGTATCATCTAGAAGTTTCTACAATCATCCTATAAAATATATTAATTCAATTTGAAGATGTGCCTATTTTGTACTTGACTATTTATAAAGGTTCGTTCCCCAATTTCTTTTAAAATACGCGCTCACCCAAGTATCCCTATATTTTAATCTTCTCGATCGATTCCCAAATAAAAATAAAAAAATGTTTTTATTTATTTAACTAGAGCTTAACAATATTGCCGCAATATTACACATTTATTGGTATGAAGTACCGTGTCGATTATGTACGAAAAAAAAAAAGGAAAGTGTGTTAAGAGGCTGTCTACCTATATATTATATAAAATGTATTATAGTATATTAATCCTGCGTAATAATATTGTAATTCCGATATAATACTAAAATATATATTATTTTAAACGATTGTTTGAGAAATGTGTTTAATAATACGGATTAAAAACTTATATTTAATAGATTAAATTGATTTGATATCATATAACACAGCTGATAAGAACGCCATTGGCTTTAAAACTTCGCTTTTTAATACCACGAGTATGTGAAATATCACAATTTAAAAATTAATACATAAAACCATCAACGTTAGGGTACAGATTCTTCTTCTTACCTTTAAATTTAGTAATAGGTCAATTCGTTTTAATATTAAAATAAACGGCAGACAATTTGTTCTGATGAACGCAAATTTGCTATGTATTGTGTTTGGTAAGACGGAGACAGCAGATAGGGCTTCCTCTAAATATATTATAGGTTAAAATATGGTTGACTTATTATCGGTTTTAAATAAGGATATGATTATTTTTTTGCAACTAGGTAGGTAAAATAGTTGAATTGAAGTTATGTCACGTTCATTACTCTTATATGAGTATATAAATGTCATAGCTCGTATATTTTGTATTATTATTTTTTAAACTTATGAGTAAAAGCTATATTCATACAGGCTCCTTAGTGGGATATACACAATTAATATTTTAAAATTATCATGAACAGTATGCTTACATGCAATTTAAATGAATAGATTTAAACAAACAAAATATTGCATTGAACTTGAAGACGTTGGCTGTATTATTATACTCGAGCACAAACACAGTATTTAAATTAAATGCATTTAAAATGTTGTATTTCCTGATATGATGAACAATTTAGTTTGTACTAAAAATCTAATTGAAACCATGAAATTCGTTTTAAATGACACATAACTGGACTATTTTGAAAACTATTATATAGTTTTGAATTTTTGTTTAAATTTTAAAATGAGAAAAAGTCAAATTTTTAATTAATTGTTTATTTAACGATACAAAATTAAAATATATGATTCGTTTGAAATCATATAATATTTATCGTTTCATAATTCTATTGAATATTAGATAGGAAAGATAAACTTTAAATCACAGTGTTGAAAATATGTTTTAATATTTACAGGAAAGAAATTGATGTTGATGGAGTTGGGGACCTACTGGTCAGTGACTACGAGTGTGCAAAGTGTTCAGGAACGTTCCCAACAAAGGAGTTTTTAATTCAGCACCTAGAAGCCGACCAGAGGAAATGCCCAATTTGCTGCAAGCGGTTTCGTCATATCAGCAACCGGGTAAACCATGAACGAGTGCACACGGGTGAGAAACCATTTGTTTGTGAGATATGTGAAAAAGCATTTGCCCAAGTGGGCAACCTCCGCACACATAAACGGATCCACTCAGGAGACACGCCGTATGCTTGCAATGTCTGTCACCATAAGTTCTCACAGATCGGCAACTTAAATACGCATAAACTCACGCATATTGACATCAAGAGATTCGCATGTGACAAGTGTGACAAAACATACTGTCAGAAGTATCAGCTCGTCAGACACCAAAAAAAGGAGCACTAATAAATGCGTAAAATAATTCATAGGAGTTATATTATGATATACAGTTTTTAATAGTTTATATTATGTTTTATAATGTAGGGTATACATTTTATACACTCGGTTTATATTTTTTAAATAATTTTATATATATAGTAAGAAACTAAATTTTGCAAAAAGAATTAGATTCAATACCTTTTAATTTAATAGTTTTCAATTTATTAACATAAACATAATTTTTCCAATACACATTTTTACATTATGGTTTGGATTGAGGACAATTTCTGGTATCTCTAGAAAAATATTTTTAACAAGAGCCATATATAAAATAACTGGTACTACCTACATGATTTTTATATTTTATATTATCAGTAGGTAATTAATACAGTTGAACTCTTATTTACGGGCTTAGCATGTTTGGGCCACTAATAAAACTGCAACCCGTTTGTATTAATACTTTTAAATTTCTATAAAGGTTAACTAAATAAACATTCAGTTAAACTACAAAAACTAATTTTTAAATTAAGTAATAAGTAAATTATTTAGGTTTATATACAATTTCTGTGTATCAATTTAGTTTTAAAACATACCAAAAATCCAGTTTTATTAAATATATACCTATATCTATTATCTTTATATAATAGATATCTGTGTATCAAGGTTTTAATAACGATATGACAACACAGATAAAATACTACTATATAAAGGCTTGCTAAATAAATGTTCAGTTAAACTAATATAAGAAAAATTCTGGTCCAAATGGGTCCTGCCTCTTATTTACAGAATCATACCCTACTGAATGTAATTATGGTTTAAATTGTTACTATAATTATTTAACTATAATAGTTAATAATAATTTAGTAAATGCAAAGAAAATATTTAAAAAAATTAACTAACCTTGTTGAGAAGCAGCTTCAATCACTAGCCATACAGAATTATTAACTGAGCCAAAAGATGTTTCCAAAACAGATTTAAGGTTTTCACTGAATAATGCATATAAAGCTGGACAGAGTACATCCAAAACAACAGAATGCAAATCTTCTGTATAATCATTATCGAGACAGAATGCAATTTTCTCAGCACCAAAACAACAATTTCTGACTAGATCTAAAAAAATAGTAATTGTTAACAAAAGACCAATGGGATAGAAAATCTTCGTAAAGAAATTAAAATAGACCTCACCTTTTTTGTGAGTGATAGAGTCAGTTAAATTATTTATTTCACATCCTTCAAATCTATCAACATTATCAACTCCTCTTTTTGCCTGCATATAAAAAATAAATACACAAAATTATGTATTTAATAATCATATTTTAAATTGATATGTTCAGAAAAAATAGCTGTACCTGAATAGTAACTTGATTTGGTGAATTTGGTGGCGTATGATGACCACTAGCACGGTTTAAATACTTATTAACCTGTGTTTTTAAATTAACACGGGACTGTTTATTTTGTCGTAATAAAGAATCTAAACGTTTAGCTTCATCAACAGAAGGATTTGGACTATCACAGTTACTGCCTGAACATTCTACTCCTTCATCTTCTGATGTACCAACATCAGAACCAACCTTATACAAATATATAATTGTATTAATATTTTAGAATTTATAATAGAGTATTGTGTTCAGAATTTGATTATACTTAAATATTTGTGGAAAATATAGATGGAAAGTTTTGTTGGACATACAGTTAAAATAATTATCCATCAATTATAAAAAATATATCATAATATTACAATTACACCAAACAAAATTCGCCATTTTTATAATAAAATAAAAAATAAAAAAAATAATATTAGTAATGATAAATTATGCCTTTCATCAAATAATTCATAATATTCCTTTGGTTCTGATTATAAAATAAAATTTATTTTTTATTGTTGTATTTATTGATATTAATAAGCATTGTACATTTAATGTTTTAGCGAAGATTAGAGAAGTGCCTCGATTTTAAAAAGTTCAGAAATATCATGATATTGATAATGGTTAACAATAATATTATTATGACACTGGCTCAGCTTTGTTTGTCGTAATTTAAATAAATTGATAGGTAATTAATACTTACAATAGGAGTGATATTAGGGATTATGGTTAATTGTGATGGAAGAGAACGTCTCTTGTTTTGTTGTTCTTGAAACGATTCAGACTTCATATCATACATACTAAACCTAGATATTAAACAAGGTAAATTATACTGAAGCAATGAAAATAAAAGAATTGTATTTAAATGGTATTTACCTTTTTGGCACATCATTTATAGGTCTTTTCTGTTCATTTTTAATGGGAATCTTTGAATTTACTCGACCTGCAGGTGGTTTCTGATTTTGACTCAAATCGTCATATTGATAAATGAACATGTTATCATTTTTCTCTGTGGGTTTACACGAAATTTGGCAAAATGACGGTTCTTTGATATTAAAATTAAGCTGTTTAAAACGATCTTTAAGTTCAGGAGTCTTGGATAAGGCTATAGACACATTACGGGGCAGCAACAAAGATAGTGAATCCCAATCACTAACATGGTCAAATCCCTTAGCACAGATTGATTTTAAATCAAATGATTTTTCTTCTAATGTTTCATGAACTGGTGTAGTGTTCGGTAGTTTTATGTGTTCAACCTCAGGAGATGGCATAGGTGAAAATTTTTGAGGAACAAGGAATACATTATTTATATCCAAAGCAGCTTTAGGATTTTGTAGAAATGAGAGATCTGGCAATGTATAGCTTGGAAACATCACATAAACTGGACTATTTTTACACTAAAATAAAAAAATTAAATGTTTATAATAAATATTTAAATAACAGATTATATTAGTGCAAACCTTGGCATCTGATTTTGTATTACTGATTCCATCTAATGATGAAGTCTGCATGCTCTTATTTAAACTTGAACCCTTCCATAAATGCTTGCTAGGTATAATAGATGAATTGTTGGATCCATTATTATTACTGATTCGTTTTGAGTTTTCAATTTTTTCATTCATACACATTAGACTATCCTCCAATTCATTTTTACTAGGTTCTGTTACTTCAGCAACATCATTATCACTAATTATTAGGCTTCCATCTGACTGGCGGTTTTTCTTTTGACTAATAAACATTTTTACAAGACTGAATTTACCACTACCACTAACTGTTTGATCTTTCGAACTAGATACATCATACAGCTTAGCTCTTCCTTCTAAACATTATAATACATTGTAATAAGGACTAACAATTTAATTCAAATTTATATATTACCATTTCCTCCTTCAGACTGTGTAGATTTGACTAGATAATTATAGTGACTTTTCTTCTGCTTTAGCCACAACAACCTTAATGGAATGAGATCAGGTAAACTTTGGGTCTTTTCATTAACACTTGAGGATAAACTTGTGTGCTTTAATTACAAAAACAAAAGTAATACATTTAAGTAAAAAGTTTTAGATAATTAATTAAATAATCATGAACAGTAGAGAAGAAGCAATTAAAACTAAAATTAATATGTATTGTAAAAAGTTTTATTAATTCTGTAAAATAGAACAACATTTTAAATAGTATCAAATTTAACTTTTATATTCATACTTTGTTAAGTAAGACATTATAAAAAAGTTCATTGTTTATTATGTAATAAAAGCTAATATCACTTTTTTTTTTCAAATATAATAATTTGTTTGTGTTCCAGAATATGTATATAATACAAAATTATTTTGTGAAACATTTTAATACTACTAGATTTTGTTATGGTGATTTTATACAGATATGTAAATATTTTTATCATAACTTTTAAAAATTTAATAATTTGTGTGCAAATTATATTATTCAATAAATCATATTAATATTTAAATTAAAAACTAAAATGAATACCTCTTTGGGTTGTTGAGTGCAATTTGTGGTTGCAGAAGTGGAACATTTTTTTAATTTATTCCATGTGGTAAAGGTGGTATCTGAACATACCATAGGTGCATTGACAGGAACACTTCCATCACTAGACCATGCTTCACCTGAACCAGTATTTCGACTCTCTCCTGTGCTCATAGCTTCACTATTTTGAAATTCTTCGGAAACACCCATGGTTGGTTCTTCAAAAGCAATTGTGTAGTTATGTTTATTATTCGCTTTACAAGTGATTAACATATCATCACTACAGTCTAACGAATCTGTACTAAATGTAATAAATGGATTTGGAGATTGTTCTTTAACAGGAGAGAATAGCTGTTTATTTTTACAAAATGATTCAGTTGATACATTCTGAAATAAAATTGACTAATTAATAATAATAGATCATGATTCTTGATTGAATACATACTTGTAAGTCTTGACCACACATTGATGGCAATGTGCTGAGTATATTATGTATATCTTCTGTTTTAAGATTTTCCATGTCTACTTGAGCCAAGTTAACATCTAAATCTCTAGAAACATCTTCATAACATGGGATATTATAATTTTCAGATATAGATGACAAAATACTCGTGTGATGGTTGAAATTATCTGAATCACGGTACCTAACAGAATAAAAATTATTACCACCAAAATATAATTATATAGAGACTGTAGGATTTGGACATTATTGTTTACCTATAGTCAGCAAACCATTGATAATCTGAATAGTCTTGGAAGAAATCTGCATTATCTTGAGATGATGCATTGCTCCTGTATGAACTTAATGTAGCATCCAGCACTTCCAAATTGTTTGAATTGCAGTCTCCTTGATTAGCAGTGAATACCTCAACCATGGCTGATTTTTGGAGGACACTGCAATATGTGGTGGAAGATAACCCTAATATAGAATCTGTAAAAAAAACCATAAAATATTTTAAAAAGAAAATTCATATAACAAAGAATCACGAAAAGATTAGAACATGAACTAATTTTTAATATATTGAATTTGGGACTCTATAAGTATAAGGCCAATGGTTGGCAACAGTATATGTTTAAATTTAGTGAACAAAAACAGATGCTTGCCAGTTGCCAGACTTGCAACAGGGTGACAGAAATACACACACAAAGACCTACGTTTAAACACAGATTTTATACTCATATTTTAATACACTGAACCTAATATTATATCAAGATAAAGTTTTTTCAAATGTATAACAGCAGACAGGTAGTTATCACTTTATCAGGGTAGTTATTTAAATTACTACAATTTTACTTTACATAATTCTAATATGGTGATTTTTTCTTAAGTAGATAGTTAAAAATTAGGATAAATTGTTTACAAATTAAACGTAAAATATCGACAGGGAATTTATCCTTTAAATGATCTTTCTCCATTCAAATATTCAAATTTTGTTAAAAATTAATAAGTACTTACATAACATACCAAGACATAAAATAAATAATATGTATAATAATAAAGGTGTAAGTAATAAGTATAATAGTATACATTCATATAGATTACTTTTATAAATAAATACAAAATTTACCATAATATGATTATTGATTAACACCAACAAATAAAAATATAATTCTCTCCTAATCTATAAGAATTTTGTTAGATAATAGAGTTAAATGATAATATAAATTGGATAGTAAAATTAAGTATTTTAGATTCTAAGTGAAGCGAGGAATGTATTAGTTTTACAATGATGTTTATTTGTATTATCTACGATCAACTTTTCAACTAAAAATCTTGCTCCAATGTAACAAGTAGAGTACATTTTCTGAAAGGAAATTGTATCTAATTGGTACTTTAAACGAGTTTTTTTTTGATTTTCTAAATCATTATCAATTTTTTTTTTTTATGATTCAATTAAAAATATTTGTAAATTTGAAATTTAAATAGAAAATTTATATTTGCCTATTCTACACGTGGTAAAATTTTTAAAATTTAATAGGAAGTTCATTATAAGTCGAACTTTGGGGATAATATTTTTAACATAAAGCGTAAATATTACGGCCATTCAAAACTTGTATAACTGAATTCCGCTCAGGATCACTTTTGTTAGCAATGATTAATCATAGTGTACTGATATATATTAAATTCCCCTTTATATTCTACCTTCTTAACTGTTCACCTACAACAGTGACCCACCCATCTTGTAAAGTATGTCAGTTTTTTTTTTAATCTGATTCATAAATAATACCCAAATTGGATATGTACCAAGTAATGTATACTAATAAAGTGCATCATTCTACACTTAACATCCATGTAAACATAAAATATTTAAAAAAAAGGTTGCAAACTGAATTGATATCATTTTTGAGCCAATAATTATACGATTAACAAATTCAAAAAATACATCAAATGTGTGTTCAAAATTTAAAGAATAAATAAAAATCAGAAATATTATTCTTTAACAATTAGTTTTTTCACACTTATATAAAGTAAAATAAAATAATTGCATTTTATAACTAATTGATTGTACAATTCAGTTTCAATTTTTAAAAATATATATTATTACCTTGACAACCTATGTTAAAATATGTACCTATTAGGTATTTATTTTTTTAAAATAAAAAACTACAACTAGTTTTAATTATATTAAATATTTACTCAATAAAAATATATGTACCTAGTTAAGTAAGTAGCTAGGTAAATACCTATAAATTAAATGATTGGTGAAAATTAATTTTTTTTATAAATATTAGGTAATTTAAATGTCAATACAGTTAGAAACATTTGTAATTAATTTATTATATAATATACAATTTAAATATTTAAATTTTAAAACTATACCTACTACACATAAATATTTGTATTTTTGTAGCTATAGGTACTCATAGATTTCGCATAACTTTTAATTACTTTATACCAATCAAAATTAATTAGGAATTCATTAAAATAAATATTCTAAAATTAAATATCTAGCAAATACATAGTATATAGGAAGGTAGGCAGACAATATTATTTTTAATTTAAATTTACTTACAATAAAGACAATTTGGAGAGTATCAACATACCTACTTCCATTAGTAACCTATTCGTTTTTCTAAGAATGATAAATATATTATAGCTTGTCGGTTCATTGTAAACTTTCACAACTCCAGAGTATCAAGTTTTAAATTTAATGACTTCCTGCTCGGGGAATATTATTAATTTTTAGTCGTTCATACAAATGTATCTAACCTATACAGTTTGATGTCGGTTTTTGAATTGAACGGGTACTTCTTTTACTCAATAGCAAAATACTCCCAATAACACATTTAAAAGTGTAAAATACTATTCGGGTTATTGTGCGCTAGATGGTTACCTACTTGATGTTATTAGTGTTTATACATTATAAGACATTTTAGTTGTTAATATTTAATGTTTGCAGCAATTATCCATATGACCTCGGTACTTGTTAATATACAACACACCAATGAAAGAAATAATACACATATATATATATATATAACATTAGTCACGGGGTCTGTGGGTAGTTATTGAATGTCAGCCTTGAGCCAAATCAACGGTTAAACATTCGGCGGCGGTTTCGTTCCAGAAGCCCTGTGCGATGCCCGGGCTTTAAAAGTCCTTTACGGGCATTTCGAACACGGGTAGTACACACACGACACTGCAGTAAAGACCTACCCACATCGAATAGTTATGTATACTACGACGTGCACGTATTGACGGCAACGGCGTTCAACGGTAACGTACAACTATTGACAATTTGTTATTGAAACGAACCATTAAGAGATTACGATCAGACGGACCGGACCGGACGACAAAACTGCGAACTGGGTGGCGCGCATAAGCCGAAATCGCTTATCGGCACCGCTGTCGGAGTTGCCGATGACGACGAGAAATTCCTCGCGTGCGTCGAATAGGTGGTTCGCAACCGATAATCGGTACTCGGGTACAGCACTGCGACACCGTTGCGAAGCGGAAGAAGAATGAAAATAGAAAAAAACAACCGGGAACTGTGTTCTTTACCCGCGGTAATTACGATATTAATTTTTTTTCGATAACGGGTTAAACGGAGAAACGAACGGCGCGGCGTAGGACGTGTTACGATATTATTATTACTTATTTATGTTATTTTTCACCGCGGTACGGTTATCTGTCGTACGCGCGCGCGGATACAGATAAGAGAAGGGAAAAAAAATGTTACAAGAATTTTTAATTTTTATTTTCTCTCGTTATCACGGACGTGTGGACGGACGCACGCAAAAACGCAAACTAAACTATAGCCGCACAATAAACAGATGTCGGGCGAAAACCGCGGCGGCGGCGGTGGCGGCGGCGGCGACATACATCTATGTTCACATTGCACGCCGCCGCCGCCCGGTCGAGGCGACGGGTTATTTATTTTCATTATTATTGTTAAATTTTTTTTTTTTCCGTACTTTTAACGCCATTGTCTTGTGTGTGTGTGTGTGTGTGTGTGTGTTGTAAGACGGAAAATAATAAAATATCATAACGCGCGCAATGTATATAATGAAATATTATACGCCGGCATTAGGTGTACATTGTTTTTTTTTTTTTTTTTTTATTGTTTTTGTTTCGTTTTCTTTTCCATTCCTTACAGGTACCTTCCTAACTGCCTACTATCTACCGAACGCGTGTTGTATACGCGCCGCCGCGAGAGCCATAGAACAAACGAACATAGAGAGCTGCCGCCGGCTAATCCATAACAATCGGAACTATTTTTTTTTTTTTTCGTCGTCCGTCGATACGATTTAGGTACGCCGCCCCGCGATCTATGCCGAGATTCGTCGGCAGGGCTGGATCAAGGGAGGCTCAGGAGGACTCGGGGGCTGTATCCCCCGGGCCGCAAGTTTAACGGGGCCACACGACGTGTGTATTTGTTGATGACATTTTTTTCATACGAATCTTTTGCTTGTTGGCTTTTAGCCCCGGGCCCCCATAAACCCCAAATCCGGCCCTGTTCGCCGACTCACCCGCCGCCGGTATGGTCGAATATTGCACTTACATAAATCTTACAATAAATCTTTACATAAATCGTTCGATCGAACCGGCATTCGAGTCGAGAAACAGGTTTAGCCCCAAAAAGAAGCGGCGAAAACACACCCGTTTCAAGGGCTTAATTTTTTTACCGTTTTTCATACAACACATTTTCGTCCGCCGGGCAAGCAATCCGATACTTGAATCTACTAAAAGATTCGTAAACTGCACGTTACTGGCTGATGAAAGTACTTTTACACGTGAATACGATGGTAACGTTCCGTTCAGTGGCGTAAATACCGAATGAGCAAACGCCACGGGCACACAACTGATGAGGGCTGTAGCAATGGCCTTAGACCGGGGTCACTTTTCGGCTAGGTCCTTTAGGACAATATTTTGTATGTAAAGAAATGTAAAGAAAAAAGAAGAGTATCAAATAAAGTGGACGGCAGCAATAAACAGTACACTTTAACGCTGATGAAACATTTTTTTTATTTTGTAGTTTTGGATGATTTATATTAGATTAAAGGAATTCAAGAACTTTTCAGTTGGTCATCTTATTAGTTTTAAATTATAAGTAAATCGGATACAATAATACTCTCAAATGTATTTAACTTAAATGCCTTAGATGTTTTGAAATCATCGCCAGTTTTTAAACAAGAGTCTTCGATTATAATTGGCTAGACAAATTAACTGTAAATTACTTTTTTATAAGTTTCCCAAACATTTTTAAAACTCTTTAGATTTTAAGAAAACTTTAGATTAGTTTTCTTTTTATATATTTTAGTCGCTATGCAATTAACAATTTTGTAAATAAATAATGAATTGGAAATGAACACGTTTGATAGTCATTAATAACAAACTGATTATTAAGAAATATTAAGATTTGTTACAAAAACTTTCAATTATTAAATAAAAATATCATATGTAAGATGCTCCTTCTGAACTCTCTTCTTTTCCTCTTTAGTATCATTGATTATTGAAATATTAAACTATATTGAAACTAATATTATTGATTATTGATTTTATAATTTAATTTAGGCTAATGATTATTTTTTTTTACACATTTTCAAGTGGTCATTGTTATAATATTTGTTTATTAATTCGTAGTATATAATAACTGGAATATTATATTTTGTTACATTAAAATAGAAAACTGAAAAAATAAAGTTCAATTTGTTTTAAAAATTATTTTGTTGTAAGACCATCACAAAATGTACAATTTTTATAAAGAAAAACAATTTTGAATGATAGCAAAAGTGGGTGCATCACCTTCAAATAATTTCTTTATCATTATTATTGTGTATAGGTTTTAAAAGTTTGATATAAGAAATGGTCGCTTGACTATTGAATAAATTGTTCCGAATAAACCGGATTTTTTTTTTATAAGTTCTATTTCTCCTGACTTCCGCCCGCAGCGTTATCACTTCATTATTATTATTTTTTATTACGAAACTATGAAATCAACGGATATTCGTGATGTCCGCCGGCGTAATTCATGAGTACCTATATAGTAAGTGTATTTTATCAGAACGGTGAGTAAATAATAAAAAATAGAAGGTATCGCGTGCCGGACGCGCATAAAATATACAATTTGGACTAGTCGTGTTGTTAACACTTGGACGATAGTATAATGGGTTTCTATATTGCAAAGTCAACGATCAACAAATGACGACAATCAAAATAAACCGGGAGTTCTCGGGCGGGCGTTTAAAACGTTGAAATATATGTACCTACTGACAATTACGCACGCTTCTATGAAAAAAAAAAAAAAAAACCGTATATAAACACGATTGAAACATTTCTCGAGTTTAAATTATAATTTATAGACGTTTAACATGTTAATAATTCACTAATATATAAGGACTTAAGGGACCGATTATATATTTTATTATAATTAACATCGTTTAAAATTTAAATTAATACATTATAGTATGTATATTTTATAGTTTAGGTGGTTGAGTATCTATTTATCCTTATTTTGGACCAACGTTCATGAATATCTTATGACCGAGGATTCAGACTAAGAGTACTTTGAGTGAAAACATTTTCATCCATTAAACGATATACCGTTTTTCTCTCCTGTACATTTTCTTCTTCTTCAAATAAAAAACAACTTCATTTTTTTCCAAACATTTATTTTAGTTAACGTCATGTCTATTTTCCTTCAAACAAAAAATGTATAAATATCCAGAACCCTGGCTTAACCATTGTGTACTTACGTGAAAAAAAAAGAGCTGATACTGCTAACGAGTATATTCCACTGTTTTAGGTGGAAAGTTGGAAAGATGATTTTTATTTTATTTATATTTGTATGCAACGATAAATCATTGCTAACGAAATATGATTCTAAGTGAAGTATTCGGTAAAAAAACATGTTTAAAATACTGTGATTTTCGTAAAAAGTTAAACTTAAAATAATTTTTAAAAAAAATACTACTTTACGAATTTTTTGTCACTAAATAAAACTTATGAACTTATAACCTTGTGTTGAATTTCCAAGCATCTCTGCTCAGCCAAAATAATTTCAATAGTATAAAACCAATTAAAAACTTAAAAAACTCAAAAATGTCAAATGTCTATAATTAGCACAAAAATCGTTAGAAAATACTAACATAAATGTTCTGTAAATGTTTTAAGTTTCTACAATTATTTGTAACTGAATAAAAACAAAATACTAAATCAAAAATAATAAACATTTGTATATTCTAAATTTTCCCTTTTTCTTTATACGTTCTTTCGCAATTATAAAGAAAATAGTAAACGATCAACCAATGCACCAACTAATGTGTTTAGAATCTTAAATTAATCTTAAATCTTAATGAACTCGAAACTAAAAAAAAAATTCAGCTGGACATAATCTGATCACGCATAGAAATTACAAGGATAATAAAATAGAGAGAATTTGGAAGAAAAAAAATTATCCAGACCCCCTCTAAAAAGTCAGCAAATTAAAGTAGTGATATCTACCTTCTACATTTATAACCAAGTCTGTTCTATCCTTAATTCAGAAACTGGCGAAGTGAAGAAGAATACTATCTTGTTTTTATATGCTTTTAGTTTTCTAAGGAAAATGGACAGTAAAAGAAAACTACACTCTATTTCATTTTTGGAGGAAAATTGCTACAGCCATGGCAGCTGAATTTTTTTATTTAATTAAAATAAATGCGGTAAAATATTTAAATACAGGAAAAAAACTATGGTATACCCGTGCATATTAAAACAAATTTGTTTTTTTTCACATTTGGCATTACATGAAAAATATTATAAACGTATAAAAAACGTCAAGTAATCAACATTATAATATTGTTGTTTAGTAAAATTATTTTTATGCTGCAGACAAAATAAATATATTATAAAAATTATGCTAGAGTGGCGTCGTATTATAATATATGGAATATCAAAAGAAAAAAAACTAAAAAAGGAAACGTCATCAACAACATCTTGTTTACATATTTACCCCCTTCTCCCCTCTAATAATTATTTATAAAATTTAAATTATTTAATTATTTAATTATTTAGAAATGTTAACTAAAACATATAGATGCAAATAGACCAAATAATTTAGGGGGTAGGATGTAATACTTAAGCCCCTGATGGAACCCCCTTGATTACTGTGTATCTATGTATACCCACCAGAAAATAAATGGTAAACTATTGAATCGGTAGATTTCGTACCAAAATATTATATTTTATAGAAGAAATAATCTCACTGGTTGGGATAAGGTTAACTGAGGAAAGCCTAAAGTTTGGAGCCGTTTTGAGAGATGGGGGAGTGAACATTCACAAAAAAAAAAAAAAATACCCTAATTAGAATGACGATGCCCGTCATTATAAATATTTAAAAAATACAACACGATAGGCATAATATTATTATACACGCACACCGTATACGCGTATTTTCATAAATGGTGACTTGTGACTCATAACTATCAAAACGCGGTGTATGTAGATATAATATTATACACGGGAGTAAACGGCATTGTATGGTTGTACACACTATATCGAGACACAACAACGAATTTAACAAAGACTTATTACTCTCGTACACAACATAAAAAAAAAAAAAAAAAAAAAAAATGAAAAAAAGCCAATTCATTATATTGCGGGTGTTTTGTATATATCATTGCTGTAAACTCCTCACATACAGAATAGTGTTAATATAAATGGGCTAATGTTGTATATAGGTGGAAATTGTATTATAATTTATTGAGGTATAATAATTTAATTTATTTTCTGTACGCAACGATAAATCATAGTGAACGAAAAACGATTCTGAACTGAGTTCGGTTAAACATTTGTTACAACAGTACTGTATTAATCATTGTAACTACTATATACAGAATAAATAAACGCGATAATTGTTCGTTTTTCTAATGAATTTTAACATAAATTTGAGCTTAAAGCGCTGATAAAAAAAAGACAACAATTTATCTACATCAAAAAAAAAAAATTAAAAAATAGAACATTTCAAATAAATTACAAATAACATAAAAGTGCTAGAATATTTTGAAAATTGTATCACGTCTAGTATCACGTGCTAATATACAAGTGAAGGTGAAAGTTGCAGATCTCTGCGATGATTTTTCACTGAATCACAGTAAAAAAAAAGTAACATAAACCATTATTGCATAAATATTTTTTGCATTTTTTCTTGGTTTTTTTCATTTTTAAGAAAAGTAAAATGAAAAAATAAATAAGGTTATCTTCCTAACTAACCTGCAACTTTACAAAATTTGATACTATCAAAAATCAACCCCGATGCTGATGATCGGTGCAAGATTTCTGATTTAAAAGTTATAGAAAAAAAAACGGCACACAAGTCCTATTATTATTACTGTAAAACCAATGTATTCCTTGCTTCGTTCAGAGTCTAAAATATTTCACACATTTCTGTGCGTGCATGTTTCCTTATTATTATCATTTATCGATATTATTCATCGGGGTGAATTTTTTAAACATGTTTTACACGAGCGTGTATGTTTCGTAGTTTGTACAGACTGTAGGTGTAATAATAATACACCAGGCGTACGTATAAAATCAATGAACGAAAAGTAACCTACATTATAATCAGAGGTTAGTTTTAATTTATTCAGGTACTTATAATACATAATATATCGATCACACGATATGTGTTGCTGGAAAAAAGCTTGTATTTTAATACGGATAAATAAAATATCTATTATGTAGTTAGGTATAATGAAAATTGTTTTAAATATTTTTTTCGTTATTTGATTACTTTGCTTCCATACGCAACAATATCATGTGTACCTATAATATTATAATATTATGACCATGGTCGTATTTATGTTATTATTAGTGTTAAAATTTGGTTAAACGTTAACGTATTTTTAACTTTTAAAGATATACATCTATAAATAAATAACGATTATTTATAATAGGAATATTAGGATAGGTACCTACATAATATTGATAAATTAGAACTTCATTAAAAATAACAAAATCTATTATAATTATAGGTCCTATAAAGAGGTTTATTGCCGTTGATTGGAAAGATTCAGGAGGTATCTCAGAAAAGGGCGCTAAATTCTGAATTTAAACGTAGTATAAAATATAAGAGTTCGCATTTTTTCTACCGTTAAACTGTCCGACTTAGAGGCAATGGAAATCCTCGTTACAACTCTGATTTTTAAGTACGAACTTACTGTATATTTAAAATTCTCTTCGTTTTTCATTTGTACTAACCAAAACCAATAGAGTAGCCATAGTAGGTATATTATATATATATCAAATTGCAAAAGACTCGCCCGTTTTCGTTTATCCATAAGTATAAAGATGCTCCATGTAGTGTGGGTTCTAATTTTCTAAAGGTTAACACCGGACTGTACATTGATGTATTACAAAATGTATCATAAAGGAAAATGTTGCCATCTAAATGTCGACATGTGTTTTATAAAATTAGGACAGTGAGCAGCATAATATAAATTGTGTTGTGCTGTAATTGTAGGTAAATACAAATTAATAGTTCTATTTCTATAAAATACCAATTGTGTAAATGTTATACTTATCGATACTATTGAAATTTTATAAAAAATCCGTTTAATTTTCGGAGTTCCTCTATTTAAATACCAATATATCATGTAGTTAAACGATTTTGAATACCTACCTAACCTAGTAGGTGTAGTATACACACAATATGAAAATATAGTTACATAAAGTAGGTTAGAATATAAAAGCTTGTTATTTTTAAATATTTCAGTGCCCACAAATCGCCTCCTAGATATTTCAAAGACTATTCGATTGAGTACACCAAAAAATTATTATTTTTTTTTTTATATTTATAGTTGAGTTTGCCCAAATGAGTAATTAAAAACATTATAACAGTAAAAGCTATCAACGTGAAAATGTATTTATTTATTTAGATATCATGTTCTGTGATATTATTGATACTATTTAATAGGTATGTGGTGTTTGATTATTTATTGTATTTCAATATTTTTGTTTTACTTACATTTTCTTTATCATAGTCACCATCGATATCTTTGCAAGTCATTTATATTGCACATATAAAGTAAAATCGATTATCGAAAATTGAATTTTATCTGAAATCTATCTGAGCTTTTTGAATAAAAAAAGATTATCTTCCTGTCATGGGAGACAATTCGATTGAATTAATTTTTGAAAATTGGCAGGCAATTCGAATACCCATATTTATTTATTTAAATACATAGAACGCAATTTAAGAGTCAAATGAGAGACGATTCAAGTACATCCAAATGTTTAACGTTAATTTCAATTAAACTATTAGATGATATGAAGTATTATGTAACTATACCAAAATGAAGGTCTCGATAGGTTCGACTATAGGATAGGTCATACGCTTTAATATGTACAGGACATAAATACTTATGGCAGACATTTATTGAGAAAGGGTGTATATTAAGTACTCGTGAAGGTATTTAACAGTTTTATTTTTGGAAATTCTAGTTCTAAAACTAAACAGTGATTAACTAAGATAAAAAAAACTGTGTAATTTCGTTCTTTAAATAAAACTCACGTGGTTATATAATCTTAATAGATCTTATTCTTTTGTAAAACATGAAAATAGGTATTCACTATTCACTAACAACCGTAGCTAATTTAATTTTAATTTAAAAACACCTATAATAATACTTTTAAGTGTAAAATAAAACAATTTACTTTAATTTTATTGAACACAATTTAATACGTAATCTGTAACGGGTTTTTGCTGGAAAGCCGACGATAATAATATGTATGATGTATGTATTCTATATGATACTTTACATTATAAACCATTATTTGTTACCATGGTAACTGTATTCACTGTTTGCTATTAATTAATTATCATTATTTATTTGTATTCTTTAGTTTTTGTTGCCATGATAAATCAACAGAACGTTCCAAATTAACAAATAAAGAGAGAGAGATCTAGGATTTGTTATATTACAGATATATTTTATTTTATGCCGTCTACGATGACTCATCGTTCATCAGTCGTCATACGGTTTACATTTATTATTCCGCCCCTATGCACTTAAAAAGTATTAGACCCCTACTCAATATTTATTTACGTATTCTATAAGCCTAACGTATCTATTTATGGTAGTAGGGTTATGAAAAGGGTTAATTTGTAATTAGAGTCGTATATTACATTATTACACGTAGGGTCGTATTATAGCATATTACACGAATTAAAAATTACGTCAAAAGTAAGTAGGTATTAAAGTTATATCAAATAAAATATATTTGATAAAAGAAAAAAGATACACTGTTGATGTAACCATGCCAATGCTTTAGGAGGGAAGTTGGAAAGAAGGATATATTATATATATAATAATATATAGAGTAATTTAATTTATATTTGTACGCAACATTAAATTGTTGCTAACGAAAATCGATTTGGAGCGAAGTTCAGTTATATTTACATATTTTGAAACATTACGATTTTCATCAAAATTTAATATTAAAATTCCTATAAAAAAAAAAAAACCAGTACATTCATCAGTTTTCATTTTCCGTCTTTTTCCGATTTTTCCAATTATTCTGAAAACTATTTGTAAAATCCAAAAATGACTTTCTCAATGCATTAGCTAGATTAAAAATTCTACAAGAAAGTTCTTTTAAGTTTTTAATTGAAGCAATATTTCTGATAAGAAAATCGTTTTTTTTTTTTTAAAAAAATAGCGTGGTAAAACCACATGCAAGCTCACTTTGTTCAGAATATAAAGTTTTATTACGTATCACGTATTTTAGTATTCGTTTCATAATATAACTTAACCTAAATTTTCAAAGGCCAATACGTATTTTTCATCAAAGTTTTTAATTAAAATAATTTTAATACACATCAATTAGTAATAATATAGCTCATGTATTGAAAACATATTTTAATCAATATTTAATATCCATTTTGCTCATCTGTAAACTTCTTAATGAATTAATGAGATTAATATAACGAGCACAAAATATAGTAACAAACAATTCTTACTCTTGGGGCAAAGAGCATTAATATTTTATAAGGATTTTCATGAATTGAATAACAATAAGTTTTTAGAACTAAAATATCATAGAATTCCAGTGAAAGTACTTTATAGATTTGCAAAAGTTTTGTCAATTCGGTAGTATAATTTATATTCAAAGTGCTCCCCAAAATATGAAATTCATAGACCTAATCGAATTCTTTATCCGTAGGTAACGAAAAAACTTTTTTTCATGAATATATAAAATTTAAATAATATAAACGACATAATGGGAACTAATTTTATCAAATCGATGTGTGGATTAATAAAGTTTACCATAAGTTAATTTGTGTAAAATACAATCACAACAATTTATAATATAACAAGAATTTTATAGAATAAGTACAAATAAAATATATTGTAATTTTTGGCAATTATATATACATATGTATTAACTATATACTAAATTAATATAATCGGCAAAGTAGTTGTAACTATCATTTTTATATCAGTTTTACAATTATAACAAATGTTCCGTATTGTTATTTATTGCAGTTATTGTTTACTTTACAATTTATACGATATAAAATACAATTTTTCGAAATTTGAATTACGGGTAAAGTTAAAAACTTAAGAACAGGCCTTATAGATAATGTCTCAACAGCATAGGAAACATAACGTTTTTGTTTGTTTAGGTTAAGATACCGATTGTTGATATTTATAGGTAAAAAAGAAAACTTTCACATTGAGATTGAGCGTAGGTATAGTTTTCGCGGAATTTAATAAAACACACAAGTAGAAAAAAAAGGAACCATAACGAACTTTGACTTGACTGATTGCCTTTGTATCTATATTATAGTAATACTGAAGATGGGTGGGATTTTCCTTGTGTGTTTAACTGCAGTAATTGAGCGTAGAAAGTTGGAACCGCATATTAAAAGAGATATATTAAATGCGAGAAACCGCAATCTAAATTTTGACATCAAGGATCAAGCTTAGCTGACAGATGACTTGCTTGGACGGAGAATTATTACGCATTCGTGGAGTTATTAGGTTATTATTTTACACTATGGTTACAACATATTTTATTTTTTTGTTATTATTTTTAACTCTTCTCCGACAAGAACCATCCTAGTGGGGGAGAATTTAAAAAAAGATTTTTATTATAAGTATATAATGTGTATACGAGTTTATCATACGTACTAGAAATATTTATTAAAAGAAAAAGTTTACTAAAACCGCCGGATACATATTAAACATACTTAACGCCATTATATTATTGAAGTTTTGTAAGTTTGTAGTATGCATATGTGTATAGAATACTTATTATTCCTACAGGTTACGAAGGGTCCAACTAAAAAACAGGAATAGTTACAAATTTCTAAATTTCGAGAAAATTCCATTTTTATAAAGTCTCTGTTCATAACTTTTCCCTGTATAGGAATAGTTCAGTTTACTTACGTTATCACTATTTAGACTATTCTTGTTTTGCCCCTTTCGATATTATTACCATTCTATAGTACCCTCTACTCATCGAGATCAAAATAACGAGCTTAACAAAAATAAAAATAACCGAACAAAATTTACTATTTTTGTTATTTCTCCCTGGACCTTTTATGGGTATCTCTAGTACGATTTTTTTTTGTTCAATTTGCATTTTACTTAATAAATATAAATAACTTATATTATAATGAAACTATTTTTGTAGTAAGATTCATTATTTTAATACACTATTGTTTATTAATCTATTATGTGAAAGTATACATTATTTTTTATGAAACGTACCATCACGTTTGTATGACGTAAGCAAATAAACTACCTATAAGATTAAAATATTGAACAGTTAAAATCTAAAAAAAAACAAACAAATACACCAATCGAGAAAACAAGTATCTACCAAAGGAATAGTTGTTCTGTTAATAATATTTAAAAGAATTTTAATAAAAAGAAGTAGCAAAAATATCGATTTTTTAAAAAATGACAGATGATACTAGTGAACACTTCAAAAAATGTAACGTCATATTATTGAGTTTAAATTTAAATGCATGCATTTAAATTAAATATTATGAGTCTACGTGAAAATATTAAGTGTACTGAGGTCGGTGTAATCGCTTCCTTTTTTTTATTTATTATTAAATGGATTATGGGGTTATCTCTGTATTATAAGCCTCACTCCCATACATCTGTTTTTTATTTTTTAATAAGTGCTCAACAACAATAATAATCGAAGAGCAATTTTCTATCGCGGCAGTTAGTGATAATAATATAATAACTAAGAAATAGTATTCGTGCTGAGTGATTCGATTATATCCCTCTATCTGAATTTTAAACTGTTGTTAACTCATAGTCAAAAGTCGACTCATATAATCGGTATACAGGGCTGTTCACAAAGATATATCTATTGCGATATCTCGGAAAGTATTAAATTTTTTCGGAATTTTCTTTTTTTGACGATTTAAAACACTTCTAAAATACCATTATTTTTCACCACCCTTATTATCGGGAGGGGGGGGGGTGAACGACTTCCTACTTTTAATTTTCGAATGGCAACCTATGTTAAAATGTCTATACAAATATAGATGGACTATTAGTTTAATTACATTTTTGATTTCCATTGACGAGATATTTCGCTTTCAAGTTTGGGTAGGAAACTTGAATGGATCATGGCGCGCGGCGTTTCAATAGGCTCCACTACCCTCCCCGCCCTATCCAAATTTAATAGTGAAATATCTCGGAAACGGGTTGACGAAAATTAAAAATGTCAACACCAAAATGTATTCAAACTAATAGTCCATTTATATTTATAGAATTTTTAATGTAAATTACCATTTAAAAACCAAAAGTAGTTGGTCATTTCACCCTTGAAAATAAAGACAACGACAAATAATCGAAATGTACATTTTCGTTGCTATTTGTTACCTACTATTAATTACAGAATAAATTCGATGAAAAAGTTAATACTTTCCGAGATATTGCAATGAGTAGGTATATCTTCGTGGGATACCCTGTAGGTTAAATATCTGATGGTATAATGTTTTTATAATAGACACATATATTTCCAAACGTGATTTTAAAACGCAATGCGAGTTGTTATATTAAAATCAAAAGTCGATAGGTATATCATAATGATAGTAGTTAATGATATTATATAGGTAGGTATATATACAGTTAAAATGTTGGAAGTTGTATAGGGAAGTATAATGCGAAATCGTTAAGCGGTTTCAGAGGTACTTTAGGATATTAAGTAAGTAATGACTGAAAAAATCTAAAATCAAATTTACTCAAAATTGTTTATGATACTTTTATCACTCTGTAAAGTGATTGCCTCCGTATTACCGACAATCCTCCTATGTTCTAAATATATGCATATTATACAGAACATAGGCATGCTTCGTTCGCATTCATAATAAGATTATTATAAAATGCGTAGTTATTCTAAAAAAAATACGAATATTATCTACTTATCACTATTCACTTCTGCAATTGCATATTATCGTACTACGTAACACTATTATTTACAGAGTGTCATAGAAATATACAATATACGAGCTGTTATTTAAAGGGCCGACGAGCTATGAAACACCGAAAACTTTATAGCGATATGATGTCTATGTGTACTTGTACATTATATATTGGTAATAAATCTTCGGTCCCCGGGGAAGAAGTCAATTTTACCCCTTTTATTTTTCGGTCTAAATCGCACAAGTGTACATGCATTTTTAAAAATATAAATTTACCCGTAACTTGGAAACTGTACACAATTTACTTCGGCCTTTATTCCCGGGGGACGCCGAAGAAATATTACTCGCATATACGTGGGGGGGAGAGGAAATAATATAACAATATTGTCGTTAACAAGTACTAAGTTGTCGTATATTATGTATAATAATATCTCATCGGTAAAATAGGTACCTTTCATGTTGCGTTTGGTTTTGCGCTTGGACTTCTTGCGTTTATGATCGCCGCCGTTAAATATCTTCTTCGACGACAAGTAGATCGCTTTTTTCACCAGATAGTAAAAGCCGAAAAATATCATAATCCGAATCGGTGCCGGCCAAAATTCAACGGCGCGGACGCGAGCCAGTTTTACAATGTTCGCGTTGAGCAAAGCGCGCGCGGAGAGCGCAGACGAGACTACAACTACACGCCTGTACGTAATTATTGTTATTATCTCGATTGAAAACGAATTATTCGCGTACGCACAACCCGCACTGTCGTTCCACTAATTGTCTATTGTCTATTTTTTGTATTTTTTTATCGGCAAACGCGGCCGGACGTGATGCCGTCTGGTATAATATTGCGCCGGCACATACGCATACGAAGAAAATCACTATTATAATTATTATCGCGCACGGGCGTGTGCGGCGCGGTTACGGGAGGCGCGCGCTCGCGGCAACGATTTTCCAGCCTGTAGCGGAAACGGATCGATCGAAACAATCGACGTGCAATCCGCGAATCGGTTCGTGTACAAGTATACCGCGACCGCGGGTATGAAAATACGGTAGAAAAAAAATATAAAATACAGGAGGCGGCTCACGGGCGTGTTGTCCGTCGGCGCGGCAGAATAAACAAATCCTCGACAATGTAAAACCGCCAAAAAAAAAAAAATTAGAACCGAGAAGACGGCGTCCAAAACGCTGGAGAACCGCGACAAAACGGAAAACGTCAAAAGTCGGCGCGCGTCGGCGTACGGTACCGTATTATTATTGTTGTTACGCGCTTATTTCATTTTTATTTTTTTTTTATTTTTTTTTTTTTTTCGTCGTCCGAGACGAGAGACCGTCGGATGCCAGAACACATGTCGGCGGCGGGATCGCGCGACCCGCGGGCAGCCATTGGTCCGCGTATTAATAGACGCGCAGCGGCGCGCGCGCGTTTGCCGTTCACGTTGTAGGGGATCGCCTCGGCCGCGCGACGCGTACCGCGTATTCACCGCGACCGTTTTTTATAATATTATTATTATTATTATTATTTTGTACGCGCGGGCTCGATATTATTTTATACGCTATCCGGACCGCGAGAATACGACGCATACTATACGTATTATTATTATTATGATGATTACACGCGGTGCCTATAGCGAGTAGTAGCGATATTAATAATATTATTACGAACATGTCACGGTTCCCCGTCATCCGGCGGCCGGCCCCTATTGTAGAACGACGGCGGCTGCTGCTGCTGCTGCTGCTGTAACCGAGTGGCGGACCGGCGTGTCGTTTACGCGGTGACGCAACTGTAGAACTTCCTAATTCCCGTGGCAAAATAATATTGTATACAAAGGTCATTCGAATAAGGCCTTCGCCTGTCCGACAATCACTCGGCCGGTCCTGGGGCCCCTAAATGTCACGGGCCCGTAGCTCATTGCCCGCCAAACCGCCCTGTCGCTACGCCACTGCGTTTACGACGCCTGTAAACCTTTACCTATAGACAAGCCCGGATTGAGACGTTCGGGTGCTTTTCAATACGAGCCCCTCAAAAGGAACAATACAAAAACGATCGAGAGAATTGGCATAATGGGAAATCAACGCACCGCCTATAGACGAAATACGCATGCAGAAAAAATCGAAACAAGGTTATGTAATTATAGACAGAAAAAATTGATGAAATCAAACAAAATTGTTAAAAATTATTACTCAATATGATAATATCTTGAGCTTTGAGTAAAGAAAGACGATAAAGAGATTTAGAAATAATATATCTCAATTCAAAAAACATGAGTATATTTTTTTTAAATAAATAAATATATCCTAATAAAACCTTACTACGAGTAGTATAGTTTCCACTATTATACATCACCGGATATCAAAATACAAAGTTAATGATTAAATACATATGGACAAAGAAAACAAATTGGAAAAAACTTGGTAACCCTTTTAGTCTTGTAGGTGAGTCCAAGTAACTTTTTTTTTTCATTTAGAAACTTTTATCGTTGATGTAGTTTTATGTTTATAATATTATTTAGAAATTACCACGCCAAAACTAATATCTAATCTAAAATATGACGACGGACAATGAAATGTCAATAAACGTTAATAGTTCGAATGCAAAATATTATACTTACTGTTATTTGCACGATCATAGAATTCGTTGTAAAGAAAAATTGTAAGGGCAAAATCAAAGCCACTATCTAAGGACACTACATATTCTGTTTTCATAAAACACATAAATGATGATGTACGCGGTGACCTAGTGTGAAAAATTTTAAATATATTTGTACAGGTGTAATTACCTATTATCTTCTGCAATTATTATAGTTGAAAGTAACATTGATCACAACCATGTTATAATTGACAAAACACTCATAAAAAGAAAAATGTTTAGTAATTCTCTTTAAAGAAAATTTTAGAAGACATGTATTTTGTATAATGCTACAAGACTGATGTGAAGGGGTAATTATTATATGCACGCAATTCGTACGCCCTTCTCATTAACACGGGCCCCAACTCGTACTTGATTTAAGGATTAGGCCACAATTCACCAACCATGAGAACGATCTATTTATATAATGGTGGCCGCAAAAGCCCGGGAGACGGGAAATTGGTAATCTTTTTAAAAGTTATATATGTTTTGGAAACGTTTTATTTTGTTTAAGGTAGATTTTCGGCTGGTTTTTGAAAAAACCTAACCTAACTTTTTTTAGATCCTGATCGTAGTTTTAGCACAAAATTTATTTTTTTTCTCCCCAAAATACACTTTTCCGGTTGGTAAACATTTTTCGACCATTCACGCTACATCAATAGGCATACGGATTTTCAGCAAGGTGGTACTTTATTCGAAACAACTTTATAGATTTCCCACTATTTTAAAAAAAAAATATATATATATATATAAAAAATAATTGACTATAAATATCGATACGTTGGTCACATTATTTGTTGATTTCTGGGTTACCGCATTGCAGGCTACAAAGGGAAAAATATACGACTAGCCAGTTTATTGAGCTCTACTCAGAATAGTTTTCGATGGCCACGATTTATCGTCATTGCTTTCGGTATATAAACTAAATTACCCTGTGCCCTATTCACATGTACACCTTCCCGCAATAATGACACACCTACAAAAATGGCCCACCCACGATGCGTTAATATACGTATGCCTTGCCAAAAAATAACCAATTTTCTAGTTAAAAATCGCAGATATTTGTATCCGTTGAATCACGGTTAGCGTATATATTTTTATAATCTATCGATGGAAAAACAAACATGGAAGAAAACAATAAATTAATCGCGATGTTTGCATTACACAAACCGTGCGCTCGTGCGTGTACAATATGTATAATAATGATAATATCAAATGTCCTCGCTTAAAAAAAACGCACACAAAACTAATTAAACAATTTAATCGGCAGAATACAGTGTAGGTATTTAATATGAATCGTTAATCAGAGATTCGGCTGAACGGAAGTCGTCCAAAACGTATTGTTCCGTTTAATTTGACAAAGGCGTCTGGGTGGGCATACATATAATAACCTAACCGCTGGGTGGGCCGTGGGCACATAATAACCTAACCACGCGGTAGATATTGATTTCTATAATGATAATGTAATATAGGTAGGTAGGTATAGGTAATATAAGTATACCTACGTTGTTCGTTCAAATCGATTTTTTTCTTCTTCTGCTTTTCACTATTAATAGTTAAACATAAAAAAAAATCGTTTGAAATCATCTAAGTACAAATATTGAAACATTACTCGGTCTTTTTAGAGGAATGTATGGTATTAGTAAACATCACTATTTTGCCGCTGTTTCGCCGTCAGCCTTTCGTCACAAACCTTTTTTTTGTTTGAAACCTATTTCTTGTCAATATTTACTTATTTTTTTTTTCATTCCTTCCTTAATTTTCTAATTTAACATTTTACACGAAAATATATAATACAAGGCCGGGGGGGGGGCGGTTAACGGAAAGTTTTTCTGAAAATAGAAAAAAAGAAAACTACTAATAAATGTAGCATCTTTTTTAAACCGCAAATTTTGTTCAGTTGGAGCAGGCTATTGGGGAGGCTATTTTTTTAATTTTTCTGCATTTTTCTAAACAATTGTGAAAACCTTAGGCTTTTAAAATTTAGAGTAGCGGGGTGCCAGGGAAATGCTCCTAAAACCAATATATCCTTCGTTCCGCTCCGAATCCAAAATAAATTGGTAATTAAATAAAATTTAAAAATTATTTTTTTTTTCCATAAACGCATTTGAAAATAGATAAAATAAAATAAATACATTATATAAATATTGCCCCTCTCCCTGTAATATATTAATAGTCACCTAGAGGGCCGTGGCCTACAGTTTAAGAAGTACTGGTGTACAGTATAGTATAGTGTAGTGTTATAGTATAATTAATTACTTACAGAACAGTATAGTTGCACTAGATTATCCTGTAGATTATCTTATCTTTCCTACTATCTCTCTACAATAATCGTGGCATGCTTGTAAGCAGTATTGCCTTTTAACAGCGAGCTTGCGCAAGGGAAGTGAAGGTTATGATTCATAACAGTGACGAGTATTTATTTAGTAATTTAATCTTACGATATATATATTTCAGCCAAATAATAAGGAATAGCTTGGAATATTGATTAAAATTGATTTTTGGATCCGGATTTCAAATTCCCACTTTCAAGTTTGGTAAAAAAATAATTATCTACAATTTATTTATGATTAAGATTTTCGCTACGTCCCACTGCATTAAAAACTCTTGAACACGTCATTGTCTTTTAATTATTGTGTTCGTAAAATCGTAAACTGCAACAATCATAAATATATTTTATTTTGTTGTACGAGTTACACCTGTAGTGCGCTAATAAGCTACAGTATTAAGAGAAAATGTGTAAATACAATTTAATTAACGGTATAGGTGCCCAGGCGGTTAAAATTTTAAATATATGTTATGTTATACAGTTATGATTGTACTGATAAGCTTTAAACTACTGTATGAAATACACAATAGAATTTTTTCACGTTATGGACTCGAGAACTCAAGTCCCGAGTCCTAGACTTATCCGCGTATGTGTGTGTGTGAAATAATGTTTGAAAAAAACAAAAATCTAAAACCATTATAAATTATGATATGAACAAAGTGAACCTGTATTGAATGTAAATATACCAATTTATAAAGCCTATAATAAATCGGGCTAAATTTGAAATGTATCCCAGAATTAAATATTTTAAAGCTATTTTATATTTGCCTATAATGTTATTATTTACTACTAAATTAGATTTTTAAGATCAAAGTTTTAGCGAATGATATACTTAACATTATTTAGATACATGTATTATTATATATTTTTACAACATTGTCTATCGTAATTCATAACAGGTATAATATAGATAACGGTTTTCTATAAATTACGATTTCTGTACTTCATTTAAAACTGTAGAGTGTAGACAATAAACCGTAATATTAACTGTTCGTATGTAATTAAAATTAAAAATTATTTTAATAATTAAATAAATCTTTGGGGTTTTTATACCGTAAACGAATCACGAATGCGCAATAAAAAAAAAAATAAACATGTAAGTATACAGATAATATAATTATGTCCATTTCGTTAAGTTTATTATGATAATTATTTATTTTGTAATTCAGAGTGTTGGATAAACACCCATTATTGTGCAATATCCGGTATATAATATTGGTGTAAATTGAAAAAAAAAAGATATACGATAAGGTCTGCAGTAATGGGATGTTTCATATTATACACCCCTTGGGTGTAATTAATTATCATTTATATAGTTGTGCAGCGAAAAAACCGGATATATAATTAATCAACAAGTGAATATTATATCCAGTAGCATATTTATGACTTTTTTTTTTTAAGGGTAGATGAGAGAGAGGTGCTTTAACACAATTTAGACGGCTAAGTGATTTTTATAGATGAATCACACCCTGCAGTGGTTGATTTGAGAAAATGCGATATGGCAATCAATCCTCCTTGATTTTCTTTTTTCACCAATTTTATTATACCAAAACAAAGAAATATTAGTGATTATAGGTATCGAATTGTTAACTTCAAAAACATAGGGGCACATAGGGGGATGCTAGGGGGTACTTACCACCCCCAGTTCCCCTGGGTAATTTATTTTACTATTTCACCAATTATTTATAAATTATTTTTATAACAAATAGTTTACGAATTCACGAAATTATAATACAAACAATTTGTAGTATCAAATAGAAAATTAAATCTTTTTAACGTTAATTAGTAATTATAGATTGTAAATTAGATGTTTTAATATTTTGAATACATAATAAATTATGTAAACAATCCATTGTTGTATAGACAATACAGTATAGTTAATACTGCTCAATATAAATAAAGAAAATAGGGATTATATTAAAAATTATAACATTTCAACTATTATTGATTACTAGTATTACTAGTTATTAATTTGTCTACGTACAAGTATAACTAATTAAAGTTTTGATTTATTATATTTGTATATAAATTTTCAATTATTGTAATGTAATTTATTGTGGTATTAGAGGGGTGTGAGGAGCTAAGCCCCCCCCCATGGATATGTTTGCCATAAATTATTCAAGCACTCTCCAAAAATTCACATCCAATATGCGCCAATATAATCAATAACAGCTATTGGACGGATTTTCCAACAAAACCAGCTGCACCAATCTACATCGAAATTATAAATCGTGTACTTAATAATCTATTAAAAATATCTTCATACACCATCATGTGGGGTCGCTGTAAATTGCAGCTCGGGTATTTTTCATACAAACTTAAATTTTGGTCCAAATATATTATATGTGTATTCTTAAATATTTTTTATTCATACGAAAATTACTTCTAAGACTTCTTTTGTAAAATCAATATTTTCTTCCTCTTTTTTCAGACTTAAGACTGATAATATAATTGCATTAATATTGGTAATGTCCAAAATGTTGGTTTTAGTGTTTTTTTGTTTATAATTAAAAAATGTGTTGTTAACAATTATAGTAATAAATTATATATATCAGCTAAAAATTTGTATGATCAAAAATGTACAAATAGAAATATGTGTTTATATAAATAATTTATCATTAAACATAGTGTAATTAAGAAACCGGTAACAATTTGTAAGATAAGGTATTTTTTTTTCAATTTAATACAAATGAACGGTATGAAAAGCAAAGGAAGAAAACGTTGAAAGTAGTTAATGGATTCAAATTTCGTTTTCACAAATTGCTAAATATTTATATTGTCAGTCCTAGGTCCTAAGTTCGGGCCGCAATTTAAATAATGTACGACTATAGCCTTTTTTGGAGGACTCAATTTACTGACTTTGATTATATGCGTGCATTCCAAAACCATGATTTCATATTGATTACAAAATCATTAAGTAAAAATGTTTTAACTCTCTTTTTGTTATTTTGTTGTTTGTGAACAATTTCAAAAATCGTTAATTGATAATTTTGAAAATAGGCGTTTCAAATTTATTATATATGTTTAACATAAAGGTTACAAGATACTGAACACGATTCATAAAAAGAAGGTCACAACGCTATAGAAGTTTGTACCTAGTTCTTTATTGAAATTACGAATATATTATTTTACAATGGTTTTAAAATTATAATTAACTTTTGATATGTATTATTAAAAATTAAATTAATGTTATTGTGTTAAATGTATTCAACAAAGTACAAATACATACTATACACATACATATTGGTATTGGTACACCTATTTCAGTGGAGATTTTGTACAAGGAAGTTTAATATTATGTTATAAGTTATACATTGATATTTTTTTACTTTAAAAAATTAATGGCTACATTCTAGAAATTGGACAATAATCTCTCAACTTTGATAAAATTAATTCCTAAATAAGAACTGTTGTTAGCGTTATTTTTCTAATAATTGAACAAAATATATTTATCGTCATTTAATTATTAATTTATATCTAAAATATATATAGTATAATAAAATTGCTGATACATTAATATTATAGTAATGTACATAACCTAATTAATAACACCATAAATTATAATAAAGTTAATAAATTATTATTTATTTAAGTTGCATTTATTTTAAATGTTTGAACTTTACCTTAATTAAGTACCTATTTCATTTTTGAACCGTATGAGTTCAAATATTTATTTATATTTTAGATTTAAGATTTACAAGATGAGATTGAAAAATGTTCGGTTGGTAAAAATGGTCAGAATTTTTCACGTACCTTAAAGGATACGAAATTTCGGCCCAGTAATATAGGTACTTTATTTTAACCTTTATATTTATGTATTTTATTCTTTGATATTCATTTATTCTTGCTTACACATCGTTATAGATAATAGTTGATTCGGGATGTATTGTTTTGAAATAGGTATCTTATATACGTTGGTATTATAAAATTCGAGTTTTTGTATATTATTTTTTCAAAAACCGAAAGAGAAATAATAATAATAATACAATCGTGTCTTAAACGTGCACCATATGTTGATGTAACACGAAATTTAAAAATAATTGAATGGCACGGTGCCAATTACGGGATTATTTTTATCCGTATATCCGTATTATTTTTCATTTGGCGCGAAATATGAGCGGGAAAATCATAATAATATTATGTTGTGTTATGAATATATTACAATCGTAATTCGCTACGCATATACCTACCCATTATTTTCCCCCGTTTTGACTATTGTGCCGTTGTTTTTATATTTTGCTCATTTTTTATCAATGTAGATTATTTATGACAAAAAATATTTCGAATTCATACATGTTAAAAGATATAATAATAATAATAAAACTATAAAATAAATCTAACGCCCACAACTCGCACAACCCACAAAATCTTTATTTACATATATCAAGAAAAAACAAATTAAATGTATATTTTACACATATTTTATTTGATTATATAAATGATAAAATATTTTTGTTTAATATTGTCTTGCCAACAATGCCAACAATCGGCATTGAGTGATTAAAGTATATATATGCTAAAATATAACTATTAATTATAAATTAATTATAATATAACCGCATGATCATAATTTTTTGGTGATCTTTGTGAAGATATAAAATATAAATTACCTAGATATCTACATTAATATCACTATAATGCCAGTGATTTAAATTTTTTAAAACTCATAAACTAAAATATATAATTATAAATTTAATTAATACCGGCACCAAATCATGTTACCAATCCACTCATTCACGTCCAGTGGCATGGTGTGATGTGTACGTCAGTGGTGTAAACAATGACCAAAAATTATATATACCTACCTATGTCTCCATCTATTTTTACTATGTCTAGAGAGCCGCTCAGAATTTATTTAATATAAATATTATCAAAAGTGATTTAAATAATAATCAACCGTCACTCCTAAATAAATACTATCGAATAATAATAATACTTTGAACTGTTTGAAGTCAATGAGTGAAGATGACTGATAAAAGTTCCAATATAATGACAGTGTCGTACATCATCTTCTTATACTATTCCAAAATTCCAAAATTTAATATAAAATTGTATACTGTTAGAACTTGATCATGGCTTAAATTGTGCATTTTTGCAATATATCTATAACATTTTATAACTTATATATGTAAGCAACGGTTTCACTGCTAATACGCACACCACGCCACTGCTCACGTCCCACCAAATTTTATATTGCTGTTTATTACTGAAGCAACAGTCGAAGTCTTGAATCATAGAATAACCGCTATTTAATGCAATAATCATCTACGATAATCGGTTTATGATATTAGTCCGAACTTTATTCCCAGTTTAGACTAAATTGTATGATACGATGACCAATAAACGGCGCATAGTTAACCCTTACATTTTTCGATGTGGAAATAAAATTGTTGGCACCGATTAAAACGTGGCGTTTCTAGTCTGTTACAAAAAAAAAAAAAAAAAAAATATATAATCTTGGCATATAACCATAAACCCCGTTGTTTCTAAGCCAATCGGTTGAGTCAGAAATTGTCTAAGTATATTGAGATTTTATATGCATACGTATACGAATAAAAATAATAGCATTAAATAGCAGACACGTTTTACTTTCAAAATCATTTATTCGTTTAATTTATTTCCTGCAGCAACCATCTGGTTAACCAATCCACAAGTCGAGAAAGTCGTTTGACACATTAATATATCTCCTTATACGTTCGATTATTATTATTGTATCACTATATAAAGTAAAGCGTGTGTATATAAAGACCGTCGACAATCATCGAGAGCCATTAATATTTAGACATTTAGTACATTTATAAGTGAAATAACTAATGTTTATATAATTTTTATATGGTTATACAGTGCCAGGGGATATATTGAGAGCACATGCAATTAAACATAAAAGTATAGGGTGATTTTTACTTATGTATAGATAAGTAGTTTTTTTATTCAGTATTTTTATCAGCTGGTAGTGATCTTTAAATATTAATGAATTGTTCTTATATTTTTGCTGAGCCTCTTAAAAATGATGTAGAGCAAGTTGACAAAGTTCAAACAATATGTTTAAAGTTATATTATAATTTATAAACATCACCCATACATTTAAGACACATAAAAAACTGAATTTTAAGAATAACCACAGTATCCGCTCATTCCACTCACACCTTTTAAAGCTTTTCTGTGACACCACCACACCAGTTATGAGGTGTAATTATCAACTACACCAATCATCTTTAAAAACACCGTCTGCACGCCACTGTATAATATTATACGTATGACTAAAACAAAATGATCAATATTTGTAAAGTTTTGTAAATTTGTAACTTGCCTACCTACGCGATAACGATGCTTGAATTTCAGATATGACGAATAAAATTAAAACGTTATCTTTATGATTATGACTTATTTATTAGGTATTTAAATGTCAAATGGTGATCCGTAGGTAGTTGTTATTATATTGTATTTGTTTTTGTAGGTGTTTACCGTGTCACTGAAAAAAGACGATTTGATTGCCTACACCTATTTTACTATTTTTTTATAGACTATTCATGCATACACATTATTATACATTTCAAAAGTGTTCAAACAAATTGAAACGTGTTGTTTTATATTTGTTTTTATCATTCTAAAATTTCTCTCTACGTATTCATTCATATGAACCTATATTACCTATATATAGGTACTTACGTATAGACGATTTCTAATTATAAAATCTATGTGCTGTGTATGATTTAAATTAAGAAAACACACTCTAGATTTGCTTTTTCGATTATATTTTCTTTTGTTTATAAACTCTTTGATAAAAAAGTTATACCTATACGCGTTATTAGTGTTCATACAGTGGCGCATTTTAGTATTCATCTGAGGGTAATATAATTCACACACATGCGGTGTACAATACACATATATTACCTATACCTAGGTTAGTTTCAGTGGCGAAACCTGAGGGGGGTTCTCCTCCTATATGTTTGTGAGTTTTTACGAATTCTACGTAGTATGTAGTTGTATGATTTTTATACCAATATGAAACAGAATGTTGTAACTTCGTGTATATATAAGTGATAATAGCTACGGCGTGGTTTCGGTTATAACTATAAGTCAGGTAGCTAAGTATAATAATAAAGTATAATAATAAATAATAATAATATTATTATGTCATTAACTCAATTGTCTATGGTAATAATTTATTATAAACATGTTTAGCGTTTGGTTTTATGTTATCGGCGTGGTCAATAGAGATATCAGAATAACCATTAATTATAAGTTATCAGTTGCATGCTCCTATTTAGTTATTACTTTTGAATTTTCGCAACTTATTAAATTGTAGATTCTTTATGACTATCATTACAAATTAAAAATTGTATTTAAAATGAGCGATAAAAGAAAAAATCAAAGTATTTTATCGTTTTTCAAAAACCAAACAAATTATTATACTAAGCTTATGACTTATAGGGGCTCGGAAGTTGTTGTATTTGCACCTTTTTTTCTATTGTTTGAATTTATTGCTAAGTAAGATATAAATTTGTTCCTTGCAAATACGAACTAGAATTTTTAGTGTAACTTTTTCAATTTGATTGCAATTTTGTTGATTTTCCTCATTTATAATACAATTTTTGATACTTTTAAATATTATTCACTTCATTTAATTTTTTTTTACATTAGAAATAAAATATCGACAGGAGCCTTGTCAGATATTAATATGTTAGAATAATATAATAATTGATGGTTGTTTCTGAATTTGTCGGTTGTGATGGTTGCAGAGGTGGACATATTTTTTAATAAGACGATTCATGAATTATTATTTCTTTTTAATATTATTTTAGATTCTGAGTGGAGCAAAAAATATATTGGTTTTACAATTGATGTTTATTTTTTTTTATGTGAATACTTTTTCTACTAGAAAATATAATCTGATTATCAAGTATAGCATCTTTTCTGAAAGGAAATGTTCTCTAAAAACATGATACTTTAAAAAAATAATTTTTTGAAATTCTCATTAATATTCGAAATAATGAGGAAAACCTGGTTCTTTAAGTTAAACAAGATTGGAAGATTAAAAATAAGGTTATCATTGGCAACCATTTTTATTTATTTTTTGTTATTATTAACTTTTTATTATTTTAATCTTTTTTAAATAATCATTGGTGTCATGAAAACGAACATCGTTGTAATTATTTTACTATAATATGACATATATATTGTTGAAAAAACAATAAAATCAACTGAACTCAGCTCAGAATCGTTTTTTCGTTAGTAATAGTGTATCCTACCTTCCCAACTTCCTACTTATAACAGTGGCTGCGCACACAAGCGATGTATTGTAAAGTAATTACAACGATGCGTTTCCATGATAACAATGATTGTTTAAAAAAGTTTAAAATAATAAAAACTTAATATTAACAAAAAATAAATAAAAACGGTTGCCAATGACAACCTAATTTTTAATCTTTCAATCTTTTTTAACCTAAAAAACCGGATTTTCCTCATTATTTTGTATATTAATGAGAATTTCAATAAACGAACTCTTTAAAGTACCACCAAAAAAACATTTTCTGAAAGAAAATGTGCTATACTTGGACATCCGAGAAATCATTCTGGTAGAAAAAGTGTTAACATAAAAAAAAAAAATTAAAAAATAAACATCTTTGTATAACCAATACATTATTCTATACTTAGAAACTAAACAAATAAAAATGCAAAATTTAATGCACTTTTTATTTTTAATAATTTATCAATAATTATTTTCTACAACAAATATATTTATATTGTAATTATAAATATAAACTATATGATGAGACAATACATTTTCACATCCATTACAAATTTAAAACGAATTTATTGAAAAAAAACGGCCAATGAGAGAGTTTAAACCCCATGAACCTCTGTGAGCACGCATATGCTAAATGAACTTCATTTTTTACATTAAACGTATCAACAATAACAATATTTTGTTTTAAAAAAAGAAGAATGGTTTACCCACTCGACTCGGACACGTCGAGACTTTGTTAGGCGTGTTTTAGAAATTTACAACCGAGTTTTACTAATTTTTTTATTCGAATGGACACATTATTAATTTAATTCAATATAATTTGTGTGTTTCTTTGACCATCTCACAAAACTTCACCTGTAAAATACAAGGCTCTAAGTAATATTTTGTATAGTATACTTTTAATGATTTAGGTATTTAATATTTTATCTGATCATTGTTGTTATTATTATGTATTTTTTATTATATAAATTAAGTTAGAGTATCCCTCTGTTTTTTTTTTTTAATGCTTTAAAAATGGTAACATTAATAAAAGTACCTACGAAAATTGTTTAATAAGTATTAATTTTAAATTAATGATTGATTCCCTGAATAATTTTAAATTCTGAGTGGAATAAAGAAATTTATTTTTTTTCTACTAGCAATTGTGCTCTAACTTATGATATGGCAATTTTTATAAAAGTAAATTTCACTATCTACTATCTAACAAATCAGTTTTATTGCCGTTGTACCTATCACACAATTATTAATGTCGATCAATATAAGTATTAATTATTATATTATTATTTAGCTAGTTATATAAATAACTATAAAGTCTACTGGCCGCTGTGGTTATTAGATAAAAATTATGATTTTAGTTGGTTGTTTTTTTTATATTTTATATTTATATATATATTTCAGGTTAAAAGATATTGAAATAACATTGAGTATGTTGATACTACTTTGTATATATTTTTTTTTATTATTATTATTGAAGGTATATAAAATGGTATATTTTTTTTTAATACATTTTAATTTGAAATTATTAAATTTCCTTGATTATTAATTGTTTTTTCGAAATATAACTAATATTGATTGATATAATTATAGTGATGTAAATTTCCATGCCAATTAATTTTATTAAAACAAGGTGAATCTGATGGTCGGCGAATTAGGAGTTAGAAACTGGGAGTCAGCCAATGGAAGTCAAAAAATTGGTAAATCACCCCTAAGTTTTACCCAGATAATTTGGTTTAGGTATTACTGTGTGCAATGATAACATATTACCAACGATTCAGAGCAAAGTTCGGTTGAAAATTTGCTGATAAATTTAAATTTGTATTAATTCGTAACTAATACCTAAATAAATTAAATTTGTTTTAAACGAATTTTATCATAAATTTGAACCTGAAACGCTTATAAAAAAATAACCACTTCATAGGCTTACTTTTTTTTTTATCACGAAGTACAACTTATAATGAATCTAGTATATTCGATAATTTTTGAGAACACAAAAATTATATTCACTTATAACCTTAAATTTTAGCTATAAACAACTTAAACAACGCCAGAATATTTTTGAAATTGTACCAATATAGTAATTATATAATAGTAATAATATAAACATATTAGTACTAATATAATACCTATATAGGTAGTACTAATTTAAGTCTCCAAAGAAAATTTCGGGTCAACTGGAATACGCAATATTGAATTAGGTACATAACAAATAAAATAAAATCGATTTTAACAGAAACCGTTATCCCGTTTTTTCCGGATTCCCTTATTATTAAGAAAAGTAAAAAATACTTGTAATAGTTTTATTGATTTATTTGTGTTATTATTTATTTTATTGTTATTTTAAAGCTCTCGGTGACGGGAGAGTGATAGAAGTAACCACCCCCCTCAAATATGCCACTTTACTTATATACAATTATGTGAGTAAATATCAAAATTAAATAGAAATCAAAATTGTAAACATTGTAAAAAGTGTACCTTATAGATATTTAGCAATAATCGTTACAACTGTAAACAAGTAGGTATTATAATATTTATTAATTATCTTTGACTTTACAATTAAGTTAGCTCAGGCTTTATATTCTTAAGTTAACATATAATTTACATTAACATCTAAGTCCTAAATCTTTGAACATTACAAAATTATACTTAACAACAATGATGATTAGTTTCCTATAAATTCTTAAAAAGTATTGTATAATCAGATAGTACTTATGAATAATGGATCATAGATATATAATTATATTATATGTCTACGGTAATGGTTCATGAACAACGCAATATATTAGCAATTAGTTTTTCCTAATTTGAATCATATTATACTCTTCATTTTATAAGTTATAATATATAGGATATAAAAATAGAAAAGACAATTTGCTGATAGTAAACATTGTAATAAATAACAGATTTTACACGGACACTTATGTATAAAAATAGGTTTTAAATAAATTATACTATGTTTCTAACGGAATTATAAAACGTGCAATTAAAATAAAATATAGATGTACTTCCTTCAAAAAATTAATAGAACTTGCACAAATTTTAATACGTTTTGGATGTTATTATTATTATATAATCATACTACTCGCCTCCCGTGGTCAGATTATTATAAAATATCGAGGTTTTTTCCAATAAATATATTTTACCGAAATTCATGAATGTTTCTAGAAAATTAACCTTATCTATTAAGAATCTTTATAATTTCCTAATTATTGTCAAGATTGTCGGTAACAAATTATCTGTATATTATTACGTACAAATTAATAGTTAAACAAAATGGATCAATAGTTTTCAAAATAAACATTACGTAAGTACTTAATAAGTTATTATTATTGAATGTAATATACAAAAAACTAATAATTTTTTTAAAAGATTAACAATGCAATGTATGCTGTTATTGCTAAAAATACCAATACATAAAATATATACTTAATAATAAATAATACAAAACATTATACAATATCAATATCACAATAAAATCGTAATCATAATTAAACAATAATAAATAATAAATTATATTAAACAATAATAATTTACAAATAATGTAATCGAGAAATTAATTTAACGGCGACTATAATAATAGTGTACAGAATAAATTTAGGGGAGTCGTTAAAAAAATTGAGAATTACAGTGGTTATTAGAGACGTTTTCATAATACACGTTTTGATAAAGTATCATTGTTGTCAGAACTCTACTCCATAGAACCGGTTTCGCGTCTCCGTTATGTTGGGTGTATGTCAATCCGTTTTATGGAAATTGTACCCCTAAATATTTAAAACGGAAACGCGAAACCGGGACTAAGGAATTGAGCAAAAGCATTCGTATGAATCGCGACGAGACGTTTTTTCTTTGGCCGTTGTCTTCGGATAGATCCGCATCGATATTGAAAGTGTGAAAAACATACTGACGACAATCCTTGCGTTCGACATCGTTGCCGAAAACGGATTTAAACTTGCGGCTAGCCTAGTACGAGAAACCGTTGCAAACATAAAACGATTTGGTTACCAACATTATTTTGATTAATATTTTAATTGAAAATCGGATTATTAACCTATACACAAATGTTAATCATTCTTGGACGTTTTTATTATTATTTTTTTTAAATTTAATTTAAAACAATAACCTAAGCGTATGAAATATTTGTTGACAATGTATCCTCGCCGTTAGTGATGTCATTTTAACAAGTAGGATGAAAAAGATGAATTCCCCCTACGGATCGTGGCTGAACAAATGGTAATTATTGTAGTCATTGCGAATTAAGAAGTATGACCTAACCTAACCGCTCCATATTTTTCTATATGTACTATGGCCATAAACTTTAAAACACAATTATTATAAATTGTATTATCGTATGCGATATAGCCTGTAGGTGATAGTGTTCGTTCATATTATTAGATTGGGTACCTACATTATGTATCGTTTTTACTATTTTCCTCTATTGTCATGTCATCGAACCATTCAAATTTCATCGGGTGAGGTTATCGACGAGCAAAGTTTAATGAAAAGAAAATTAGATTTAGTGTTATATTGCGGATATAATTAAGTTACAGTATAGTTACAATATGTTATTAACTTCCAGTCGCTTTCATAATTAAATTGCTCAGCCCCGGAAATATGTGAATAGGGGAAGAGTAAAGTGCGATGGTTATTTCGAATCATTTAATATTTTGTTTAGGGTATGAGATAATAAGCTTATTCCACGTTACATGGTTATATTTAAAAGTATCTTAGAATTATTATATATATATACATATTATAATATTAAAAAAATATATAGAATATCTTAGATAGATACCTATTTATTATTATAAATCTCAAAATAATTTGTTCGTATTGAACCTCGCGGCTCTTTTATTGGAAAATTACCTTGATTCCTCCCCTCTCCTATATGAAAACGTTAAAAATACACCACTGTACGCCAGATGAAATAAATATGTATATATATTTACTCTTATTAATTTAGACTAATTTAGACACCTTCTAAATTTAATAGGTATACGTATAAACTTTAACAGAATATGATCAATAATCGTAACAGAAATAAAATTTATTTGATCATTCGAATCCATATAATTGTTAAAAAAATGATTGAATTTCTTGCGTGTAAACGCATAATAAAATATACGTATCATTATAATTAATAATTTCCGTTCAGACACAATCTATTTCTTGATATTTACTTCATTTTATTTTCTGGTTAGTTTTAAAAATTACTTTGCCAGATTTGGATAATATTGTAAATTGTATTATAGTAGTATTAGTATACCTATCATTTTATAATTAATAGTTAAACAGAGCAATGGACAAAAGAAAAAAGTGCCTTAAAACTGCAGATCGAAAGCAAATAGGTAACGAAATAAAAATGTTTTAATTGAGATTGAACACCAGATACCAACTGATATCTCCACTTCATGAAATTGTTCAGGAACGATAAAAAAACAGGTTTTATTTTTTTTTCTGTGTATTGCATCAATATTTGTTCCGAAACATATCAGATAGTATTAGATTTCTCTGATTCTAAAACTATAATACTATAATTATACCTATCGAAATCATCTGATTGTTGTACCCAAATATAGATAATTGTTCTCTTTAAATAAAATGTCTTATAAAATTGCATTTAGTAAAAAAAGTGGAGTTATCTAAGTTATTGCACTAAGATTTTGAATTAGTTCGCAATTTAAATTATTAATACCTATATGTATACATAAAATCGAATTGTATTATCCTTTATTCTACACGAACCGTATGTCGGTAACAGGACGTAGATACGTTATACTTATTTAAATGATTTTTTTTTTTTTAATATTATACTTAAATAAAATACGAACGTTTCATACTCTATAAATTAACCGCAAAATATTATTTTGCATTACGTATCAGTACGAGTAGTATTATTTTGGTCACGCCTCTGCCACGCCGTGCCGTTACGAGTTAAATAAACGAGCATAATATTAGGAACTCGTGTAAAAATATTATTCGTACGGATTGCTATATATGTTATAATCGAATAGGTGTAGTTTTGGAAAGTAAAAAGAAAAAATCGAAATGGTTTTTTACGGATTAAACACGCGTTACTCAAGTTTCAAGATTCGTATCTAAAAATAATATTGTTACGTAAATATGTAAACATATTATCAGTAGCAAAAATTACTAATTGACCTCGGATAAAAAAAAAAATTACACTTCTTTAATTATTAATAATAATTTATTCTAATTAGGTATTAGCTAATACAAGGCTGTATCTGGGGAAAGGGAAGGCCCGGAACCTGCCGAAATTTTCACTCCAAAATGGAACAATAATGAAACGTACACATGAGTCCTGTATATTATAGGTGTTATTGTGTAAATTTCGAAGTAAACGGTTATGAGTGTTAATTTTTTTTTTTTTTTTTTTTTTTAATCACCCTCCCACCGCAATTTACGGCCCCGTGTAATAACCACACTGATATAAAATTACGTAATATTATTTAGTGAACAAAAATACGGTGTATAAAATATTAGTCATCAATGACGACAAAAGCAAAACCAAAAGGAGCGCGTCCATTGTCCCCATAGTCGATACATATATTGTAGTACCAGCAAGAGTATTGATTTTACGTTTCGCGTTTTCCATTTGGGGTGAATAAAACTATATATTATTTAAAAGAAACTGGTATTGCTGCGCGAAAGAACACCTGCCCGTCGTAACTACAACAATGTAACAACACACTTGCGTTTCTTGAAAAATCGTAAAATCAAATATTTTAACTGTACAGTATATTAACATTAATGCAGTATTCCAATAGGAAATATAATATATCAATACAATGTACCAGACGTGACGTCATAGTTATAATTGTATTAATTGATTTTAACACGTAGCGTTTTTTCTGAAATAAAATTGTATCTACACAGTTGACGGTTTTTTGGACATTTTTTTTGATTTTCCTAATAATTGAGAAAGAAACGTAGATAAAACGGTAAAATGTACGGCAATAACGGTTTCATTAATTCCGATTCAGGTTTGTGTCTTTTTGTTGTTGTTGTAATTGGGATGAAGAAAATCGTAGATTAAACTTGAAATTTTCAGAGACCATTCATGTTAATTAAGCTCTTCTAGACGTGGTAAAATGATCGGAACATTCTATCGTTGTGTAAGCTGTTTATATGCATTTAACAATTTGTATTAGTATAAATCGATAATGGAGGGGGAGGGGCGTAGGAAAGATCCGGTAGAATGATAAAATATTAATAATTAATAGGTACGTCATATTTACTAGCGGGACCGTGCGAACACTTAACATTTTAAAAACACGCTAAACATCGAACCCTCCTCACAAGAATACTAGCTGGGTTTCGATAGTTACCGATTTCCCTAGCAACGGATTTACGTTGCATTCTTACAACAGTCGTGAATCGTGACGCAAATTCAAGTCTAGCCAGAAAACACGTTACAAATATTATGTCTCTAATTGGGTAGTGAGCGAAGCGAAAATTTTCCACGAGCGGGAATCTTTAAAATGGTGCCTTTGCGTTTATCGATTTCCGTTGGGTGGAAAGGGAGCCGCTTACCGAAAAAAAAAAGCCGCCATCTTGTTCGAGAAATAATATATAACGCACTATCAAAACTCGGTGTAATGCAGAAATAGTAACTCGAAATATGCGATTTCGAATTGTACTAACGCGGTAAAACCGATGTTATTTACCGCACAATTTCGTATTTTTTTGTATTGAAAAAACGAAGTAAGTTAAACGGGTGAACACGATCAAGCATTACGGGAGATAATACGCAATCGGTGTGTTATCTAAAAATAATATAAACTATACTCTATTGCGTTAATAATTCAAATAATAGTCGGTCAGCAGATACGCCGGCGTATGAACTACGAGACAAATAGGTAAATTCGTACGCGAGAATTCGTATAGTTTTGTCCGTAAACTACATAAATCCAAAAGAGTGTGACGATTATATCATCGATAATAATAATCGACACCGCGTACTCTTTCGTACGCACTCGGAGTGTTTAAAAAAATGCACGAAATCGTTTTAAAACTTGTTTTTTTTTTTTTTTTTTTTTTTAAAAACGCTGATTTTCGCGTTAGTCTACACCAATACCCCCGCCGTTCTGATAGTGCGGCGAGATTGTTTCAGACGCGTGAGTAAAACTATAATAATAATATATTGTATATAATATTATACGTACCTACCTATATTCTCCGTCCGCAAAACGCGATCGACATTCGATTTACTTCCGGCGTCCCGGGAAAGGCGTGAAGAGTTGTTTTTATTTAATATTAAATGGTTTTTAATTTTTGTTTCTCTCTGCAAGAAACGAGTTCGTCCGGAACATTCGTAACAAGTGTGTGTACGTGTGTACAATAATTACAAGTATAACGTATATACGTATGCATTCGCATTCAAGTGCACTGTAAATCGATAAACCCGCGGCGGCTATTATAGGTATAAAACGCTTTCTACACGATGTTTACCTAACCGCGTTATAAATTATTATGCGCCGTCTGTCGGCGGTAGCACGTCAGTCTAACCTAAACTCGCCGCGATAAATTTTCGCTTAAAAAAAAAAAAAATAACACGAGTGTCGTACGGGAATTCCGCCATTGGCCGAGAACCGTCTTATTGAACGGGGGGACACAGTGGCGCAGTCTGGATTTCTCGACGGAGGGGGGGAGGGGGTTGGAAAGGGATGAACAAACCCGAAATTCCGCGTTGGCGCATTAATCTCCTCGATTCCGTTTAAATATGGCACTTGAAAATATGCCACGTAAATAATAGTAACGGTAACACGAAATTGATAAAAATACAATCGACGAGGAGAGGGGGGAGGGGGAGGAGTTTGAGGGGGTGATGAGGGAGGAGGGGAGGAGTTTGAGGGGGAGATGAGGGGGGAGGGGGAGGGAGATAGGATGGGGAAGTGGAAGTGAGGGGAGGGAGAGGAGGGCGATGGGGCGGGGGAGTGGAAGTGAGGAGAGGGGGAGGGATACGGTTACGTCACTTTCGGCGGTAGATGATCGATTTTTGGCTCCCGCCCCGAAACGCCCGGGGAAAAGAAAACTCCCCCGTCGGTCGCCCAAAACGTTTCCCGTTTTGTCGCCTATACAGCACGTAAATAATACGCATACCGGATCGCGTCTCTTTATTACCGAAATAGGTTCAGTGACTTTGCCGATCGAATTCATAACGGTTTTATAGGAATGAAAAAAAAAAAAACCCAAAACCTGTCAATCAGTACAGACATCTATTGACTGTCCGTTTAAACTACAACGCGTTTGCTCCTATACTGCAGTTGATGATTTTCCACTCGACGTGGAATACCCAATGTGCAAACCGTTCATGTTCATTGTTCGCAAACGTGGTACACCCTGTAAAATACGAACGTGCACGTCCCCCTCGTATACCCTCCCCAATGCCGCACCCCGCTGCACACCCATAACGACGCGACGAGCGCCCGGGCAGCTGGCGACGGGCCGACTCACCGGTTCGCACGACCGTCCGTTTCCCGCGGCGGCGTATTATAGGTGTCGCGTGTTAATTACCCGCGGTCATAACCGGCCCGGCGGACCGCAAAATAACAACGAAAAAATTAAACTAAATACTCACTTGGCTTCTCCATGACGTGGCCCCCGTCCACCGTCGATCATTCGGCCGCGTCCGCCGCCGCCGCCGCCGCCGCAACCACCGCCGCGGTTACACCGCCGCGGACTGTTCCGGCGTTGTAGTAGACGTTATCGTTATGACTCACGCCGGGCCGCGAACCGACGACGATGACGACGTCTCCTGCGCCGCGCGCCACCGCCGAACCGCCCTTACTGTCGCCGCAGCGGTTCATGATCGGCGGGACATGTGTGCGCGGCGGCCGGTGGGTGCGAACGACACGCTATTAACGACACTTCCACGATACTTCCGCGGCAGCGCACAAAACCCGCGCGAACAACGCGTTCGGAGTTGTTTCGACAGGGGCGGGCAACAACAATAATCCTAATAAAAATAATAATAATAATAATAATAACCGTCGATACGTAATAATGTTATAGGTACCTGTGGTGTGTACGCCTATAACGGCCGCTACGAACGCGATCCGGAAACAACGGCAGCAGCAGCAGCAGCAGCAGCAGCAGCAGCAGCAGCGACAACAGCAACAACAACAGTCGTCGTCGGCGTAGCGGTTCCGTTTGGCCGGGGAAAATATGCGCAGAAGATACGCCCGTGCGACGCGGATTGGGCGTGCAGACAACTAGCGTCGTCCTGGTGCGGTGTCGCCTCGGCCGCGGCACGCGCGCGCCCCCCGATCGATACCGTTGTGCGCCTGGTGCGGCCGGTGTACGCGCACGTCGTCCTTTCGCGCGCACAAAACAATACCGTACGAGCGTGCGCGCGAGGGGGCGGCCAGGACAGGCGGCCGCCACCCCTGCGAGATTTTACGCCGTAGTATTCCCGAACGAAAAAATATAATTTATTAGACACCAATCGTTTTGCAAACGTTAAACCCTATAACGTCCCGTTGATATCGGCGCGAACGGAGTAACGGGTTTTCGGAGAGCTTGGCCATGCCTCGAAACTCGGCCAAGTCCCTCGGAATCAAGTCCTCGTTTCGATTATTTGTGCCCACGATTTACACGGCATGAGCCGGCCTCGATTCCCGACGGTTTTAATATTTTTTTCGGGTGGCCGCCCGCGCCCGTAGAAACGCGCGTCCCTTAAATTACTCATAAGTTGCCATTGCGTATCGCATTATTCTATGCGCGCGCCAGCTTAATTTGACGAAAGAGTAAATTGTAACGCTGTATTAGGTTTCGTGTGGCATGCAAGCTGGAGCGACACGGCGCATGAATATTATGAACGAAATAGATTTTAAGATTGCACGAATATTAATACGAAATAAACAGTACAGAAATTGAATAGTAAACAATGAACACGATAATATGGACGGGCAAGATCTATGGATGGCAAGCATTATAATTTGCACAGCCCGGAGATACGTCGACTCATGAATTAATGTACGGATTTTATAACCGTTCAACTACGCGTTCTGTTGGCAGATTGGACACCGTTCGGAGAGCCTTCGATCGGATCGGGCATTCGGTTACTGTTATTTTCCGGCGATTGGAAACGAAAACGTCAATATCCGCCCAAAACGCAAACCCTCGTAGTTTCGTCATGTTTGTCCGTCCGTATTACCTATTTGGCGCAGACTTATAACTCTGTTATTTTTCCATCGATTCTGATGGCAATTTACAGAAAGGTGTCTTATACAGTGAACTAACGTGTAATCGTGCGGTAAAAAAACTGTGTAGGTATAGTTTTCCGTGTATACAATATGAGAAAATGATGAAAATCCAACTGGCCAGATTATTTTCCAGGGATAACTAATGCTGTTTTTATAAAATTTAATTAGATTTAGGTACCTGCTTTAACAGTGAAACGGCCGTATTTATTCAACTACGTGTAAATGATTTTGTAATTGCAACTTGTTGGCATTTTCATTCCGCGGGCAGTGCTTGATATCCACGATAGACCATGGTTAAATTATGCCTGGTCAGAGAAAAATTGTTACGGCTAACAGTCACGGAAAGTCAACCGTTTGACAATTATAAACAATAATTATTAACCTCTGAACAATTTAAATTTTTAATTTAGTAATAAATTGAATAATTGCCATTATGTGTTAGTATTAGTATTTCGTATACTGTAGATAGTGTAGTTTGGGTGAAGCGAAACCGGGGAGGAGGGCTCTTGAGAAAATCGAACGGATACGCCCGGTTTGCATAAAGGGCGGCGGTGTTCAGTAATTAGATTTGAACCGTTGGGGGAATTTTTCATTTGGCCGTAATTTAATTGAAACCCGCGGTGTTACACACAGGCATATACTCGTATAGCGCGTAAATAACATAAAAGTGTACCTGCTTTCGGGATAAATGGAAAACAATACCTACCTTATACCGACAATTAGATGTATTTGATGAGAATTTCCGTCCCCTCAGTTCCCCTATTAATATATAATATACGCATGTAGGCGCCAGATTTTAAAAATTGGCACGGGTTGCTTCAAGTGTCATGATGACTCATACTCTCCAACACCTTTTCTATCCCCGAGAAAAAAATGTGTACGCTTTACGTGTGAAATACATACAGCCACTCTTTGTTAAGATACTTACCAACGTACAAGATATTATTATCATCTGACATGAAAACTGTGGTGTCTGTAGCCATAGAATAGGTTACAACCTCGGCGGTAGCGATACAGCGTCAATATTTATAAACGCATTGCGGTTTCTTGTCAGTTACCTGTGTCGAATTTTTTTTAAAGTGTAAAAATTAAATAGCTAATTTATATTACATCCATATTCTAAACCATCTGATATTCTGGTCTAATATCTACCGGGCGATTTGGCCCCTAAAAATGTTCTGGCGGGTGTTCAAGCCCCCGGGCACTCGTGTGCATTACGCCCATGGATATGATATAATAGATCTGTGGTTTGGTGCGAGAAGGGCTAATGTGACGTTCATTTTGCGATTGTTGGACAATGGGCATTGAAATTTTAATTCTCCTTAAGGGTCTGTGTATTTTATCAAATGTAAATGTTTGCATAATTTCAAATTTTCGCAAAAAACTTACGCAATCTTTATTTAGACAGTAAGAAATTGTACAGTTTTTCTATTTTTTATTTCTAACAGATTTTTTTCAAAAATTTGACACTGTCCCTTTTTACACCAAACCATAGATATGCACATTGATATTAAATTACATTTTTACATTCGACTCAATAATTATCATTTTATGTATTATTATTGTGATTACATAAATATATATTGATTCGGTATTTTTCCCGGAAATTAAAAGTCAAATTAATAGCTAGTATAGTAGGTACAACTCAAAACAAAGGAGCAATATTGTAATTTTATAAAATTAATTTAAAACAAAATAATTGTGGTTTGATACGTTTCGTTAAGCATACATTTGCAAAACGCTATATTCGAATGAATGCTGCACCTATATACATTTTTATATAATAAGTACTACAAGGTCGAAATATTATATTGCACAGTGCATAGGCACTAGAGGCACTATAGATACTTAACAGACTAAATTGGCGAAACAATTAAATTTTATTGCGGTACAGTGAAATAGTTCTACGAGTTGCATTCGTTGGATAGGAAACAGATAATTTATACACATCACTCGAAATTTAACATTATTTCGTCATGCAATAATAAGTCGAGTGGTATGACTTCCTTTAAGCCCCTTACATTTTTCCCGCTTTCGGTTCTCACCCTGTGTTTTTATAGCAGAGTGTGTTTTATTTTTGTGCGACAATAAAACGCGACGTAGTTCTACGACAACGTACACGCGACGTCAGCTGTTGGCCATGTGCGTGGAGACAATAATAGAATTAAACACAATAATATCGAAAATCACACATCTTACAGGGAACGAAAATTGATTCTAATAATACTGTAGTGTGTTAACGTGTTAGTTTTGTCGACGGTGTCGCTCAGTTTCACGAGTTTCAGCATGTGGCCGTGGCATATTTAAGGGAGAAGGATTAGTAAGATGTATCTCTCCCCTTGGTCCTCTTTCGAATATAATGCATATGATTGCCTATTTTTGAAAATCGAATTTTATTCCTTTTTAGTTGGAAAATAAATGCGTTGATGCCTAGTAAATGTATCGAAAAAACCTAGACGTTACACATTTCGGATTTTAAATAAATATAAAATACTTATAATAATAATACGATAGGCAAAAGGAAAACAATTGACTTTAGAATAATTTTATATCGTGATATATTAACAGCGGCATCTGTTGGTCACGTGATAAAACCTATACGTACGAGTATTATATTGTAAGAAAAATAATAGTAATATAGATAGCAGGCATGTTATCGTTGACTCATAATATTATAGGTACCTATCTTTTTATAAGACATTTTTCGATTCAATAATCGATTGAATAATAATATATAACCCCTGGTATTATTACCTACCTTTAAATATCGCGTGTAATCATTTAAATGGATCGCCGTGTATAGCGGGTATGTTATGTCGTACTATACTAATTCCCAATTTAAAGTTTTGAAACTTACAATATAACGTTTACAACTTTCAAATTAAAAATTACATTATAATAATATATTTATATATAAGTCAGTGCCGTAACCAGGATTATAGCCCAGGGGGAGGAAGCTACACAATTGTAGTGCTAGGGCTAGAGTACTACAACCGGCTTATTGCAACAAAATAGGTTGATTTATATTATAATCATATTTAAGAATAATGAATTTAAAACATCTCATAATAATTTCCTCACTACGCCACCAGTGAAATTATAACATTAACTTTTTTATTCTTTGTCGTCAATTTAGACATTTTTTAAATTTTTTTTTAAGTATTTCATAATAATAAAACAATTAAATAATTAAACAATTGTTTATAGTTTAAAATCTAAGTGTCTTTCTTTTTTTGAAGCGAACCTATTACTGGTATTATTGATAATATTTAAAAAAAAAAAAACAACATTTATATTTGGGGACAATTCTTTGGGACACTTTGGTATTGTATCCAAGTCCCAAGGGACTTTTTGAAATACAATTCTTTTCGTTGGATCATTTTCGTCTCCAATATTCAAATTTATTTTCAACTAATTTGTAATTTTCTATAATCAAATCTTCTTCATAAAAATTAATTGTCGGTTTTATATCATTAAACGATAGATTTCCAATTTTATTGGGTAGTAAACATGATAATGAAATAATAATATTAGAGTTTGTTTTTAATTGTTAAATAATGCGCGTATATCATTTAAGTATACACAAAAAATCGATAGCCTATAATAAGAAAGTTAATCATTATTGTGTATCTGATAATTGTCTCGGTGCTTTTGACTATACCTCCAACTCTTGGTAAATTGTCGAAAATACTAAAGGATTTACCAATTTCACAAGCTTGATGGTAAATCTCGGCAAGTATTTCTTCGCTAATCGTTTCTTATACCTTTTGAGATAGGTATTTTAAATCGTGAATTCGTAATTTAATTGAGGTAACCATAGACCTTATACTAAGTATGTACAAGGTCTATAGAGATACATAATGTATAGCGTTAGTGGTTATCACTTTATTATGTTATACTTTATTAGAACGGCTATAGAATGTTAAATAATGAATACTAATGGCGAATGGTTAGTGGGTACAATGATAGATACAATAAACGAGCAAATCCGTGTCTGTGATAGGCAAATATATAATTTTCAATTTGTTATTTCGAGAGTGGGGTTTGAGTCGGGAAGACCCCCTCCTGGCTACGGCACTGACATAAGTATATTTGCCTGGTGTCTGCATGATAAACGATATTAATAACGGTGTTATTATAAGGTTTTATTAAAATCAACGATGTATAATTTAAACAGATTATTATAGTTGGTTAGATAGGTATAACTAATAAAATTTATTGTCGCATCATAAATTCATAACAAAAAATTGCTAATACATAAATTGTGTATCCACAAAAAAATACTACATGATACATAATATAATAATATAAGGTAGGTACCTAATATACCCAACTCGAATTAGGACATTTAGAGGCCTTAGTGTCAAATTTTTCAATAAGCCCATCAAAAAGAATAATAACAAAAAACATTTTTAAAAATTATTATTCAAAACATTTTAATAAAATAAAAACAATACATAGTAATTTCCACTATCAGATACAAGACCACTATAAGACCATCAACAAAAATATCGGAATAATTTTAATTGTACTTGAATTTTGTATCAATTTTTAATTATAACACATTCAATTGAAAATTGAAAATTTGGTTTTTTAAAGCAAAATGTGATTATATCATAATATTATGATATGATGGTGGCGCGAGGGTAGTTCTGTGCGTCTGAAGACTCACCGGAAGATGTAATAAGATAGGTAACTAATATTAAGAAGTAAAATTAGTTTAATTTAAACTTAGATGTATGCTTACAAGAGGCGGTACGGCGTGTTAAATCAACTCGATTTTTATCAAATTTATTTCGGGGTTTCTTTTCATCAATAAATTGGTGGGCGGGTGTATTCACTTATTGTTTCGCAGAAAACAAAAGATATAGGTATATAAATATAAGTTCGCGCCACCATTATATAGAGCTACAGGATAAATTGACAATTGATTAAATTGCGGAAAACATTTTGTTTTTCGGGCGCGGGCAGGGGTAGGGCAGTGGTGGCCAACACGGGAAAAGAATGGCGCATAATTCACGTCAAGTACGGTTGGTGAATCATTATTTCGTATTCGTTGGTCTCTTTCTCTAATCCATTATACGGAAAGTAAAGTCTTCTATGACTGGGATGAACCTGTAAGAAACAATAGAAAATAATAGTTAATTATATATTACGTGTTATATAGGGTGCCCATCGTGTTTTATAAGATTTACACTTTTGTTAATATTTTTCATTTGGATTTTCTTTGAGGGGTACATTTATTCAGGAAAAAGTTAATTTTTCTTATTATCACTAGTAAAAAAAACCTTTTTATTTGTTCACTTTTCGACATTTTCTAATTAACCGATCTGTAATAAAAATTATTATTATAAACAATTTCAATCTTACATATCCGATGAACTTTAGTAATTTTAATTTTATACTTAAGTTTCTTGAGAAGGGTTGTAAACAAGTTAAAAGACTATACTACATTTCGCGATTGAGTAAGACAATCGTAATAAAACATTTTTAAAATAAATGGGTTTTTATTCTGTGCCCATTACGAAACATGATTTATTATGTTAGAAAAATGAAAATGTTATAACATTTAAACGGCAGAAACTATTGATATAGGATATAAATATATAGTAAATTAAAATGTTTAGAATATTATCTTTTATAAAATAGCTACTGTGACTATTTCGGAAAGTGAACAAATAAGAATAAGTAATTATTATTATTTTTTTTTAATAATTAGGGATGAAACGTGAAAATAGAAATTTTTTGCTCTATATGTGTGTGCCCCTGACACGAAATCTGATTGAAAAAAAAAAATCAAATATTAACAGAGATGTAAAAATCCGTAGAACACGGTGGTGCACTCTGTATAGTATGTACGAGTGTCACAAAAATATTAAGTTAACTCACGGAAAAATCTGCGAGTAATAAATAGGCAAACAACTATAGTATACCAAAATTACTATTGATTATGAATAACTATGTACAGATATTAGGTATTGATCTTTCAAAAAAACGTGTTCAGTTCCAGTGGCGTGTTTAGCATTCTGTGATCCTTAGGTTAAAGTTTTGTTTACCCTTTTTTCCAGAACATTCGTGATTCCGAAAAAATCCCTTATAATAATAATAATATTTACAATGTATTTTTTTTTTCACATACAGTTGTACATTTCCGTACGATTTCCTTCTGTAAGCTTCCGTGCTTTATAATTTTGTTCGTTTTCTCCGTTCGCACGATGTAACGCAGTCATTCGATATTATTTCAACAAATAATATTAATAAAGAAAAAAAATTAAACAAAAAATGCCATCCCTCCTAAAATTTCCCCCCTAAGCTTCAACTTACACCTAGCCTGATATTATAAATACGGTACTGTTTGGTTCAGAGTTCGAAAGAATTTATCTTATTGGTACTATACTTAATTTATTACTGTTTAATATAATACCGTATAGATATAGATATGAGTATATTTTGTAATTTGTAACAATATTACAATACAGATAAGTTTCAAGTTTAGTTACTTTGCCCAGAGTTAATATCCCGTCATACAATGTTCGTCCTAAGTAAAGTTTTTCGCCGAACAAGGAGTGACCAATCACAACAGCGTTTTGTGGAACAGTGCTTCCTTGAGCGCTTATCCACGCTACTTCTACGTGACATAAAACCTAAAAAATAAATAATAACAAACTATATAGTTTAAATATTAGGACCATATAATAGTAATAGTGAAAACGATAACACATTTCTCGACAATAACGAGTGAAATCAATTAATGTTATTATTTTTCGAAAACGGTGGCATGCTTGGGCATGGAAAGGAATGTAGTAAATATTAAGTATGATTTATGAATATATCATGGAATCTCTTTCTGGATATTCTTAAGACGGCGATGAGAATTTAAAACCCGTAATCAAAAAAGCCAAATTGTATACTGTTTTTCCTAATAACCTACAAGAAAAAACATAAATTTAATGAAATATATAATTTCAAGTTTCAAGATAAAATTAAAATATAAATACTGATAGTTTTACTTTTAAGCTAAAGGATGTCCGGGGGGGGAGGTATTACCCTTAATATGTCTTTCCCTGCCACTGACCAACAATCACAATAATAATATTATAGTGTTTCATGTATAGACAAAGAAAACACGGCGAGGATGAAAAATAATATTCCTTATATTAAGTACCTATAGGTACATTTTAAATGTGTCATTAGACTGCACCGCCTATGGTTTTTAATGGTACGTTTTATTAAACATTATTATGCTCATAATCGCAGGTTTTAACAAAATATTTAATCGTCAATGTGAATTTTGTAATACAATATGGTTATTATGTGATAAAACTCACCTACGATGAGTGGTTATAGTCAAGAACGGTAATCTTTAAAAATCCAAAGAAGGACAATCGGACGTATAGCTGGGGAGGGGGGCATGCACCACATTGGTCGTATTTTTTTCATTGGCCTTTTGTTAAACTGTTTACATGTTGTAAATTTAGGTACTTACATTTAATATTATTATATAATTACATATTTACATTCACATAATCATATTCATATCTATTAATTTTTATTATAGCTAATTAAGCACTACTAGTGCCGCACCAATTGTCCCTCACAACTTTACCCGTGTTAGTATTGAACGAACAAAAAAAAAATATAAAAAAAATAATAACGTGTTTCCCAGTGGCTCCTTGCTTTCAACCCCATCCCTTTCACTGTAGTTTATCATTGTTGTCCTCATGTTTAAAAATGCATTTTTATTTTATTTTCTCGTCATCATTAAAAGGTTACAATTTAAATAAATTCTTTCTTAGCAGTTATCTCTAGAGTCCCTCCATCTATTCGTGCATACCTATGAATGCAACATTCGGTGTCAATTGGTTTGGTAGTTTTTGAGTCTATAGATCACGAACGAACAATCATTTATTTTTATAGTAGATACAACACGTTTAATTAATAAAAATATATTAAATATAAATGTATATACTATATATGTAATGAACATGAACAACGCAATACGAAAAATGAACATTGCACTTTTTTTAAAAAAAATTTAATGATCACAAAAACAAACAATACTTGAAAATATAATAAAAACCTAACACTACGATTTAAACGAAAATTCTAAACCTGCTTTTTTTTTTTGAAAATAAATAAATAACGTTGACAACTAAATTAAACTTTTGAATTTTCTGTCTATAGATACTTATAGTAAACTTAACTCTGAAAATCTCGTCTCTGTCGTTATGGACCCTGGCCATGTTTTTATCCGGTGAAGTGTACTAAAAGTTCTTAGTAAGTACAAGTTGTAGGAGGCGTGATTAAGTAAATAACTATAGATTTTTTTGAATTGCCGCAAAAAAACTCGGAATCCTTTAAATAACATTAAAGATTATGTTATTCATCATTAATTAGAATAGAATTTTCGAGAATAGGTATGTAACAGAAATCATACCGTGTTTTACTTTCTTCAATACGATTGTTTATTTTATGTATAGGTACCTATATACATACATAAGTAAATGTATAAGTATACATGGCAATATTTCGTCTTTTGCTCATTTTATACGAGAGACTAAACCGAAAACACTATTATCATAATTATATAAATTTTTTATAATGTAATATGAGTAGGCAAAAAGCAACACATTCGCGTCTTACCATGAGTAAAAAAGGATTATAGATTAAGGAGAGTAAGCAAAGTACGAACAAAATATAACACGATTTAATTACGGCAGCTTGGAGGATTCTTTGTTTGTATTTACCTAGCCATGTTATCTGCACCTACCATGTTGGACCGTCAAACGTCATGTTATTTTATCAACGTAAACCAGAGTGCTGTTACACAGAATATATTATGTGATTGTTATTATATGAATACGGTTTTTAGGTAAAAAAAAAAAATATTAATCACAATAGGTACTCAGTATGATAGCAAATTACCATACATTACACACGAAAATATAAATGATTATATTTTATGTGCAAGAAGTACGGGAAAGCCAAGAGGGCATGTCCCCCCGTACCTCGATTCCCTCCGTGGACACCCATGGGAATAGGTATAAATATGGTTAACTAAATTAAAAAAATTTTGTCTATAAAAATTAAAAAACACGTCCCTCGTCACCGTCGAGTTATAACGAGGGGAAACTATTCGTTTTCGTTTCGTCATGATGCCGTAACGGAGGTTTTGACATTATTTATAAATTATAAACGATATCAATTAACGACGTTAACTGATCTGACCTCGTAGTGTCTAATGGCGTGTTCCAAGCCTCCCAAGCACACGTAGGCCGATGAATGATTTGGATTTATTTTGGCGGGTAGTAAATGACCGTCGTGAAATGCACGACCCGCGTACAATTGCACGCCGCCTTTGTCGACTCCCGCGCGTACGGCACCGTGGGGTAAGGGATCCCCGGAATTTCTTGGTATCCACGTGAGATGATGGTGATGATGATGATGATGATGTTCACCGGTTCTTGGATACATCCCGTAAGCACCTGTCAAAAGAAAAAAGTGAGATATACGATAGTCGATAGACAGACATAACATAGTCGAAAACACAAAACAAGTGAAAACACAATTTAATTAAATACATTTTTAATGTACATTTCACCAGCCCCCTACCTCCAAATACAATTTTTGGAATTCTTTTCACGCAAAATATTTAGTGTGAATTTGTACGTCAACGGTTAACGATCAAATGCGAAAAAAACGTTGGAGGTGGAAAGGTGAAATGTTAACTTTGATTCAACATAACATGTTTTTTGAATAGTTTCTTCCAAAATTTAGTTATAAATTGGTGCGATCATATTTATAATTTACACGACAACGGTTGACGAGAAAATCCGAAAAAATGTTGGGGGAAGAGTTGGTGAAATGTATGCCCTTTCTGAATTTGATTGCTATTCACACTAATTGTACACTAAATATTCGTGAAAAAATTGCGAAATCGCATTAAAGAGAAGTGAGGAAATACACTGAAATTTTCGGCGAATTTCTAAATAAGCTATACCAAAAGGAAAAAAAAACAATTTCCAAAAATATTTTGGACGCCACAGTAATGATATTATTTTAATATATTTTTTATTTGCTTAGGTACGTTAAAAGTTTAAATAGCAACCAAAAATGAATAATATTTCTCGTTCTTGATAGTTATCCTTATAACTATAATACCACTATGAAAATAATTGTTATAGAAGATATCTGTCGGCAAAATACATTGAAACGAAATCTAGGTTTAATTTTAAAAATAAAAAACTATCTATTTTTTAAAATTAAATGTATTAAATGCAAACGCTATATACAGTAAGTACACAAAATTATCAACAGAACTCAAAGATACTCATTATCTAGGAAAGTATTAACTTTTAAATTTGGGCAAGAGATTTGTAGTATCATCATTTCCGTGGTGACGCAACACACGACGCTTAAATAGTGTTCCACTTCTAACTAGTGTTCCCCCAACTAACAAAACGGCACATGTAATATATCTCGTCAATGGTTGACGGAAATTTAAAATTTAACCACCGACGTTTTTCCAAACTTCATCTATACATGGAATTTTCATTTTTCAACATAGGTTGTTATTTGAAAACCGAACGTGGCTAGATGTTTTACTCGCTAAATTAAAGGTAACGAAAAATTACGGTAATGTAACATTATAGAGCTTAAAAGTTACTACTTATCGAGGATTAATCACTCTGTATAGATATTTATTTGCAATGCATATATAATATATATACATAAATATGACAATTATTTTTGAACAATTGATATTTTATTGAGTATTAATCTAAAATAACTTATTTAATTTTTAAATTTATAAACATCGATTACGATATAATTAAATATGTTAAACAAAAAATACATAAACAACATTATATAATACTGTACCTAATACAGGTATATTTTATGAGAATAGAAATAATCAAATTAATGCAGTTATAAATTCAACAACGAATAATTATTAAATATCATTAGATACAAAAAATAATTACTTACCGGATGGATACATTAAAAATCACCAAATGTAAAAAAATAAATGTGTACTTGCACTATAAACTCGAAGTGTGGGGTTTTAGTTTAACTGTATTGGTACATACCTATGTTACTGTCACTACTATAATGCCACCCAAAATGCATGTGCTTATAAATATAATATAGATAAGCATGCATGGTATGAATAATCAACTTACGAACAGTTGAGTATATTATAATCTATCTTTATATGATATACAGGACGATCAGCGAATTTTAGTTTACATCGGCGACTTTATTACATTTATAAAAAGGTCAATCTTGCTGGAGTGCTGATGCATATGCCACTGTTTTAAGAGGAAAGTTATAAAGGAGGATATTTATTGTATATTAAACTATATTACTATATAGTTTATATCTGTACGTTACGATAAATTTTTGCTAACGAAAAACGATTCTGAGCGGAGCATTATTAATCGTTTTTTTCCCTTGTTGCCAAAGTAATCGGGAAATCAAAACTGATTTTGGACGAGAGTATCGTTGTAGATGGGAAATTGGGAAGATAAGATACATAAAGTTATTTATGTGTTTTAAAATGACGTAATGTAACAATAAAACATAATTGGTCTCACCACAATGTTCTTGTAGAACTTACCTTTAAATCTTATTGAAATGTTTTTGTTTCATAAAAATATACCAATCAAATGAAAATTCGAAAATTTCTAGTATCTACAAGTAGCTCAATAATCTTTTTAAATTTTAACCACGTCTAAAAAAGTCTAATATATATAATATGAGACATTTTCAGGGCTCTACGCAAATGTTGAATTGAATAACAACAAAAAAATAAAATTGAAAATAATAAAAATGTTATTTCCATAAACTTTTTAGTATTTCCTACGTTTTTTATCTGTTTTGCCCGATTATTATAAAAACTGTTTGGAAATTCAAAATGTAGCTCCTCAATGCTTCAATCAAATCCAAATTGCAATACTTTTTTTGATTGGAGCAAGATTTTTGACAGAAAATTTGTTTATAGACAAAAACCAAATATATTCCTCGTTTCAATTAGAATCTAAAATATATAGAAAAAACTACTAAAGATAATAAAAATGGAAAATAGAAGAAGCAAACTGTTGTGTAAAATAGTAAAATAAATATTAATTACTATAAAACGATGAACATATTGATTTAAATCATAGTTTATTGAAATATTATACAGATGTTGTGTTTTTTTTTTCCTCTTGGGGCTTTTTTTTTTTTACTAAGAGTAACTTTTTATGTGCATGCAAACTTTTAGCGTTTGAGCTCGATCAACGTTTAAATAATATTTGATATAAACGATTTTTGTGAGGTACCCCAAAAATATTACGAAACAACTTTACGGGATAATAACCGGCGCGATAACCGTCGCTAAAAAAAGCGTGTATTTATCAATCAATAAGAAAATTGCTACATAGACTAAAATTTTGACCACCCTGTATTCTTATAGTATATAAGAGGTATGGCGAAACGTTAAAACAATATAGTATAAATTAAGTTTGGGTATCGTTAACCTGCTGTAAGTATATCGATTAATTGAATCATTTTCATTTTCATTTTATCGTGTAAACTAACCCAAATATCGATTTAAATATATTTAAAAACTATGAATTATGACAATATAATTAACTATAATAATATGAATCATATTATAACCAACGAATTCGTCATCTATTTGCCCGATAGTTACTCACACGATAACATTAACATTTGTTTACGTTTACGTGTACATTAGATAAAAATTTGAAAATTTTCCACAAAATATTTTATGAATTGTTTATTATTAAATTATATTATACATAATAAACATGTATGTGACTAATTAAATATAATGTTACGTTTAACACTATTTTTTCTTCCTCCTTAAATGCACAACTTAAATACATACACACTTTTGATTTTCAAATAAGAAGCCTGCTCCTTTAAAAAAACAAATTCGAATAGACAATATAATATATGTCTATTAATTGTGATTTGCAACACTTATATCAGATTTATTGTTCATGAGTGATATCAGTTTAAGTTTTAGTCCAGAGTACCCTTTAAGGAAGACTTATGAATTTATCATCTAAAAACGGATATACTAAACAAAAGTATACTAATTTAAAGTATTAGGAGTAGGGGTAAACAATTTAAATACTGTTAAAATAAAACTTAAAAGATTTCATATAAAGATTGAAATAAACTGAAATTAAATTCCCATAAAATCCACCGAGAAAATAGTTGGTTCATAATAGATGGATTATCCCAAGCGTGGATCTTTGGAGAGGGAAGCTAAAGCCCTCCAGTCCACCTCTTTAGAAGTATTTTAAGTTTTATTAAATATTTCTATTAAGTATTTAAGTATAAGCTATTTATTTTTCGATTTTCGATAACAACAATACAAACACTTTCAAAGCATTATTTCTTATCATTACACAAATAAGTTCTAATATTATTATCTGAGGTAACCGATTAAAACTTTTGATGATCCAAAGCCGATACAACTGAACCAAAAAAAGCTATATAAATACTGATGTATTACTGTTATACATTTTACTCCTAGTATAAAAGTTCTACTATACATTTTTTTCAAATTTGCACTTAAAAATGTCAAAATATGCAATTATATGACCTAAAATATATTAAACGTACATATTTTTTAAACAAATAAAGGCAAAAAAAAAAATTCTTTAAATGTCTATTTAAAATTACTTTATTACAAAATATACAGCTATTAAAACAGTTAGTATTCTTTGATTTATCGCATGCTTATGCTTTGTAGTTTTTATGAGCTTTGTTACTAAAAATCATTTAGTTTCAGATAATCTTCATAAAATTTGCAAAATAACATTTTCCATCGGACCTCAATGTAATATGTTTCCCAAACTCTCTCAGAAAACGACTCAATGAATTTTTCGGTATTTTATTAGTACGTACTTAAAAAAAAAAAAAAAACTTGAATTAATAAATTAATAAATTGTTTTAAGTGTAAAATATGCGAACTGAAACAAACAATCACATATAATCATCTAAATATTTAATGCCAACAAAATAATATTCAATATTAAACGCGTCATAATCTCCTAATTCCATTCTCAATTACTTATTTATTTATAATAATAGGCTTGCGCCTACGCATCAACATAATTACAGGTTATTCAGATACATTAAAATTTTATTCATTTTTCAAGAAAAATCACAAGAGCATAAAATATATATTTTGGTTCGAAGAGGAGAAAAGTGTTGGTTTAAGATACGAACAATTATTAAAAACAAAAGAAGGTAACAAACTTATGGGTAAAACCAACCACGCCACTGGTTTATAAGTATCTAATCTCCTAATTTTATTCAGGTCTTACTCATAAACACAATTAATTATGATGATTGATAATAATATGGATAATCTTTTATATTATATTTTTAGTTTATAAAATATAATATGCTAAATGAACTAGACATAATCAATATATGTATTTATATGTTTAAAAGTGTCAAATATGCAAAAAAATTGCAAACTAGACTTCGTAAATAGAATTTATATCATACTCGGGCATAATTCTGATTGCGCGAAAATATATGCAGTCTCAAACATCCAAGCTCTAATAATTAGTTTGTACATAAATTATTAATTCGATTAATTTCGATTGCTGAAGTATTTTCGGTTAAGCATTCTTCTGTAATCTGAAGTGTTTATTTTAACGTTCATAAAATACATACCCAGATAATATTCAATAAAAAAAAAAGAAAAAAGTTATTTATCATGCCTGTAACCAACGATAAACCATTGCTGACGAAAAAAAATTCGGAGCGAAGTTCGGTTATACATATTATGAAAGGCCGTAATATTTACGATTTTCGTCAAAATTTATATTTAATACACTTAAAAAATAACATAAATATTAACATTAAACTCAACTTTTTCTTGTTGACCACTAATAGCCGTTTTTATTATCGGCTCTTTTAGGTTTGTAATTATTTGTTCTAATAGTGTAATATCGTTTATTTCAATGTAAATGTTTGGTATTTTGAATGATGGTTTAGTAGATTAAGTACCGGGAATTCAGTACGTATTATTATCTGTATTGTAGAGAATAATCGAAGGTTTTTTTATTATTTGGATTGCGATAGATTATAGCCGTCTTAGTTTTTTCGTCAAAAATATAAGTATCACAGTTATAATAATTGGAAATTCTTCAACGACCACCAATGACTTGAAAGATATGATATTGATATGGTATACCAATAAAACATAAGTAATAACATACTAAATGTTGAGAGTATACTGTACGGCGTATGTGTAGTATACCCTATTGGAACACCACGGTTTAAAATGTTAAACAGACGTTTAGAAATATTAGTTTTTCGAAGAATTTGGATACCAAAAAAAGTAGGTAGTTCACCTATTTTGTAAAAATGCAGTAAAACAGTACAATTTAAAAGTTAAATTTATTTTTTTCACATTAAATGAATAATAATAATATTAATAACAAAAATAATAATAATAATAATAATTAATACAAATTAGATGACCAAATCCAAAATAATTTCAAGCAGCGTTTTGCAAGCGGTTTGATGATATATATGAATATTGTTTGATCAACAATAGTTTCTATATTAATGCTTTCATTTCGATGAATATTTAAAATTGATGAGCCAGTTAGCCTCTACTCAAAACTTTTTTTACCACAAAGTACGACTTTTAATGAACTTCATGTTGAATTTTCAAGCATTTCTGTTTGGTCTAACAATTTTATCCACATAGTACCTACCGAATAAAAATCACGTAAAAATTCACAAAATTAAAATATCTATAAATTACTCAAAATTTTTACCACGTCAAGAAAAAGTAAATATAAAGTTTACTGTCTAAGTTTCAAGTCTCTACGAATATTTTTAACTGAATTACAACAAAAACAAAATTGAAAATAGTAAGAGCATTATTTTCGTAAATTTTCCCGTTTTTCTTAAATTTTATCCTTAGTTTTCCTGATATTATGAAAACTGTTTGAAAAATCAAAAAATTACCTTCCTATAGAAACATTTAGACAATATGACAATATTTTCTTTCAGAAAAGGTGCTACATTTACATATTGAAATAAAATTTCTGGTAGAAGTTTTTGTCACAGTATAAGAAAACAAAAAAAAACATCATTGTAAAGCCAGAAAAACGAAAATACCAAAATAATTTAATTTTAAAAATAACATTTCAAGATTAACACAGTCAAACGCTTTAGAAAAGACCATATAAATAATATCTGTTTGTGCATAAGAGTCAAATGAATTTAGTATTAAGTATTTTATTAAAGATAAATTAGTGCATGTTGAACATTTAGATATAAAACCATGTTAATTTTTAAATAGGTATAAAGAAAATTAGCTAGTTAATTTAGAAGAAATTAAATTAGATAATAGTTTTAGAATAGCTGATATTTTAAAGATAGGCCTATAATTTGGAATTAGTGAGGGGTCACCTTTCTTAAAAACTGAGGAAAAGAAAGAAGTTTTCCATAATTCATGGAAAATTTCTTTATTAAGGCAGGTATAAAAAATATTAGTTAAAACCTAACCTATACCAAATATAATCTACGTAAATAATTCGCAAAATTAAAATGCATTTAAATTGCCTAAAACGTGCTCAAATATTTTGAACATTTTACTACGCTTAGAAACCGTAAATATAAGTTTTCTATTAATATTTCAAGTATTTACGAATATTTTGAACCAGGGGCGGTTATAGGCATGAACCAGCCCGGGGAAAATAGAATTTAACGGCCCGCACGAACATATAACCACTAAGTAGGTATTTGACGGGCATACAACTAGACAATTAAACGCTCAACATCGATTTACTGATCAGCGATAGACAATTTACTAGGCATGATGATCGACAATCGCGCTAACTTAATATCTTGATTTATCGCCTTTACAGTATTTTTTTATTTTTTTTTTTTAGGTACTGAGAGGTTTAAAAAATGTTCAGGTACTACAGGTTTTACTATAATATGATATTTTAAATAAAAAAAAAAATATATTATAATACAATTTACTAATATTTTAGCTTCATCGCTCTTTATATAGATATAATGTAACGTAAAATAACAAAATAATGTGCACATATTAAACGCAAATACTACATGTACGTAATAATGTGATAGTCGTAATGTAATATAAAACGCATTTTAAATATTATTTGTGCGATTTAACTATATATGTATAGTTACTACGTTTTGTTTGATTTAAAATTGTTTTCAAAATATAATAATTAATTTAACAGTTAATAATAACATCAAATATATATCATATTGTTGAATAAATTTTAATCAATCGTTGCAGGTGGTCGAAAAATCATGATTTCATACTCGTCAACAGCTACCTCTTCTCCGTTATACGGTATGTAAAGTGATCTATGACTGGGTTGAATCTAAAAAAGTAAAATCATAAATTGTATTTTATAATCATATTTTAAATTTTTAAGTCTAGTGAAAGACGATATTTCCGAATACTTAGATATGTACAATGTTACCTGTTAAGAAGTATCCCGTGACAATAATAACTTTGGTTTTTCTAATAAGAATCTACATATTCTTATGTAAATCATCAATCAGATGATTTATCTAAATAAATGTTGAAGTATTTCAATCGAAATTTGAACAAAAAATATTTGAGCTATTCTAGCTGAAATATTACAGGTTAATAACTACACGAATGAAAACAAGAAATTATCTACATACATGAAACAGTTGATATCCAACTAAAAAACTATTATCCTTAGTATTAGAATAACTCAGAAATATATCATTCAAATTTCGATTGCAATACGTTATTACGTCAACATTTTCAGAAAGTCATCTAATTTATAATTTGTATCAAAATTTGTAGATTTTCATTAGGAAAACCAAAGTTATTATCCCAGACGATACTCCTTAAATGTTGTGAAAATATCGTCGTTCACTGCACTTAAATATTTAAAAAAAATACATTTTGAGAATTTAGGCATAATTTAACCATACAAACGGGGTGAGCAAGTTTAAAAAAATTACTCTATAAAATATTAAATTATATAGTTCTTAAAAATGATCCTTATCCCTCCCGATGACAAAATTATTTGACCGCCACTGGCCTAATGATTTCCGTAACAGAACAAACAGTGAGATGAACCGCATAATATATATTAATTAATTAATATATATTACAATAAATTTTAAAATCATTAACAAATTATATTGATAATCAATAAAGTTCTATGAAAATTAATCTGTTTAAAAATCTGATTAATGATATAAAATATTATTAGAGTAGGTAACATGAGGAATCCTCTCATGTTGATGACGGTGTATATTTTAGCCGATTGAAGCGAGAACGGTTGATGGATTTCAATTTTAAAAATAATTCTTTAGGTTCTCCACTAGGATATTTTGAAAATAAAAATTTAATTATTTTACTGGAAGTTTAGAAATCGTAAATGAAATCTTGCACCAACTTTTTAAAACGATTTTTAAACAACTCTTTCAATAACTCAAAAATGTATATTTAAAGTATTTTACCTTATACTTATAATAAAGAGAATTTAAATTAAAATTCCCACGTATCCTGAAAAAAAAATTATAATGAACATGAAGAGTCGTAATGTATTTTTAGAGTTAAAATCCGTCAAACGAAATTCCTACAGTTTTGTCTGTCTTATCAATCAAATTCGTTCGCAAACCGGTCATACCCCTCCCTTTAAATAGTTAACAGCGGTAGATAAGTGAACAATTCTTATCTTTTGGGTATATATCATTCAAATGTAAACCAATTCTTAAATTGCACAAAATTGGAAAAATTTGGAAAACCATCGCCAATCCCCCTTAATGGCTTAATTGCAAATTCAAATTCTGAAATTTAATATTATTCAATGTACTTTAGGTACCTATCTACCTAGTACCATATTAAGTACCTAGGTATTTATCATATTTATACGATTAATTGTAACTTATGACTTATAGGCATAACCTTATATGTCTTATGTGCATTACCTTACCTAACGCATTCAAATAATTTGATTGCCAAGTACCAATATAGTACCAAATTGAATATCATATAATAATAATTGTATGAATTACTTTTCCAGGAGTTAATGTGCCATCGTGAAGCGCACGTCCCATGTACAGTTTTTCGCCGCTTACGGTGGAACCTATCACAATTGCGTTCGATGGAATACGATTCTCGTAAGAACTTTGCCAAGCTACGCTCGTGTGACATAAAACCTGAAAATAAAACGTAAAACAATTCGTTAATAATATTATGGCATGAAGTAATTCATGGCCACCCGCAGAAATATATCTCGGGGGAAGCCAACAAAAAATATTTTATCTTTACAATTTGTTCCGTTTTGTAAACCTATATGTAAAACAAATTTTAAATTTCATGTTAGGATTTGTGATATAATCAAAAATAATAATTAATATAAAAAAAATTTATATTTAAAATTTAAATCATAAATCCATGTTCCGTGGTTTAAATAATTGAGTGTTTGTATAACGTATATCATCTAAAGTGAGAATGAGCCACGGCCCTATTGCCTCCTGCGGGTGGCTTTGGAGTAATGCAAATAATTGTTTTCATTTAAGTTCAACAATCTAACCTCGAAGTGACTCATGGCGTGCTCTAAACCTCCCCAGCACACGTATGCCGACGAATGGTTTGGGTTTATTTTTGCTGGTAGTAAGTCACCTTCGTGAAAAGCGCGCCCTGCGTACAATCTATCACCGTTCTTGTCCATGCCCACGTGGACAGCTCCCCTTGGCAATGGATCGCCGGAATCGCATGGTACCCAGACCAGCTCGCTCGGGTGTTCTAATGGAGGAATCCATCCGTAACCGCCTGTAAAAAACGCACATAGTTATATTGAACGGCGGATAGCGGAAATACTTATTAAAATCATTTAAATAAAATTATATATTATATTGTATTCAAATTCTGAGTAGAGGCCCGCAGATTAAAAACAGTTAAGTGTGTTCTTGCTTAATTTTATTTCCAGTTTCTCAGCATCAAATTGAAATATTTGAAAAATTAAGTCGCGGGCTGAAACTTTTTGAGTTTCTTTGCTGCTTCAAAAATAGTTTCGCAAAGAAAAGTACCAACCACACCGTTTTGAAACTGAAAACCTAATTACAGATAATTAGATACCCACCCAACTATCTCCATCACCCTGCATGCAATTTAAAATATTATTTTGTGTCTCCGTTCTACTCAAAATAAAAAAAAACAATATTAATACGCTTATTCTCTCACAATAATTATGAAACACCATTTCGTAACAAAAGCAAAACATTACCAGCATTAAAGACGTACAATTTTAAATTCATTAATGATATATATTATTATAAATATTATCCATATTAAATACATACCGGACATAGGTAAAATCATTGTTTAACAAATCAAAATTGGTCAAATAAACAAAAAAAATAACAACGATTTTGCGAATCTACAACAAAAATCCTATAAAAAAAAAAATTGTATGTTATCAATATAAAATGATTTATAACTATATGGGTATACCTAGGTACTTCAAATCAGTGGTGTTTTCCCTGCTAATTCTTTTGAGAGTATATTGTAACACGCAATTATATATCTTTCTTACGGATTATATTGTTAATAGGAAAATAGTTATCGATTATTAAAAATTAATTAAAGTTACTAAAACAAAACACTCGGACACTTTTTTTAATAAAATACTGTGTATCGTAAGGAAACTGTGACATTTAAAATTATAATAATTATGAAATAAATAAAATGTTTATTACTGTTTCGGTTTTTAAAAATATTAGTTTTCGTAAGGATTTGGATACCAACTAAAGTAGATAGTTTACCTATTTCAAATTTTGAAAAACAATACCTAAAGTCAAAAAGTTATAATAGAACATCCGGTCATTTAAGGTCGAAATTTAAATATTTTAAAACTACCGAACGTCATAAGGCCAAAAGTGAGATTTCCTCTTATGCCAGCAATTGAATGTAGGTAGATAATATACAGCAAGCGGGTAAAGGAATTGTTTATATAAAATACATACCAATATGTGTACCTTTATAAATAGCAAATAGGTTTATAATACACATTTTAAATATTAGAAAATGTACATGCAAATAAATTTTCATCGTATAATTCATTAGATTAGTATTTAAATTGATTTTTAAAAATTAAATATCAAATTAATATTTTAATCGTTATTTTTGGTATAAAAAATAAATTTGAAATATTTTGTGTTTGGGATACATTTTTCAAGAACAATATAATATCAGTGATGAGTGAATACGTTTAAACGCGTGTAATTTGTCGCAAAAAAATTGTTAGGTAGGCGTATATCTACTTACCGCTCATATTTTGAATGTTCTTCGCAAAATCGATTCTTACATTCGTTAACTAATATTAAACAATTGTTAATAAAAAATTAAAAATTAATGCTGGTAGGTATTGTCACTATAACAATTAACATGATTAGTGATGTTTGCAAAATTGTATTGTCACATTATGTATTATAGATACCTAATATGATAATAATGTGTCAACAGTTGAATATGCGACAGATGTTGATTTACGACTGTTATTGTATTTTATTAGTCAATTGATAAGCTTATTATTCTCGTAGAAACAGATTGCACAAAATTAAATATAGATTAAAAACAAAAAAAATTACACCGATAGTCAATCTGAACATCGATTTACTATAGAAATATAGAATACTTATATTGTATAATATGTACTAATATTTTTTTTATAATATACGCACCACACTCAAAATTAGGTAATAATTACCGGTTACAGATTTAATTATAAATATTCGTTCGATAAGTACCTATATAGCAGGGGTGGCCAAACTTTTTTTTGGTAGAGATCTCACTAAGAATATATTTTTCCTTTGAGTGTCGCCTTTCTAACAAAAATATATACTTATAAATTACCCAATAGGTGGTGACAAGAAACATACATGTACAAAATAATAAAATTAAAATGCATAGTTAAATGTTTTTCATCGCACTATTATTAAGACTAATATAGGTAATAATATAATAAATTGTAAATACAATTGGCCTGGTTAAACTCTGCGAATTTTTAAGTAATACTTGATAAATGTACAGCAAAATAAAAATAATATATTAGTATAAAAATGATCAGCAATTGTTATTTATCTACTAATTACATAAAAATATATTCAAACGAAATGGAAATCGACATTTAAATCATCTGCGACATACGGATCGATGGCGATCGACCGTTTGGCCACCCCTGCTATGTATATTATTTTATCGTGTTACCGTTATTCTACAACAATAATATAATAATACTCGTATAATATTATATCGTGCTAAAATTGGCAAAACTGTCCACTCGTATAATAATACAATAATAGATACTTAATATATTTTTTGTTCGCTATCTCGAAAATATATTTATTTAAAACTTATGATTTTTTCCCCACATAGACACTCAATCAGCTATATAAACTAGAAAAAAAATAAAATAATAATATAAATAGGTGGAGATTTATTTGTCAATAACTACCTATCTACAAATTTTATCACGCCACAAGTGGGAATAATAACAACATTATAATAATTAAAATGTAAGTACCTATTTTAATGTTATTAAATATAATATGGAATACAGCGAATAGGCAGGTACCTCCGTTATTATTACGCGCTTACGTACTCACCGATCATATTATTATTGTCGCTGTGAATGCTCTCCGCCGTAGAATAAAATACTCGCCGAACTTAAAGTTCACCAGATATTGTATATAATATTACGAACCGCGACGAGTCGTCGGGTACTGTCACCGCCAGTGGTTCCGAACCTATATATTAGGTGTGACGGCTGCCACACCTAATTTAAGTGGTGGTGGTAGTTTGATATAAAATATTGCACATTTTACAATTAATATAAAGAAAAACAGATATGATTATTAATTTTAACAATAACGTTACAAATAACGCGAACTGGTCTATTCCTAGACTTTCGTAGAGAGTACTGTGTGATCGTGCATTAGCAATAGCAGATAACTGTTGAATTCATGGTTTTACGATAAATGACCGTTGATACCTAATAAATGTCTGAACCTACAATAACGGCTATGCTCCCGGTGGTTTAGGTTTAATACCGTGTAGAGATAGGTAAGTATGTATTACTGTTTATTGTCGCACTTGTAACGAAAAATTAGTTCGGAGCCACCGGACATTGGAGTCAATGTAACGACGCGCAGAATTCGTGCTCGCCGAGATGAGAGTAAATAGGTACCCATATAATAATATGTATAGGAATATTTAGTGAGATACCGTGTTCAATTTACGTATTTTCGTGTATAATATTCGTAATATGCATACACGCGTAATCTCAAGTGTTTGTTATAATGCTAATTAGATTAGTCACTAACGTATTATATTATTTACAACGCCTTAACAATATTTACGACGGCGTACGCGGTATTATATTTTTTCGTCGGTTTTTAAAAATCCGGGACAACATAGGCACGACTAGACCATCAACCTTGGGGTGCTAAAATTATGGACACATCACAGACACGTAGAGACAATACCCCCACAATCCTCTTTTATACATTATTCATATATTATTTATAATTTTTTCAAAAAATAAGGAAGTCAAAGTGACCTAAAGTACCACCCCAGTCAGATTTCATTTCAGAAAAAATGCTCTACTTGATACATCGGAGCAAGATTTCTGGTAAAATATTTGTATACAGTATAAAAAAAATAAAAATAAATAAACATCTATGTAAAACCAATACATTCTTCGCTGTTCGCTACACTCAGAATCTAAAATATTAAATACTAATATTATACGTTATCGAGACCTGATGTATAGCACCGTCAAAGTTCAGCTTACTCCAAATACGGTAGACTTTTTTCCACTATAAGAGCTATTTTAAATATTATTTGTGCTGCCAGTGATCGAGACGAGCATACTTCACCGACTACATTAGGGGCACGCCTCAAATCGTTTTTTCGTCATCGAATTTATTTATATGTTTTTTAGCACCGTTCACGAATACGTTGCAAATTAAATAAATCAGCACCGCATGCCGAATACTTGACCGTGTGGACGGCCCGATTTGAAATAAGATTATTCATGGTTATTACAAACAAAATATAAAATTTGAAAAATACTGAATACTCACTAGAATCCAACTATTTACTCATAAGCACCTCTTGTTCTCAATATACTGTCCACTAGTAAATACATTTATTTACTTTAAGTTATACGTATAAGGTTTAAGGTAGTATTGTTCTATTAAACACCAATAATAACCCAATTTCACTCTTGTTATATTCAATTTGGAAGTTATTAATATGTTATTTTTTTTGTTCACTCTTTATTTTATTTTTTATATTTTTATATTATAACGCTTGTCAAAATATCATATTATATGCACTGCTTTAATATCAACATAAGTACTTATTGTTCTACAACACGAGGGTAGACCTCACTGTAAATCAATTTCTAGTGTCCTTTCTATACACTTTTCTATTATGTTTATATTTCTCATAACCAGAATATATTATTATTATTATTATTATTATTATATCATTATTCTCATTTGTGGCCCTCAATAGACTGTCTATTTCGTATTTATATGGGTACCTATCCATAATATTGATAGCTCATATGTCCACGTATCGAACCCAGTGGCGGTTTTGATAAAACATCAAAGGAGGGAGAGGTGATTTTAAATTTTTTTGGCCCCATACCATGACACATATCAAATAAAGGATAAAATTTGTTTATGGTCCGTCCTATTATAAATTACACATTACTTTCATTTTAAATTCTGAATGGAGCCAATAAGCTTATGGTTTTACAACTGTTTTATCTGTGGATAACTTTTCTACCAGAAATCCTGATCAGATATATACGATGTAACAACTTTTCTGAAAAGAAATTTTGTTTGGGAGGTACTTATGTCACTTGAAATTTTCTTCAGGGTTTTCTCAACAAATGTGAAAAACCGAAAAGAAAAAAAAACCGGAAAATTTACGAAATATATACTAGTAAAATATTACAATTATTTTTTCTGTCAACAACTTTTCTACCAGCAATTCTGTTTAGATTTATAATGAAAGTACTTTTTCTGAAAGGAAATCTAACTGAGGAAATACTTAAGGGAGTTGATTTTTTGATTTTCCGAAGAATTTTTTTTAGCAAATGTGGAAAACCGGGAAAAAACCGTACATTATTACACAAATATTATTAAAGGAAATATATAATGCCTATTTAATTATTTTACCATAATAATTTTTTCTTAATATGACATATATTGTTGACAAAGCATTACTATCAAATGAACTCCACTCAGAATCGTTTTTTCGTTAGCAATGGTTTATCGTTGTTTACGTTGAGAACATACTTAACAGTTAAAAAAATAAAAGGTCCAGGGGAGGGGTGATCGCACCCATATCCCCCCTAAAAACCGCCACTAATCAAACATATTTATTATTTCGACCGGATGTCATGTGTTTAAGTATATTAATAATGGTCTGCCAAGTTTTTTTTAATGCCTGTGATAGGTAAGTATTATTGTTGTATACTTGCGACATACTGGCGTGATTATTTATAAGCTTAAATTCTTATTGTTCGTAAGCATTAACAGCAACAATAAAAAAAAAAAAAAAAGTGTTATAAAGATATTACACTTCTTATAGTGTAATCGTGCATAGGTATATCACTTATATCCTACAGGCTTACAATAAAATTATAATATAATAAACCTACATAGGTATTTGTTATACGGACGTACAATAAAATACTACCTATTAAAATCGTATTTTACAGGAATTAATGTTAATTGGTGATACTTTTATAAGACTTCACATTTTTATTATTTGTTAATTTTTAAAAGTAATATTACTTGTAATTACCAAGGTATTTAGGATTGCCAACCATCCTACATGTGTTTGATTTGTTCTACATCCAACAACGCTTTAATCTTTATGTAGGACAATCCTACATTGCGAACGTCAATATATAGACTTCAATGGGTTATAGTAATAAAAGATCAGTGAAAATACTTTTTAATAGTTCATTATTAAATCTTTTGATAGACAAAAAATTGTCCTACATCACACAAATGAAAGTTAGTGTAAAATTATTGGAATTTATCTAAAGTCGTAACTCGGTGGTGGAGGAGGGTTCAGTGGTATACGTTTAAACGTATATATAGTGCCTACATTTAAAATATGTTAGATCCCTAAAAAGAGCGGGGTCAGTATACTACTTTACCAGTTTGCTCCCCCTCCTTAAACGGGATATAGTCCGCCACTGTTTAGCTACCTACCTTTTGTATTTGAAAACAATATTTCACTCATATTTTATGTTAAAAATCATGTAGGTATAGGTAAGTAATATATTAATTATAATAGCTAAATTTTCATTCATGGCTCATTTATCCTTATATATATATATATAAACTAACTAAATTACCCGGTTTCGCCTGTGTGTATTTTTTGTTTTTTTGATATTTACTATATTATTTTAGAATAGGCATTATGGGTAACATTGTTAAGTGCAAAATATATTTTATGTTATTATTTATAATACCTATCCTTGTACCTTTACAATAGGTATGGTTCTTCCTTCAAGCATCAGTATTACTAGACTATCAGGTGAGCCAAATTTAAAGTTCCTACGTTCTGTAGTTTTTGAGAAATAGTGATCAGTGAGTCAGATACCTATGTATATTTTTAAAGTAATAACTATTATGACTAAAATGGTATATTATATAATATAGTAATGTAGACACAATTGATTTTTCGTTTAAATCACTACAACCTCAACTACTATACGACTAATTTCAGATTCTGAACTGAACGATAAATGTATTAGTTTTACAATGATGTTTATTTCTTTTCTGTGTATAACTTTTCTCCCATACATTTTGCTGCGATTTTCAAGTGTTGTACTTTTTTCAAAAGTAAACCTGACTGGGGTGGTACTTTAAATAGGTCATTTTTTGATTTTCCGAGGAGTTTTATCAATAAATGGGAAAAATAGAAAAATAGGTACAATATTAAACAAAAATTATTAAAGAAAATATATAATATATGAGCAATTATTTCACCATAATATGACATAAATATTGTTGACAAAGTAACACTATTAACCGAACTTCGCTCAGATTCGTTTTTCGTTAGCAATGGTTAATCATTGCGTACAAACATAATTCAATTTCCCCTTTACATATCCAGCTTTTCACCTTCAACAGTGGCACACCCACGTGCGAAGTATGTCCATCTTTTTATTATTTCGATTAAAACATTTATAAAAATGTAAAATTTCAATGGAAACATTTATATAAATAAATAATGCCATTAAAAACATTTTATTTATCACGTTTGGCAACAATATTCCGCATCGCGCGGTCAAACACGGTTGTTGCGGAATTTCCACATTCGTATCTTCCACCGCAGAAAAAAACACATCGTGCGGCCTGAACCTTAGAAATAGGGGAAATCTCCCTGCAGTTTATCGTCTCTCAGAATTCATAGAAGTGACTAGAGGGTCTTTAGCACCTCCAAAAATACCCAATAAGCTGTTTTATAGCGTAGACTAAACATTTTACCCGTGTGTTTCATAATTAATTTAGCAGATCAAAATACAAATTACCTACTGACAATGCATGTATGTACAAAAACTAAAGTTAAACAAGTTATGATTGATTTGTATGTAAAAACTTATAAATAATATATGAATAATGTATAAGAGGATTGTGGGGATATTGTATCTACGTGTCTATGTTGTGTCCATATTTTTAACAGTGACCTACTCATCATGTGAAATACCTATGTTCGTATCTTTTTTATTGGACACTTTTGGTACATGTAGGTACCTGAATTATTCCTTAATAAGAAAAAATTGTGACATTACGCTAACAAATTTTTATTTATTTTGTACTCACAATTAAAACAACTTATAATGAATCTAATCAGTTAAATATTACATTTTCAACAACTTGTACTGAACAAAAAAATTATATTCACATAACCAAAAACAATTGGAAAAATGTCTTACTTAATTAGGGTAGACACCTAAGCTATTTCTTAGTTGACTTAAAAAACAAAATAGGTACGTATCTAGGTACTTATCGATATAGCTGTCTACACAAATCAGTTGCGTGGTAAGTTTAAATTTTTAATACCTATTCATAATATTTTATGTAGGTACCTATTAAGTTAATACAGGTACCTAAGGCTTCGCCCAATAATAGGTTTTCAAAACATCTTTAACTATTATTAGTATTATTACGTATAGACGTGAAAAAAAACAAATCAGCATTTGATTTTTAAACAGTAGGTAGGTAACCTTATATAGGTAGATTAGGTTAATTATCTAGGTTTATTAAAATAATAATTTTTTATTTAAACTTAAAATAGGTTACTATGCAGTTATGTACAGCCAGGACTTTTTGAAAGGAGAGTGTCTCATTATCCACAATTAATAAGAAATTTTTTTTTTTTAAAACGAATTTTAATACATTCATATAATACTTAAACACGGATGGAGGGGGAATGTCCGAAAAGCCGAAATACCCCTCTGGTTCCGCTACTGTTGCTTTGTTTAATACCTACCTTCCTTTAGGTAGGGTTATCATAGATATAGGGAGTTATTTATATATACAATTTTATTTCTAAAATATTCATGGCTTTCCCTACCTTCTCGAATTATGTAAAATAATATCGAATTCTCTATTCAGTCAGAAGCGTAGTTATCTACTGAATAACTGTGGTCGGAAAACAACAAATTAATCAAGAATATTTTGCGAAGGAATTAAATATATTCGATAATTTAATTTAATAACAACCGTCGCGTGGGACAAAATACATATTTAGATAACGTTCAAGTCATGCAGTAAAACCCTACAATGCACCTCAGCCTTGGTATTAAAATTAAGAATAAGTAATCTATTTAAATATGCTATAGCCTTAAGACGTGTAGAAGACGGCATCGATAGGGTTTCGATTCTAGGCTCTTATTTAAAAATGGGTAACGGGGTGTAAGAAAGCTACAGTCCTTTCTTGGGCGGGCCCTCGGAGAAGTAGGTACAATTTCAAATGGTCACATTCTACTGGAACATCAACGAAAGAAACGAGTTAATATTGATGGGTTTAAATATATTTCGTTGATATTTTAAAATTTTTTAGCATAAACGCCAAATAGTGTTGTTGGATATTTTTTGAGGTACCTACCAATAAAACAGATATAAAGTAAGTGTACATTACTTTCAATCATTCAAATATTTGATAAATTCTTCGGGCATTACAGTATGTTTCCTGAACTCTTCCCAATTGGGTCTCAGTACGAACGACAAGAATCGAGTTGGGGTGAAGGAGGTTTTGGAAATGAAACAGTAGTCGATAGAGTTCCAGCAGATATGATGCATTTGATCGATCCTTCATGGTAAGCGAATTACAAAAACATCAAATTTAAATTTTAAAATGCATATTGTGTTTTTAAGGTATCAGTTTCCTCCAATGGAATCAATGTGGTACAAATGGTTGGGTATTACTACTTTCTTCTTGGGTGCATTATCAGTCACGGGCAATGGAATCGTGATATACATATTTACCTGTACAAAAAATCTAAGAACACCTTCTAACCTGCTGGTAGTGAATTTGGCATTTTCCGATTTTTGTTTAATGTTCTTCATGTGTCCACCAATGGTTTGGAATTGTTTATATGAGACATGGCTGTTTGGTATTATACTTATAACGATTATACAGTTATTTTTTAAACTCATTACATATACCTACTTTATTTAAGGACCTTTTGGTTGTGAGCTATACGCTATGATTGGATCTCTGTTCGGAGTGACATCAATATGGACTATGGTCTTTATAGCTTTAGATCGTTATAATGTTATAGTCAAGGTATGTACAAATACATTTAAACAATCATTTATTTGAGGTAATTTGCATAGCAACATTTATATTTATGCTTAGGGATTATCTGCAAAACCAATGACAACAAAGTTAGCTTTATTACAAATATTTTTCATATATATGCATGGATTAATTTGGACTTTAGCACCATTTTTTGGATGGAGCCGGTAAATAAAAAATTTTTAAAAAATAATAATAATAATAATAATTTCATATGTTAAAGATATGTACCAGAAGCAAATATGACAGCATGTGGCACTGATTACTTAACTCTGACAATGTCAAGTCGTAGTTATGTTTTATTTTATGCTATATTTGCATACTTTGTACCATTGTTGATTATCATTTACGCATATTATTTTATTGTGAAGGCAAGTTTAAAAAACATTTCATAAATCACACAAAACCATATTAAAATAGTAAACACAATCTAAATATAAAATCACAAAAAAATTACCTTCTTAATTTAGTAAACACTAAATATGTACTTCAGTAACTGTTTTTTTTTTAAACAGTAATAGTATAGAGATAGTAATATTTTCACTGAAATATGTACTTGTGGAATTAAAAGGCAATTTTTTATTTTTAGTATTTTTTATTTTATTATAATATAATTCATGAGCAGTAGTGTTGGGACATATATTAAAAATTTTAAATATTAGGTTAACTGGATTGCTATATCCGGATAATTGATTTCCGTGAAGTCCGAATATTCTTGATTATCCATATTATCTATATTTTAATGTTTATTATGTTCGGAAACATTGTTAACATTCTGTACTTTCAATGTTTTCCAAGTACCTATGTATTTTAATTTTAATATATGAGTAACCATTTATATCCCCAAAAAATATTCTTAATTACATTTTATATGAATATATTTAATTAGTAAAAATATCTGAATAGCAGATACATATGTATATATTACATCTAATATCTGGATAGTATATTATCCAAATATAACCAGATAGTACGATTATTCAAATTGTTTTTTAATCCGGATTTTAAAATACCTGAGTATCCGCATAATCCCAACACTAATTTACCGTGGCGCCCAAACTACACATGGAATGTAAAAATTGCTACACATCATATTTTGGGTGGGCGAGTGTTTCTGGTAATTAGAATTTGGGATAGTCAAAGTAGAATAAATATGAACATTTAAGTTATACTTTTCAGTTTTTAGGTAGTAAAATATATACAAATGTTTTTGAGGACAGTGGTGGTTTTGAATTTAAAATTCTGCTACACCATAAAAATAGTTTCGGCGCCATCGTTCATGAGTACTATTATTATTAAGTTTTTAAATAACATTTTGAAATATGAAATAGGCAGTAGCATCACATGAGAAATCTATGAGAGAACAAGCAAAAAAAATGAACGTGACATCTTTGAGATCAGGTGATCAGAGTAATACTAGTGCAGAATTTAAGCTGGCTAAAGTGGCTTTAATGACAATTTCCCTGTGGTTCATGGCTTGGACTCCATATTTAGTGATTAATTGGGCTGGAATATTTCAATTACTTACATTGGACCCATTATTCACAATCTGGGGTTCAGTTTTTGCCAAAGCTAATGCTGTATACAATCCAATAGTATATGCAATTAGGTAAGTAGATTAAAAGAAGTTAAAATAATATTTAAAAATTATGTTAATTTATTTATTTTTCACAGTCATCCAAAATATAGATTGGCGTTGAATAAGAAGTTCCCGTGTCTTGTGTGTGGACAATTGGAAGATGACAAGAGTGACTCAAAATCGGTTGCATCTGCTCTAACAACCATATCCGAAGACAAAGTCTAAAATATTTTAACTGAATGGAATATGTCAAAACAAAGTTATCTATATGATAACTTATGTACTCTATATGTTGTTTATAATTTATACCTTTATTTTAATTTTCTACGTATTTTCCTTATCCATTGGGATTGGTTTTGTTTCAAAGCGGCTTCTAGTGTATTCTTGACATGAACCAAGTTCAATGGATTTGTTTGTAGAAATAATGATTCGGTAAAATTATTTTTTTCTAAATCTAATCTCAACGTTATAACTGGTATGGTTTGATGTAATAAAGATCTGGATCCCATCTGTACACATATTATATATTATGTTGATTAGTTGTGTTTACATATTTACTTATCTATATGTCCTACCTGATGAATGTTAAATATTAGACTTTGGTATTCAAAATGTATTAATAATATTTAAACATAATATAGAACATCACCTAATGTTTAAAAAAAAAACAAACTTATATTTACATTAATGACTATCTACATAATATATTAACTATCTAGTTTATTTCCAATTATGTCTTTTTTTTGTTTATTAATTTGTAATCGTATTGTGAAATTTAAATTATAAGTTCATATTATTTTAATATTTTCCAGTATACAGTCAATTGTTTTTTTTTCTTATGTTTGAATAATATTTCTACACAATTTATCTTTTCACAATTGTTTGGTACTGGACATTGTAAAGAGTAATATTATTATGTATGACGTAATACATGAAGTTGTTTTACTTTTTGATTTAGACAAAGTAATTGTATAAAATGACTAATCTACAACTTACATCAGTTTCAAATCGCCATTCCAGTTCCTTGAAGTATGGATAAACAAATGCACTGGATGAAAGAATATCTTGTACATATGTTTTTTGACTTTCAAAAAATAAAATTATCATTTCCAATTTAAATTCATTGAAACCATATTCTGTTAGTGATTCTTTTATTTCCACATCAGTTAGCTATATCATAAAATAAAATAGATGTTAACAACTAGATATATGTTAAATTAAAAAAAAAAAAAATAAAACTTACTTTACGCTTACAGCTTTGTACACACATAAGACATATGCTTTTTACAATTGATGCAATATTTTCCTCGTCAATCTCCAATTTTTCTTAAATAAAATTTATTTTATTTTTTATTTATTTTCTTAATACTAATTGTTTTAATAAACCTAAGTCCTAAAGTTATGATATGGTAACTTTATTTTATTTTTAAAACAAGTCTAAGAACCTAAGTGTAAGCGATTACATAAATACATTTTAAAAATTTAACTTAATATATTTTTTTTTGTTAAAATTTAATTAAACAACTATATTATTAATAAACAAAAATAATACCTGCAGCTTTATTATAAAGATTTGTATCAGGACCTTTGTCCATAAAATGTTTAGTGAGCTTCAAAAAATCCTTTACAACTGAAAATGTATAAATATGTTTAGTTCAATAGATATTCAATTTGAATTATGTAATTAACACTTACTAATTGACTATTATGTTTACCAAATTAACTTAATATGCTTACTTAAATAAATTAAAATTGTCTACCTATTAAATTTGTTGTTAAATCAAGAAATTGAAATTGCAAGAATTAATAATTACAACGATTTAATATAAATTATGATGTGTGAATTTGATATGATTTAATTAATATCAAAAAATAGAAATATTAAACAAATAATTATTCTAACCAAAAAAATTAATGAATATCAAGCATTATCTACCGAGGACGGATGCTGGATCAAAATTACAAATTGGTCAATTGTACGTTGAATACATAAATACTTAAAGAGATAAGGCAGATATTTTGTTGTGTTCTCCTTTAATAGGACGTCTTGCCAAATGCCTTATTTAAACATCCTATTTGCTTACCATTGTCTGGTTGTTGAGCCAAAAGTTGAAAACTACTTGTGAAAACTTCCTTAACAGATGCCATTGTGAAGACTATTTACTACCTACATCAAATATTTTTAACAATAATACGTATAGGCTAAATACTATACTAATTAAAAATATTTCAACCTTATTAAAGTGTACAATAAGATAAAAAAGATCAGTTTAAAATTATAAGATATTACAATAGTATTTCTATTGAATTGAGTATTACAATTTAATAATATGAAGAGTGTAGACTATAGATACTTTAATAATATTACCTCAGATTATATGAAAATAATCTAATATGTGATGATACAAAATAAGAAATTACCGCCTATCATTAATGTTATCAATGGTTATCTAGGTATCACTTATCACCTTGTCTTACCATGTGACATGTGTAAATGAATGGTCCGGGTCCGTGAGAATAAAAATGTGCCTGGGTTTATACGTCTATGGTTTAATCTGGACGGGTATAGAGTTATTCGGAAAATTATAAGAGTACAATGAATGATTAATAATAAAACAAACCGTCCTTTACGAGCGCGTAATGGACTTCCGCGGTCTCGCTGTATACTAGCTAGAAATTCAAACCGCGGTTACAGATGTATTTTCGTTGTACAACTCCCATATTAAAACCATAAATAATATAAATATATTCAAGTACGTTCTTATGTTATCTGTGATTAAAACGCATTAAATACACGGACCAGCACAGATGTATGATAATAAACCAGATTGCTAGGTTCCCTATACGGACTAATGTCCGTTGAACCATATATGTTATCATATATAAAGTCCAATATTAATATTAGTCCGTGGTTCCCCATAATAATCATATGAACGTTTGAAGCCACATATTCTCCATTCACGATGTACCGATTTGTAATGGCGGCACGATGTAGAGAAGATAAAATAATGAAATCGCTGTGCGGTAGTTTGAAAAAAATCGTATATTTCGTCCGCTTTGGTTTTTCCTAATTATTTATGAAAAATATTTTAGATGTCGAAAAATGACTATCTTTGTCAGTGGCTATGTGTTAAAATCGATCTCTCTTTCGGTCGGAGTCATAATTCTAGTGCAAAATTAGAAAAAAAAAAAGAATGACGCGCCCGCTTAGTAATTCAATAAATTCAATAAATAAACAAATCGCTATGAAAATACAACTCGAAGTTTCAGATGACAACTTTATAGACGCTGTTGAACAGTCGGGTGAAAAAGAAAAGAGATCTAAGCATTTAAAAGCGCGGAGTCCTTTCGGAACGTATTCGAATTTTAAAAGAAACCAGATCGATATCTGTCGTGTAAACAGTTATTATACCTATTCTAGAAATCTTGAATTTCGAGGGCTGATTAAATGGAATAGACAACTTTTGTATGATTTTCTTATGAGAATTATTTTTTTAGGAAATGTTTCTGAGATTTAATTGCGCAGTAGTTTAAAGCGTAGAGTCCTCCCGGAACGTGTTGGAATTTTAGGAGAACCGATCAATACTCTGGTGAAAAAATAGTTATTATTTTACCTATTATAGAAATCGTGTATTTTGGTCGCCGATTAAGCGGAGTAGACAACTTTTGTACAATATATCATTAAAATACTGTTTATATTTTTTTTTGTATTTATCAGTTTTCATTGACTTTACTGAATTACGACCATACACTTGTGCATGGTGTTTCACTAACTTCCCCCTGCTTAAACTGAAGAGTGGAATATCTCGTCAACGGGTTGACGGAAATCAAAAATTTCGACCACAAAATCAATTTGAACAAATACCATATGTATCTATGGAATTTTGAATACAGGCTGCCGTTTGAATTTCAAAAGTTAACCTCCAAATCCTTTTGGAAGGGCGTTAGACCAATTTCAAATCAACATATAATTTTGTATTACGCTATTTAGTAAAAATGTTTCATTATACATTATTCTTTAATTTGTATATTTATAGGAAAAAATTGCTGTAAAATAAAATTTTGTACACTTTGTATGGGTACGTATATTATAGCGAAAACATTATTAACAAATGTACCCATACGGTAATAATTCCGTTATACGTTTTTCATTACCCAAAAGCAGAGATAACCTTTTTTTCAGTAGCTAGAAAAACAAACAAAATATAATGCAGGGTACCAGGGATCTATTTATGAATTTTGTTATCAGTCAGACCGTCACTTTTATTCACCACAGATTATCCGATAAATATCACAAATATACATATATAATTATGTAACAATAAACTAGATTGTTTACGACTGTATAATTACTACTGTGTTATAACATGGACTACTATAGAAATAGAGTAACCGTCATTTGTGTAATAATTGGACCATACCCGAAATGAAACGCAGAAATAACGGACAAATTTAATGAAATTAATTATTTTATTGTACCTATTCTTATAACTTCGGTTTTTTTTTTTTTTTTTGTAATAAACTTGAACATACATCTAGAGACTTGTTGACGAAAATGTTAATGGAATTTTGAAATTATTATTGAGCCATTTTTATGCTATTTATGAATATTTTAATTTTTCGTGTTTGTTGCAATAAATTATAAAAAATAGTGATTTCGCACACAAAATGTGGTGTTATTACCAACATTAACGCTTTCGTTCATGTTTTGATTTTCAAACTGAGCGTACGGCTGATAGATTTTTCAAAACCCCTTTTAAAAATCAACGGTCATGTCGGTGAAATGTAGGCCCCACCCCGAGGAAAAAAACAAGAATCGATCTGTTCGACCGTAAACTTTCGACCGGCGATTTTAATGATTTCCATAATAACTGCGAGTTACTAGGCCATGTCGTGACTAAATACATATAATAACCAAATTATCATTGATTTATTTCTTAACGATAAGCCCGGATGCAAGGTCGGTGTTATTTATCGCAAATCGCAATTAGCAAGACGCAACACTATCAGCTATAATATACATTTCGGTATGGGAACGGGTCGCTATCAATAACAGTGGCACGGCATGACGTATGTACGAATAATATTAATAGTATCGACGAATTTTTGTACGCTACAAGCTCTATCGTGATTCGTACGCTCGAGACGGGGAGAAACCGCGAGTGACGAGTAGACGGCAGCTGTCCCGCGATCCCATACCAGAACCCGGGTTATGAGTCATCGAGCGAGCGGGCACTCGATCGGAGACGGTGAAGAGGACGTTGGGTTAGGTTAGCGGAATTATCGCGATTCGCGAGGCGAACGTCGCGCAGTGACGGCAGCTGCAGCAGCTGTTCAGCCTGCCGTTGCGGTGCTGTTTTTTTTGGGGGGGGGGNNGGGGGGTGGGCGGGTGGCGCCGTGGCGGCGAGGAGAGGAGACGGGCGCCTTGATATTTTTCCGCGACAATATCACCTTGACCTCGACGATGACGGTTCGTGAGCGTGCGCGCGCTTTCGTGTGTCGTGGCGAGCGATGGGATAAGGACCCGATAATTATTATTTTGAACGAGCATCCCTTGTCATTTTCCGTCCCGATATTTCCCGCGATAACTGAATGGCCCTCGTTGTTTTCCGCCCAGACATTGTCGCCGTCAGTTATTATTATTGTTTTAAATAATAATAATTGTTTTAAATACCGCGGTCATTTGCACGTTAACGCGTCGCAATAACATAATTTGCAGAATCCGATTCCCGCGGTTATTATTTTATTTTCTTAATTATTTATTCACTCGGTACACGGGAGTAGGCATATATATACATATATATATATATATATAAATTATGTTATATATCTGTGGGAATGTTTTACCGCGTTATCACGTCGGTCGTAAAAGGCGGCAAACCCACAATGCGATTGGTTATCCGCACGTTGCGCATCCCTGGCGACCGCCTAAAACCCGCGCGCGCCTTGTCCCGTGTTTTTGTCTGTGTGTGTGTAATTCGCCGAAAACCAATGTTGTAGTTCACGGGGTCCTCGGCAGACGACGCTCCGCTTGACACCGATGTACTACGCACATGCGCACTAAGCAACGGCGTTATGGATTATGTTCGTTCGGGCCATGGTGCACACGGTACAATAATATTGTACGAGCGTTTTATTGTTATAACGTGTCATTTTCACTAGACCGTAACCGATTTTATTAATATTTGAAACGCATACTGCCGAGTATGGGTTATTATTTACAATCAAAAATGCGCGATACGTTTTGAAACGATTTTCAGGTGCCGTTTTTCACGCGTCAATATTATCGTAATAATTATCGTGTGGAAATTAGGCAAACAAATAATTATTGTTCCGCAAAATAGGCGTCACTGTGACTGCTTTGCATGACCGCACCACCCTTCTGCGCCAGCCTTTAATGTTCCATCAATAAGTCCGCAGTCTATGGTGTGGCGCGACTGTGCTCGCGCGTGTGTGTGTCTGTTCGTTTTTTATTATCTAGATTACTAATGCAATTTTGTAACCAACCTCTTTTTACGTAACCAACGCGCTTGTAGCGTGTCCCGTGTAAAGAAAACCACTGCACTCGTCTAAACTCTATCGTACGTCGTCGTCGACCGATATTTCGCGTTTTAGTAACGCCACCCGAAATTGGTTAAACGTGTCACACCCAAATCGGCCTTTATTCGTTGAAAGTAAAAAAGACCGCAACTGTCGACTCGGCGTCTCGTCGCTGGACACCTTGTGACCACGTTACGTCGCGGTAAACCGTCGTAATTGTACTACGAATTTCCGCAACCATGGCCGGAGGAGAGCTTAACGATTTCCATCAGATACTCGCCAGCCTACTGAGCACTGACAACAACGTGCGACAATCGGCCGAGGTAATGGTTTAAAGTACCTAATTGATTCAGTAGTGTACACTATACTGTCGGGAAATCATACGATCTTGACCGTAAAGACTTAGGGTATTGCAGTCTGCCAGTGTCAGTTCCTTTTTGTTTTTGGCAACTAATTTTCTTGGACTTGTCTATACGGTTCTGTTGTAAAGTTTACTGTGTATTGAGTGTGTGTATGGTTACAGTCTTCAGCAAATAGCTACCTGTTGCCCGTGCTTCAATTGAATCTTGTATCAATATATACATTTAATATATTGTCCTAGTATAACATTAAAGTATAAATAAATTGTAATTTATTTGCAGGAGACTTATCAGGCGCTACCTTTGGAAACAAAAGTGTTGTACTTGTTCAACGCTGTGCAAAATGAAAGTGGTGATGTTGATGAAAAACATGTAGCAGCTGTTATGTTGCGTCGACTAATGGCTAATGATTTTATAGATTTTTTTCCCAGCGTAATTATTTATTTTGCTTTTATGAAATTTATTAATTTGTTTATAGATAGGCCACTTATCTAATTGATTAATTAATATAGTTAACAGTTGAAAACCAAAAACAGTTTAAAAACAATCTGTTGTTGTGTGTAAATAACGAAAAAAATGATATCTTACGTCGCCGCATGTGTGATGTTGCTTCAGAAGTTGCCAGGAATCAGGTGGACGATGACGGTAATAACAGCTGGCCAGAATTTTTGAGTTTTTTGTTCCAAAGTGCTAATTCTCCTTCAAACGAATTGAAAGATTGTGCACTTAGAATGTTCACGTTAGTAATAAATATTTACGCATAAATTACTAATACTAGGTTTTCACAAAATTTTATTGAATTTTAGGAGTGTACCTGGAGTTTTTGGTAACCAACAGTCCAACTATTTGGTTGTGATAAAACAGATGCTTCACCAGTCATTAAACGTACCCGACTCAAATGTAAATTTATCAGTATTAATGTGTTGTGTGTGATTATATTATTATTTATTAGCAATTAATGTTAAAGGTACAAATACAAGCAGTTAAAGCAATTTGTTCTTTCATATTATACAACGAGAAAATTGTGGAAATTCATAAACAATTTATGGATCTATTACCCGACATGATGATAGTAAGATTAAGATTTATTAAAAAAAAAAAGGTATTTTAAAATTATTATTTTGTCAACAGATAATAAATAACAGTTTGGTTGCTGAAGAAGACGATTCTCTGATTAAGTTATTAATTGATTTGGCAGAAAATACACCCAAGTTTTTAAGATCACAGTTGACTAATATAATAGAAATGTGTTTGAAGGTGAATTAAATTTGTTTGATTAATTATTCAGAATTATATATTAATTGAAAAATATTTAGTATCTCAAAAATGAAGAAGCTAATGAATCTTATCGGCAAATGTGCCTCGAAGTAGTTGTCACATTTGCTGAAACGGCACCGGCAATGATGCGCAAAGAATCATCCAAGTATATTTCTCCGTTGGTTGTTCAGGTGTTAGAACTTATGGCGTCTATTGAAGACCAGGACGATTGGTCTAGCGAAGATGACCCAGATGATAGCGACCAAGAAAAGTAATTACTTATTATTTTAGTTAAATAAATGTTGTAAATGGTATTTTTTTTTTTTAGTATGAATGTAATGGCTGAATCTGCACTGGATAGACTGGCTTGTGGTCTTGGTGGTAAAACTGTGTTACCACATATATTGAGTAATGTGTCAACTATGTTGTCTAATCCTAATTGGAAGTTCAGGTATAAAATATAATATTCTAATATTATGTTTCAAAAGTTGTAAAAAATTATATTGCATTGATTATATTTAGACATGCTGCTTTGATGGCAATATCAGCCGTGGGTGAAGGATGCCACAAACAAATGCAACCAATGTTACAAGATATTTTGGATGGAATTTTAAATTTCTTGCAAGATCCTGTTAGTAATTAAATAATAATTCTCAGTAATACTTACAAATAATATTTTCTTTGTAGAATCCTAGGGTACGCTATGCAGTGTGTAATGCTATTGGTCAAATGGCGGCAGATTTTGCTCCTACATTCCAGAAAAAATTCCATGACAAAATTGTACCGTCCATATTATTGCTGCTTGATGATAATTCAAATCCTAGAGTTCAAGCACACGCAGGTAAATTTTAAATAATAAATTGGCTATGATTAGCCTGTGGTTATTTAATTTAATTATTATAATTGTTTATGATAAGAATTTAGTATAATAACATATTCTTAACCCTTCATTGGTATAGATGTTAGCGTTTCTCTAATATTAAATTTATTTTAGAAACTACTTGTCAAATAAAATTCAATTTTTTTTTGAAATTCATGAGGACATAATATTGTACTTAAATAACAACAAAAACATAATGTAAACATCTGTGAGTATTACGAGCAGTGAAATTCTTCATTTCCGATTATGTCAGCGTCCTGTTCTCACGATACGTGTCATAATTTTTTCATTTTTATTTTTTTTACAAAATTGACAAAAACTGTCATTACCAAGTATTTATTTATTTTAAATATAATATTTTTGTTGATCAATAGTATGGTGGTTTTATTATTATACCATAATTTTAAAGGTCAGTTGTTTTTTATGTGGTGTGTATGTATGTAAAGAATATACTTCTACTTGTCCAATATGTCATACCGCAAAAATAAACTTGGACAATTTGAATGATAAATTATAATTTTCAATTCTTTTTTTATAATTTGTATTATTATAACAGGTTTTTTATAGTATAATTGTTTACTAAAAAACCGACAATGTTAGGGTGTTGCCAATTATATTTCATGTAAAATTAATAATTATTTTAATACCAATTTCAATTATAAAGTATCATAAATAATTTGAAAAAGAAAAAAAATGTATTTTAAAAATTAATTTTTATTTAAAAAAATATTATGATGATAAATAATGATAATAACAATTATAATGTGTAGTTAATTGTATGATGAGTTAATAATAGTTTTAGAGTAAGGGTCTTCAGTTCGCGGCCTACCTTGTCATTATTTGCGGCCCGCGATTACATTTGAAATATAGCATATCTTTTCTATTTTTGATAAAATTGGAACAGTCATAAGCTAACAAAATAATTTGGTAATATGCGAAAAGATAAATTAAATTATTTACTCTTTTTGGTAGTATTTAAACTTGTGAGCATATATTTTCACAAATGAAAATTATTAAATTAAAAACTAGAGTTCGGTTTCGCATTGTCTCAGATCCAACCAAATGTAGAAAAATTAGTTTGTGAAAAATAATGTCAGAAATCAGTTATTACACTAAATTTAAAATAAATAATTTGTAATTCAAAATTAAAATTTTTTGTTCTATATATGTTTTAATAATAATAAAATTGAATTTTGTATAAATACATTTGTTTACTACAAATGCGGTCTGCAAGATGAATAGAAAATAATATGTGGCCCGCTAAATTAAAAGGTTGAAGATGACCCCTGTTCTATATTCTATTCTAAAAATGCTGGAATAAATCGTGCAGGCAGGTGCGCTGTCATTGGCTATAGTTATTGTCACCCGTCATTTTTTTCGTGATTGGTCGGTGGCCGGGGCTCACCGGCGTTTATTAGGATGGTTATAATTACAATGGTTTGAGCATAATATGTATAATATTTTCGCGGAGTAGAATGTTGTAAGTAGCTCCTATTTACGTGGAGTGTTATGAAAATTTGATCAGGTTGTATACAACTGGATCGTCGCCGGCAGATCACGTAACATACCTGAGTGAAACTGGACATGGTTTTGTCATACATTTTTCTAGACTTATTTGGAATAGATTATAGAGCAATATATTTTATACTGGGTGTAACATGAAGATCTAACACCTGAATCATATGTTCTGTTTAATATTTTAAAATTTTTTTTCTTCTAATAATTTCTAGAACCATGCTCTATGATCATTTATTTTTAATTAAAAAAAAATATTGAATTTTTTACAATATTTCATAGAAGTTATGTATGTACATTTTTTCAATTGACAATGTTTTGAATATGAGATTATTGAGTTACTGATTATCAAAATAATTCAATTTATTGATACAATTTATTTTGTGTGAAACATTTTATTTTAATGATTGATGAGGCAGGTACACTATTGAAAACGAGTATGTACAAAATCAGTTTTTTATTACAAATAATAATAAAAGTCCATTAAGATTGAGCAAAAAAAACTTTAAATAATATGCGGTGATTATAATAATATGAGTACAGAAGATTATTTATGAAGGTTTGCGGATAATTTTCATATATACATTTGTATTTTCAGTTTTGTAATATATTAAATTTTAAATAATTATTGTCTATAAGTACTAATTAGTAATTGATTTAATTTTTTAACTACTGGATGTTGATTTCAATGCAATTAGCAATATAAGAACATGATGTAATGTGTATAAATATATAATCTAATATTTGTTTTAGTTTTTAAATAATTATCAGCCCGAAAAATTGGCTTGATATCCATACAATTTTGGCGTTACAAATATTTACTAATGATGAATCGTTTAGTTTCTAAATTTTGTTGAAGTTTACTAAAATTATTAATGCAGTTATTATTTATGATCCAATAGGCAAATTGATTGATATTATGTAGTAGTGGAAATTGACACAGTTTAAGTTATTGTAAACTTCAAAAAAATTTAAAAAAATTAACAATTCATTATTAGTAAATATAATTATACATAAACATTTTATTTCAAAATATATTTATAAAGTGACTATATTGGTTTTTGGAAACATAAATTTTTAGTCGGGGTTGGTCAAAATCATTTATTATATTATTATTTATATTAAAGTTGTATACAAAATGTACACTTTAAACTAAGTTTTAATTTTTATTACCATTAGTTGATATAAACAAGATTTGATATATAATTATACATCTATTTATTAGTATTATGTATTATATATATATATATATATATATAGTTTAATAGATTTATGATCATTGAAAATATTAAAATATATATTACATTATGTCTAATGGACATGAATTTAATATAATTACTAAACGTATTTTTTTCTCATTCAATTAAAACATAAAAATAAATTATTATTAATCATTATCATTATGAATATATTTTTTTTGTTATATTTTAATTAAAATGTTTTAATTGTTTTATTATAATAGGTGCGGCTCTTGTAAACTTTTGTGAAGATTGTCCGAAAAGAACACTGTTATCTTATATGGATCAAATGATGATAAAACTTGAGAACATATTGCAAGCTCGTATTGCTGATCTTATGGCAGGCGGTAGTAGAAAACTTGTACTGGAACAAATAGTGACTACCATTGCATCAGTTGCAGATACTTGTGAAGGAAGTTTTGTCAAATTTTATGATCATCTAATGCCTTGTCTGAAACAAATTATTTCCAATGCTGTTTCTCCAGAGTTAAAGTTGTTAAGAGGCAAAACAATAGAATGTGTTAGCCTTATTGGATTAGCAGTTGGTTCAGATAAAGTAAAAATAATTAATCATACTTGATTATTATTTAGTTTGGTTTAAATTTAATGTGTTCATTGTTGTGTTTAGTTTTTGGCAGATGCTAGTGAAGTTATGGATTTAATGTTAGCGACACATAACAAAGATGAGAAACTAGCAGAAGATGATCCACAAACTTCATATTTGATATCGTCATGGGCTCGAATGTGTAAAATTATGGGTACGTTTCACTAACACAAATATGTATTATAGTGGTAGTTAGTTATAAAAGATACATTTTTTTCTTAAAATAGTTTAATAGAGACCTCTCCAGTTTTGCTCTTTTTCTTGTAAAAGTAACATATATACAATTTGGTTGTTAATTAATATTATGACGTGCCTCAAAAGGGTTGAATATTTGAACTTTGGGTGTAGTTTTTCAGTTTTTCTATATATTATATCAAAAATGATTATTATATTTATAATAAAAGTATATACTACCATAAACAACTTTATTACAAATATTCTCTCAAATCTATTACTTAACAAGAAAAATAACAATGAAAATGTGCTTCTTTACTGACCATTATTGTATCTGAATTGTTGACATTACGACTAAGTTTTATGTAGTTTTATGTTTATAATGCCAAGTACAAGAAAATTACAAAACATTAGCAGTTTATTTTACTTATTTATTACATGAAGGTAACAAACATATGATTTCAATAACTACGAGTACTATGTATTTTTAAATTCTGCAAGTAATCTTAGTTAATAGAATATTTTTTCTAGAAAATTTAATTTAAAATGCCTTTTATATAAGACTAATAGTCATAAAGTTAACCCACTAATAAATATAATAGAAGATAATCATTACACAACAATAATGGTCAGTAAAGCACATATTACTTTCATTGTTAATTTTCTTGTCAAGTATTAGATTTGAGGGAATATTTGTAATATAGTTCTTTTTTCTTATGGAAAATCTAATTATTAATAATATTAGTAGTTTACACTTTTATTGTAAGTATAATAATTTTTGAGATACATAGAAAAGGCCCTCAAATTAAAATATTCAACCCTTTTGTGACATGTATCAATGTTAATCAATTGTGATCAAATTTTACACATGTTGTTTTACAAGAGAAATAAATAAATTTGAGATTTCTGCATCAAATTGTTGAATTTCAAAAATAACAACCACTCATTAATGTGCATATTTTTAATATGGTTTTATAGGAAAACAATTTGAACAGTATCTTCCTTTGGTGATTGGTCCTGTTTTGAATGCTGCTTCCATGAGACCTGAAGTTGCACTTGTGGATAATGATGAGATGGGCACCATGCCAGAAGCTAGTGATTGGCAGTTTGTGCCACTAGGAGAACAACAGAATTTTGGTATTAAAACTGCAGGTCTTGAAGATAAGGCATCTGCTTGTGAAATGCTCGTTTGTTATGCACGCGAATTGAAAACTGGGTTTGCTCCTTATGCTGAAGATGTTGTAAAACTAATGGTGCCATTGTTAAAATTCTATTTCCATGACAATGTTCGAATAGCTGCTGCCCAGAGTTTGCCTTGTCTTTTGGAGTGTGCAGAAACTAGAGGTATGCAATAATTACAAGTTATATTTTTATTAAGTTTCAATTATTTAGTTATGTATTTTTGAAAAATTATTATTAAAAAAAAAAAAAAATTCTGAAATGTAATTTCTTGTAATTTTGTACTTAACTCGTGACCAATCACACGGGTTTATAATTTATCCTATTCATACATAACATGAGTGTAAAAATTGTTATCATATTTTTATCGTTCAGTACCTTCTGATAACACGTAATAATGTTACATGTATTACAACAGGTTTATTTCTAACTGGGGTAAATTTTTATCGAGTACGAGTATTAATAGCTTTAGAAACCGCGCAAGTGGTCATGAGTTACTAACCATAAAAGGTATACAATAATTTAGATATTATATTTTTAGTTTTTATATAAAATACTTGTTTATATGTGTATTTTTAACAGAATAACTCATGAGCATCTGAATGTATTAATATTAAATGCAATAACAAATATTATGTTCTTTTCCATAGTTAATGATTATTATGTATTTTTGTAAATACTTAATGGATTTAGTTTTAAACTTGATAATCAGCAGTCTTTAGTATATTATTAAAATTATTTATTTGGCAATTATAGGAGCAGAGTATTTGCAACATATGTGGACTTATATTTGTCCTGAACTTTTGGGAGCTATTGATGCTGAACCAGAATCAGATGTTGCTGCTGAGATGTATGAAGCATTAGGAAAAGTAAATAATATAAAAAAAAAAAATTGCACAATTGTTAACTATTAATTATAATTTTTAGTGCATAGAGTTATTAGGAACAGGTTCCTTATCAGACAGATGGATGAGAGATTTATTGCTGATTTTAGAAAAGAATTTAAATAAACACTTTGAAAATGAAATTGTACGTTTTGAGAGACGCACGGATGAAGATTATGACGAGGTATGTATTCACATAAATCATCATTTTCATAATTTTAAAATGTTAATATTTTTAGATTGTCGAGGAAAAATTAGCTATGGAAGATACTGATGATGTTTACAAGTTGAGCAAAATGACTGACATTTTACATGCACTGTTTATTACTTATAAAACAGATTTCTTTCAGTATTTTGATCTTATTGTGCATCAATTTGCTAAACTTTTGGTAAAATATTAGTTTTTACTATATATTTACTTAGTTTATTTTTTTTGTTTGTTCTAAATTACATAATTTATAATAGGAGACTAATAAGAGTTCATCCGATCATCAGTGGGGTCTTTGTGTTTTCGATGATCTGATTGAATTTTGTGGACCTGGTTGCGCGAAATATCAAGAATTTTTCTTACAACCAATGGTTGGGTATGTTACGGACTATAACAGTGAAGTTCGCCAGGCAGCTATTTATGGTTGTGGAGTGTTAGGCATGTGCGGAGGACCTAGTTTTGCTGGTGTTTGTGCTGAAATTATGCCTTTCCTTTTACAAGTGATTAATAGTCCCGAAGCTCGTCATTCTGACAACATAAGTGCTACTGAAAATGCTGTGTCAGCTATTGCTAAAATATTAGAGTATAACAGTACAGCTGTTAATGTTGACGAAATTTTACCACACTGGTATTAAAAGTTATTTCTTTAAATTTATGTTATGTTATTTCTCTATGTTATATTGTTTTTAGGCTCTGCAATTTACCAGTTTCTGAAGATGTAGATGAAGCACCTTTTGTTTATGGTTACCTTTGCAAGCTTATTGAGAACCACCATCCCATAGTATTGGGGGCTAACAATTCTAATATTCCTAGTTTGATACGGATTATTACAGAAGCGTTTTTCAGAGATGCAATAGATAGAAAACATTCTGTTGCCCAGCGAATGATCATGATTGCCAGACAAATACAGGTAATTATAAAGTATTATGAGAATTAACACATCGAAGGACACATTTTATTTATATGGTATAAAGATGTAGCAATAACATTGTTTTTTCAATTTTGATAGCCAAATACTCATAGCAAATTTATCTTTTAAGCTTTAACATTAATTAATGATATTAATAATTAATTATTAAGTATTTGAATGTTCAATTATTGAATTAAATTTTAAACACTAGTGCTGATAATATATCATCCATATCAGTGGTATCAATATTTCAACAATATTTTGGTCTTTCATTTAATTAAATTTATTATATTCTATTATGAAATTATTTTTTTTGTTACATGGATTAATTTTTATTTTTGAATTTATCTCTATTTTAAAAGTAAAAGCAGGGAAATATTTTACAATTCTGTATGTTTTTAGATTCATGCGTAGCGAGGGAGCTATTGGTTTTACTAAGATATTAATTTTTTTTTTCTTCTAATCTGTGAACAAATTTTTTCTTAGTAAACTTGCTCTGATTTTTACATGTAGCAAATTTTCTGAATGCTAAAGTTGTCTAGATTGTACTTTAGAGGTCATTTTTTTGATTTTCGATGTTACTTTTAAATTAAAGTGGGAAAAAATGTAAGAAAACGATTTCATTATTTTAAAAAAACACAGGCGTCATTTTCTACCAGAAAAAAAAAAATTGATCGAAAAATCACAATACCTTTTTTTGATTTACTTTCTTACGATATCATCTTCAAAACTTCATCTATTAAAGAGTTTTAACTTTTGGAAGTTTTTTTGTTGTAATTCAGTTATAAATACATGCAGAGACTTGAAACTTGGTAATAATACTTATATTGGACTTACTTAGAGGTAGTAAATTTCCATAATGATCAGAACACCTTTTTTTTTTAAAAGCGTTTTGAAATAATATTTAAATGAAAATCTCAAAAAAAAATTATGGCACTTCAAATTATGTATTACCAAACTACCCTAGGAATTGTTTTTTGTCAAGCAATGGTTTATCGTTGCTTATAGAAATAAATGAAATAACCTTATGTATGCTACCTTCTCAACTTCTCACCTGCAACAGTGGACGCTCCCATCCCTAGTATCAGCTTTATTTACTGTTTTGTGTCTTTTAAAGTTTTATAATCATATTGAAAATCAAAAAAAAAAAAAAAATGGGCTACATATTGCCACCCTGAGTATTTAAACAATTAGCCCAATATATATTTTAAAAGTGCATTATATTTAATAATTTGGTTAGTATAGATATTTGATAGTATTAAAACATTAAAAGTGTTCTAAATACTAATTATATAAAAATAACTACTTTTTAATTTATAAATAATTAAAATGATTAATTTTCAGTTCATTAAATATTTTTAAATTATTATAAAGAGCATTTTATTGATGTGTTAAAAACTTATAAATTGAATTACTTTTTATTCAATAAAAAAATAATTGCCTTGTACGTACAATAAATTGTTTTATTAGCCCCAGAAATTAATTGTACTTGTAGCCTAGTTAAAAAGAAAAAAACCAATGGAAATTTATTATTTCATTATTATTATTAATATATATTGTTATATTTTATTTTATGAGCCAACTTGAACAATAATATTTTTTATTCTTATAAGTAAATTGTTAACAACCTTTTTCTCAAATTCGTTAATATTTAATATCTATTACTAGACACAGTAGAATATTTTATGGTTGATCAAAATTTCATCATACATAATATAAATATGTTCAATTTTGTTCTCGTAATAGTGGCAAAAATAATTTGTATTTTAATGATTACAGTCGAACGAGGAAGTATTTAATGCATGTTTGGCTGTATTGAACCCGGAACAGATAAAAACGCTACAAAGTATCTTGGCAGTTGATAATTAAGTTAAATATTCGACCACTAATCATTTATTATTATTATTGTGACAGACTTTTGAATCCTACCTTAACCCTTTGCTTGTAATATTATTATTATTTCATCATAATTTGTTATTTTTTGTTATATTATAACAAAATAGTTAGAATAAACTATGAATTAAAAAAATGACTTACTAATGTAATAGTTATAAAATTCAAAATACAAGTTATGTTATTACGTGAAATTTAATCTTATGTACCCTACTACATGCTTTTGTAGTATACATTTTTTTTTTTAAATCTTTAATTTTATATCTTATATAATATTATATATGAGCTATCTAACATAATATTATTTATACTTCCAATTGTATTTTATTATTTTGCTGTTAAATTTTATTAACCGTATTTAAATTAAAATAGATATATTGGATTTTTGTCAAATTAGAAAGCATAATTACATATGAAATAATGGTTTCCCTCAATTTTAGTAATTTTATTCTAATATTGTAATATTTTAATCAAAAAAATGTTTATGTATGAGGGGAAAATATTACTTAACCGTTTATTTTCCCATGCCTCTTGACGAGAGCATTGTTGTTAGTACATTAAGATAATATATTATTCAGTTAGAGTTAAGAATATTATAAACAAAATAAAAAAGTTATATGATTAAAGTGGAAATAAAGCATACTGCGATTGGACTGATAAAATTGCATAATATTATTTTTTTATTTTTGAACTAGGATTATCCTTTGAAAGAAATTAATGAAAAAAAGTAATTCCAGTTAGAATTGTATAGCAATGTGTTATGGCATGCACCTAACTAATGTGTACAAATTGCTAACTACTAATTATAGAAATGGTAATTAGTAATATTAAGTAATAGACACATAGTTCATTTTATAAGTTGTAGGTGATTGGTGATTGTGTTGCTCATAACATTTAAAACACAGATTAAAATATATCTTAGTCTGTGGTTTAAATCTAGCTCTTCTCTTCATATGTTTCAACGAGACATTTAATTAATGAATTACCTATACCTGGGAGGGGTAACGTAATTGTCAAATTATATCATAAGACAAATTTTAGCAGTTTATGAAATGACTAAATAAGTTTAAACATTTGTCTGGATTCTGAACTAAGTGAAGATTGCATTGGTTTTGCTATGGTGGCTTATCTATTCATTTTAAATTTTTAACCGCATAAAACTTTTCTACCAGAAATCTTGCTCCAATCAAAAAATGGCTCCATATTTTTGTAGCTATTTGGTTCTAGTTGGTAATTGAGGTCATTATTTACTTTCAAAGAAGTTTTTATAATGATAGGGAAAAACTAAAAAAAAAATCACAAATTTATGTAGTAATATATTATATTTTTTTACTTTGCTAATTTCAAAAGTAGCATCTTTTTTAAGATAATTTTGTTTAGTTAGTGCTGTTAACTGGTTAAATGTGTTTTAGATTTCTGTGGAATTTTCTTAACCATTTAGAAAAAATGTGAAAATTAACAACCTTAACAGTTTCATTAATTTTGATTTTGTTGTTTTGTTGCAATTCAGTTAAATATATTCAATTATATACAATAGTATTTTTTAGGTGTAGTTAAATTTTCTAAACTTGAGTTCTTAATTTTTTTTTTGATTTTATGTGGATCAAATTAAAAAAAAAAAAAAAAGAAATACATTTAAACATGAGGTTCATTATAAGTTGTATTTAGTGGTACTCAGTTATATTTAATCATACCTAACGTATTGTATTTTTTTTTTTTTTTTATAATTTTTTTTAATTTGAAATTTTGACCAAAATACGATTTTAAGTGACTTTATTAAAAACACTTATAACTGAACTTGGTTCAGAATCTTTTTTTGTTAACAATGGTTAAGGGTTGCTTATAAATATCAATTAAATAACTTAAAGTGTCCTACCTTCCCAAATTCCCACCTACCTTAGTGGTTTAACAACTGCAGTATTAGCTTAATTTTTCAATTGTGATTTGAAAGCCTTTAAATCATAATCTTAAATAATTTTATGATTGAGTAATTCTTTTAATAGAACTGATGAGGCTGCTGGTCAATCGATTGTTCTCGTGTTAATTTTTATACCTACTATTTACTGAGTTCAACATTTGTACATACTTATCGATCATAGGCGTTCACAGATCTCACTGACAGTGGGGGGGGGGGGGTCTAGGGGACTTGAGTTTTTCAACGCAGACGAAAAATTTAAGAGAAAATAGTAATAAAAAAGTAAAAGATGAATGTATTAGATTTATACAGTAGCGCCCATTACATGCCAATATTTTCAAGTGTTTCCTACTTACAAGAGGACGCCACGCTGCAAAAATAATGATTACGCAGACTAAGTAAAACTAGCTTAATTTTGATTTTAGAATTTTAGAATTATTTTAAATTATATAACTTGATAAAAGAGGTACAATAACTTTTTTTTAAGTTTTTTTTAAATAAACAACTGTTTTAATAGTTCATAATGAACACAGAATGGACATATTAAAGATCCATGGGGGCTATGCCCTAACAAATCCGCTTTACATTACTCTTACAATAGTTCACTACACCTTTCATTTACAATTTTGTATACCTATATAAATTGATCGTGATTATTTTAACATTATTTTTCATACACGCATGCATTGTCTGTGGGAAAAATGTATTCTGTTCGGTTCGTTAACTATGAAATACACGAATAAAATATTTTGTCATTACTATGAAAAACCTGATTGGGTTTTTTGGGGGTGCTAATTTTAAACTCTACAAGTAGTACTCTAGTAATAATTAATTATAATAATAAATAAAAAATAATTAATACTCTAACTTTAGTAATAATTATAAGGTGTAAGGTATTCTTGGGCATTAGACAAACATTGAAAATTCGTAACTATAATTTGTTTTTTTTTTTCATACATTTTTAAATCGCGGAATTTCGCGATTCATGCGGATAAAACTTGTTTGGCTCTATGCAAATCTTAATAAAAGCGAGATGAAAAAATTCCTGTTACAAATTAAGTACAATTGTGATTTATTTTGCAATTACAAATGAATACAATTTTCAATGATTTAATTTAACCAAAACATGATTATCCGAACTTATCTAAGAATCGTTTTTCATTAGAAATTAATTATTGTTGCGTATTATATTGATAAATCAAATTGACCTTCCCGAATTCCCACCTACTGCACAGGCTTACTGATATGAGCAGTAGGTACGTACTTTTTTTTTATATACATTCCATAAAAGCTGTATAATAACTAGATAGGTGTACCTAATTAAAAAGCTATAGTTAAATTTTTTTTACAACTTTTCAGTTCAAAACTGTATTAGAAAAACTTTATTTGTTTTATTGAATATTAACGTAGTGAAATTTCAAAATATTTTTGAGTTATTTATAGTCATATTTTATATTTATTAGATTTTTTTATCTAGTTTTACTTCGGTAGGTACTATATTGTGGATAAAATGTTTTGACCAAACAGAAATGCTTGCAAATTTAACAGGAAAAAAATAACTGCGTAATGTAAGTCGACTGTACGATTTAAAATCTATTTAAAAGAACACGTTCAACTGAACTTCGCTTTGAATCGTATTTCGTTAGCGGTGTCGTACTCAAGGGGAGTGATGTGGGTAACACATCATTCATGAAACATCTTCTTTTTTTTTTTTTTGTAACCATTTTTCAAATTTAATACAAATTACAACAATATCTATACAACGATATTTTGTTCGTTTATTATTAATGTAAAATGCTAATAAAATTGTGTGATATAGTAATTATTAGTTAAGATTTTTCCTTGATATTTTTAACAAATATTAATATCCCCCCAAAGAAAGCTCCTAGTTACTGTTCGTCAACAATAGTTAATCGTTGCTTATATGTATACATTAAATGCATTAAAGTATCCCAACTTCCCATGTACAACAGTGACACCCATCAGCAGTATTAGTTCACATTTAATATTTATTTTATTTTACACATTTTTTTTTTCACACAAGTGTCCGCCGTAAAAATGTTTTAGTGTTTTTAACAGTCAAATGTATTTAGCTACTTGCTTTTCTCCGATGTCGAATTGTCAATCGAGTTTACGAATCGACGAGCCCCCACAAGGTCAAGCCTAGGTCTTGTCTTAACAAGTCTTTGCTCTCTGATTAATGTCCACTTTTTCCTTTAAATCGAACGATTTCACCAGGACAAGAAGTGTCGTGGAAAAAAAAAACCAGACAGATTCTGAATAACCACAACGGAATAACGGTTTACGATTTAAATGAGTTATAATAGTACATATCATTTTATCTATAATATCGGTCCGAACGTTATCATTTTTACCGATCGGTTTTGTAATCTATTGGACCTATAATGTTGTTATATACTTGATGTGTTTTGTTTTTTTTTTTTTTTTATCATCAATAATATGTGTAATTTAGGAATTCCCCTACCCTCTCCCCGGTTTACATTTCTGCCGGCGCCCTCGTTTATTTAGGAATTAACGTTGGCACGGCCATTTTGCACACGTTTACGAACTTTTAAACTTCCTCAAATTTAATGTACCCCGTGTTCGTGAGGAATAGTATTTCTTAGGGTCTCAGCTATTCCGAATGAGGTTTCGCGGTTAATACTCATGGACGCCGGCGCATTGGTGAATCGTACGATTACACGCGTCCATACTTATCAGCGTTAAATTAAAATTGTCCGGAGATTTCCGGGACGAGGGTTAGGAGTGTTAGGACGTACCGTTGCAGTCAATACCATTCCGATATCTAACGGGGCGAACGGGTGTGGGGGGGGGGAAAGAACACCTCCGAATCAAATTTACTAGTAATCGTTCTCGATGAGCGTATCCGTTGTTCGCGCGCGGGCAGCGGAGAATCGCGGTTCGCGACAAAAACGGTCGTTCTGTATGTGTCGGGGGGGGGGGG